GACTAGCCACATATGCTATTCGCAGTTGGGACGTATCGAAGTGGTCAGCGTTGGCAGTGAGTTTCTGGTTCATCAGGAGGAGCCAGTCCTCAAATCGGGGTTCCTTGCCATCAGTGAGCATCGGAGGGTCAGGGATCTTGGTAGTCTTTCGGTTGATGGCCATTGGAGAGGCTTGACGACCATTGGTCCCATCCATCACCAGTCGGGCAATCTGGCTCCCAAATGCATCGCGTTCAGTTGTCACTTCAACAAGCTGCTGCTTGACGTCCTCAATTTCTCCAATCTTGCGGCGCAGAAGGGTGATTTCTCCATCCTTGGTTTGACAGCGGAGTTCTTCTTCGGCAAGACGGACCTTATGGTCTTCAAGGCGGTCGTCATATCGTTTGTGAGTCACTTGAAGCTTATCATATAACCATTCAGGCTCTTCAGAGGCGTATTGCAAGAATTCCTCCAAAGTCACCATACGTTGTTCTTCATCCTCATCATCATCAATGAAGATGGGGTTCTGTCGGTTTTCTTGGCCGGTATCATTATCGTTCGTCTCATTTCGGTTGCCTCCAGTAGGGGCAACAGTGTTTCTCATGCGAGGCATGTTGGCCAAGGTCGTTGTATCAATCGGTTATCGGTATCAATTTGGTTTCTTCAGTCGATCGGTATGGGGGACACGCTGCTATGGTTCCACGATTACTGGATCGAACCAATGAAGCAAACGTGTTAAGAAAAAAGGGCGAGATTCGATATTATGTCACGGGCTCGGAATAGTAGATAATAACGAACTGAATTCCTATCTAGACTATTGTAGCCATCGACGAGAATATCGAATCTGGAGAAGAAAAGAGAAGAGGAAGTCTATCTAGGTAATGAAGGGGTTTTATAGGGGTTGTTGCCGACATGGTTGAGTAGCAGCATTTGCGATGTATCATTCATTGCTGCAGTGTTGAGCCGTCATATATGAGCCGTCATATATGAACCGTCACAATAGTGAGGCATGATGAGAAGCTTTATCTAAGTCAAGAAGCTAACAATTTTAGAACTACCGCCATGACATCAAGCACAGACATCTTAGAACCTTGACAGAAGATCATGTCATTTGGTTCCTGGAGGACACCGCCAGAGTCTTTGACAAGCTTAGTAGAGAGTCAGTTGATCGCTCTTTCCCTCGTATAGAGAGGTGCACAAGCAAGGTTTCGAACATATTGAACAAAATTACAGAGGAAGGAAGTGTTCCATTTGATCTCAATGATGCAGACATCAGGTTCTGTTATCAGAATGGTTGGGTTCACAGGGTAGCTCTGGATGGTGATGATATTGCAGTTCTACCATCGCGTTTACATGAAAAGTAATTTTCACATGCCCCTATTGTTCTTCCATTCTGACCATCTTAGATACATTGAATATTCGATTGGCACAATGTCAAAACCCCTGCCTGCCAGATTTGACTCACTACAAAAATTATGCAAAGAGATTCTCAGCAAATTCTCCATCATGAACTTAAGGCACTCAACTGAGGGCAAAAAAATGTCAACTGCATCACAACCCAGACCTATGGAAGCTCAGTATCAAGCTGAGTTCTACAGGGGATTTGTCCATACAGCAGGGCGAGGTGTACCGATATCCACTGAATGGTCAAGAACCAGGGATGGTCGAGTGGATTTCTATATCCCAGAAAAGAAATGGGCGATTGAATTGTTGAGAGATCATATTGAAGTCAGTGAACATATCTCTCGATTCAAGGACGGTGGAAAATATCATCCCTGGCTGAAAGAGAAAATGGTCAAGGATTGGATCATAATCGACTGTGCGACTTCTTCACCAACCAAAGGTGTGTTCTTACTCGGCGTTAATTTAGTAGCCATGGTTTATTCCACTAACAACTTGATAAGATTTCTCCGAACCTAAGCTGTGGCATGCTGTGTTCGCCAATGATTATTCTAAATTGCAGTTGTATAACCATCAGCAAGCTCTTACGATGTCTGTGCATCTAAAGAATTGACAAGAAGCAGGGATGATATGGCTATTACACTGATTACTTGCGTCTGTCTTTCATTGTGGTATCTTTGTTAGCTATAGCCAACCTCTCGACTACCAAGCAATCAGATGAATTCACCTGGTTTCCTTTGTCTCACCCCTGTGGCTTCTTCTCTTTCCTCTTCAGGGCCGATATTCTCGTCTTATGGCTACCTAGTTTAGATTAATAATACTATCTCGTTTTATCTACTAGACCGAGCCCGTGACAAACAGGGCATTACTCTTAGAGTCACAGGTGAGTCGATGAATGAGAAGGTGAACTTATAGAAGTGAACTGAAAGGTCTAAAAAAAAAATACCATTGACAAGTTGCTTATTTAGTCAACTCCAATACACTATCAGCCCACATCCAAGGAGAGAGAAAGGGAAGTGAAAGAACGATCCAGAAAACTTACCCGCCTGAACAAATCGATGAGTATCGACAAATGGGTTGAAGAATAGATGATCGTATACCACGATGCAAAGGGAACCGATTATGATGAGCTTAAGAAGGATGATAACGCCTGCCTCAACTTTCTTCAAGCAATTGAGCACCTATTTCCAAAGTTTGCAACGCCCCGAATCTCCCATTTTTATGACAAAAACGACCATGATATGAAAAAAAAACTGAGTGATGCATTTGCACGACGGCGAGCAGATCATGGAAAGCTTGAATATAGCTCAACCTTCTCTGTATTGATGTGGTAGTCAGTAAGCCTACTGGCTTCGAGTGGTGCTGTCCAATATGATTTTGGCAAGACAAGTGGTGGAGGACACTTTCAACACACTGGCACGATGAGCCAACCGCCGACCATCCTGTTTACTGCAATCACGCAACTCGAGGCGAGTAAGATGATAAGAGAAAGTAATAAAGTTTCAAAATTGATAACGCATGTGCTGGGCCAGTATCCAGATCTGGAGGCCGAATTCTCAAGACCTCACGGAGCGGACCGTCTTTTTGAAGCAGCATATGAATATGTTGAACCGGGAGCATCTTGTACCAAGTGTGACCCTGAAAAACAGGTCCCCCGGCCTCTACGAATGTCTGCAGAGCCTCAGGTTCATTACGGAACCATTGCATCTGGCAATCAAGTGATTAAGGATGCCTATGCCCGAGATCAAATTGCAGGAAAGCTGAATGCACTGCTTTGAGATGGAAGCAGCAGGAATTATGAATAATCTTCCCTGTCTTGTGATCCGTGAATCTGTGACTATTGTGATTCACACAATAACAAGCAATGGCAAGGATATGCAGCTCTTACTGCAGCAGCTTATGCCAAGCTACTTCTATCATTTGCCCCTGTCACCTACTCCCCGAAAATTAAGACAGCGCAACAGGGTTTCTCGATACTACCGTTCAATCGGAATCCGCAGTCCCTAGGGCGAGATAACGAGGTCGATCGGTTGAAAAAAATCCTGGCTCAGAATCGCACCCGGAAAGCAGCAATTACGGGACTGGGAGTGGTTAAAAAGACACAGATTGCACTTGAGCTGGCATACCGTGTCCGTGACCAAGATCCAAAATATTCAGTTTTCTGGATTCGATCAACCAACATGGAAGCCGTGGAAAAGTCATTCATAGATATATGTGATGCACTAGGATTGCCAAGAAGGCCATCCAGTGGTGAGCCATATGATAAGGACGAATCACTCTCCAGTGATGCCAATTTAACTACAAGCTGCAAGCTTTATCAATCAAAATTCGATTTCCCTGAAGGGCTATTTGTCCGTACTTAGTGAGCAAGAGGATAATAAAGTGGAGTTGCTCAGTGAGGATTTTAATGATGATTATCAATATGAAGATGTTCAGAATCCGGTGTCAGCGACATGGCTGATTTCATTTGAACAAATCTGCAAGGCAGATTCTCTCGCGACAGAATATTTATCGCGTATCGCATGCATCGACCCCCGAGATATACCGCTTTCCATATTCTCGCCCAACGGCTCAGTGATTGAGCAGCAGAAAGCATTGAGAATCCTTAAGGCATATTCCTTCATTTCAGAGATGGCCAATGCCCAGTTTGTGAATATGCATCAGCTTGTTCGCTTAGCAACGAGAAATTGGCTTAGGAGCAAGGGAGTTATAGAAAATTGGACCATCAGGACAGGCGAATATTTGAGTGAAATTTTCCTCCCTGGTCATCCCAGAAATCGGGTAGAGTGGTGGTACCTGCCACACGCACAGTATAGTCTTCAAAGTGAGAATTTTCCATGGAAAACAGCCGGAAAAGAAAACCTGTCCCAAAGTGCTGCTCAGTGTCTGTATGCTGATGGGCGATATCGCGAAGCAGCAATGCTTTTTAAAAGCGTGTTGGACAGGAGGACACAGCGGCTCCAAAGGGGAGATGTAAAGATCTTTATGAGTATGGAATGGTTAGCAGCGACATATTGGAAGCAGGGACGATGGAAGCTAAAGTGCTAGAAGTGCAAGTGGTGAACACACGCAAGACAGTGTTGGGCGTTGAACATCTTGACATATTATTGGCCAACATGAATAATTATGTATCGACATTGTTGGGTCAGGGCCAATGGAAGGAGGCTGGAAAGCTATTCATACAAGCGGTTGACATGCACAAGACAGTGCTGGGCGCTGAACATCCTGACACACTGGCCAGCACGGCCAACCTCACATTGACATACGGTAACCAGGGCCGATAGAAGGAAGCCGAAGGGCTGGGAGTGCAAGTGATGGACACACGCAAGACAGCGCTGGTTGCTGAACACCCTGACACATTGATTAGCATGTGGAATCTAGCATATACATTGAAACATCAACAGCGCAATGTTGAGGCTATTGCTCTGCTCAAATATTGTGTTCAGCTACAAGAACAGCGATTTGGGCCCAACTCATCTGTACAGTACTCGAGCCTTGTCTGACCTCGAAATTTGGCAAAAGCCCTTCTCTGGCAGCCTCATATAGACACCGCTCACTTAGATCCACGGATCTGTTCGAAAAACAGCCATCATCAAATCATTGCCAGCGAATACCCATTTCACATTCAGGTGAACCAAAATCGTGTGATCCAGAATCGCCTTCTAGCTAGGTTTCACCTCTTATTGTCACCACTGCGAACACCTTATTCAGCAGTGGGAACAGCTAGTTATTTATTGAGGATCATCATGAGGTTATGACACACTGCAAAATTCGGTATATATAATATCTATAAGTTAGTATATAATTGCACCATATGCAATATCATTCGAGAATTTCTCAAATTGGTGATGTGAGCATTCAAAAGTTGCGCATCTATATGGGAATACAAACGGCGCCGCTCGCCCGTGGAATACGTTACAGTTTCCCTAGGTTTCATCAGGTCATTTTTATTGAGCCAAAGAGAAGACAAAGAACTCTGGAAGCTGTGTTTGAAGAGAAAAACAAAATGTACATAAAATCAATTTCTTGGTGTTTTGGTATTCAAGCCATGATGGGAGCGCTTTCCAATATGAGAGAGACTATGGATAACCAAGGTGTAGACGTTGCGGGTGAGTGTATGTGCTTTTACCTGTTTAGTACAATTTACCAGTGGCCGCACTGGAGCGGCGACGCCAGGACGGAAATGCCACGAATGTGGTACCTAAGGCCACGACGTTTTGTGGCCTTTCCGGAGTCACCCCGAGTTACTGCGTAGTGGACCAGCAAAAACAAAAAGATGACCGACGCAGGGGTCGAACCTGCAATCTCTTGATTCGTAGTCAAGCGCCTTACCATTGGGCCAGCCGGCCTTGCTGGAATACTCGGGACTATGTTGGCTATATATTCCGGGAAGAATTTTGAAAGAATAGACATGCAATTTTCATTATCATTAACAGCATTTTACAACAATTCCCCATAGTAAATATCTCACAGCCCTATAGTCTCAACATTCGGCACGGTCCGCGTGGTAGGCCCCAATGGTCCATCTCTAACCCGTTGCCGTAGGGTCCGCACGATATCTTCAAACTCCGGTGTCTTGTCATCCAACTCCTTCATCCGATCGTGCAAAGTCACGAGCACATCATACTTTGCAGTAGCAATCTTCCAGACCGCATTCTCCGCATCACCAGCTCCGCCTCCCACGAACTCTGCATAGGACCGTGGCGGTTTGAATAGATAGGGTAGTAGCGTCAACAGAGCTGGCGGAGTGAGCACTGCCCAGGAGCCCGAAGCGGGTAGTGATCCTTGTACAGATGGAGACACACTCCCAAGATTTTGTTCCGATGGAAGCTGAAATCGGGTGCCCATACTAGGGACTGGCGTGATGACCTCACCGGTTAAAGTCTGCCAATTCGCGGTTACGATGGCTTGCATGAATGACATCGATGCCAAAGAGACATCTTTCATGACCAGAATGTCAGCTGATGCGACGATATCTCTCCAAAGATTGGGGTGATGGTTCAAATAAGCAAAGTACAAGAAACGAGCAGCCGCTGCCTCTTTGTGCCAGTCCGTCGGAGTCTGGCCAGAGGAATTGAGCTCCGTTGAATTAGGAGTACTCGATCTCTGTGGGCCGTGGAATATTTTAGCAAGGGCATTCAATGCTTCCCTGCTGGGTGGGTTGGTAGGGAGCACAAGCACAGGATTGAGACCTTGCTTACTGGCCTCCACTAACAGTACACGAGGAAGGGAAGAGAGAACATTGAGTTGGCCGCTTGGAATCTGGCCATGCGCCCATTGCGTGGAAGAGATCCTAAGGGACTCGGTGACTCGTTCCAATACGCGGTCCAACAATCTCTGCTGGTTTTGGAGAAAGTGGTTGGGGTATAGTTCTGTATATTGCGCGACGTAAGTCATAACCGGACCGTAAAGAAAGCTGAGATCCACAGGGTCGAGCTTGGATTCGTCCAAATAGTATTCAACCACCGTCGGGTGGACATTGTGTGCAATAAGGAAGTCCAGAGCAGGAGAAGAAAACGTGGAGGCAGACTGAACGTAGCTCCTTGCCACAAGACCCGGCGCATCGATTTCTAAAAGGTCACGGAAGAAGTTCAATAGTGTCATGTGCATCAGTACATCGCTCTTGTCGACCATCTGGCAAGCCGCAAAATGCAGTAAGCTGTTACTTTGGTATTTGGATTCAATTTCAGGAACTTGCGAGGTCGAAATAATGTCCCAGCGGAGTCTACCCGCTCTCTCAAGGAGTCCCATTAACCTGCCTTGGGCCACTGTTTTATCGCGCTTTAAAAGGTTCCCCGGTCCGTTGTCGCTGAGACTACATGTCGAGAAGAAGATTCCGTAGACGTCCCTGTCGGTGAACATCCTCCTCCACACAAGGCCCTGTCCTCCGACCTTGTCATCTGCCTCATTCTCCCGAGTAATATCATCATCAATTTCCAGAAGCGCCCAAATCGTATCCAATGCCGCTTGTGCCACTTCGGTTGAAGACGTCGAAAGCCAAAGTTCCAATAGAGAAGCAACCAACTCCGAATCGCCAGCCACTATCGCAGCATCACTGGGTACCCGTCCTGCCTTCTCCAACAACGAAAGTGCCAACAAATTTATCGGTGGCGACGGTGCCTTGAAGCCCGCGACGAAATTGACAGGTGGATTGATGGACCGGATATCAACAAAGGAGAAGTATGCGGTGGCTCTTGTGCCCAGGACGGTGAGAGGAGTTGGATCTTCCTGAAGAACTGGTAGAATCTGCGGGATCTGCGTCAGAAGCGTTGCAGGGACACTAGGGTCGACGTTCTCCGTGAGTTCTATCTTCAGTTTGTCAAGAAGCGTGGTGTCTATGCTGACGGAAGGGTCGCTTTGGATTTGGTCCAGGTGAGCTTTCACCGCGGAAAATGACGATGGAACCACCATGTTGGCAGTGTCTGTGCAGCTGTACCTTGTCTTGAATATATCAAGATTTCGAAGGAGAACTTTGGCAGGTTGAAGTGGTCGAAAGAGTGAGCCCGGAGGAGCAGCGGAGAAGAGCAGCTTATGTGCAAACATGGCAAACACCAGCTCCTCCGCCTTTGGTCTCGGGGCTATGATCCATACAACAAACTTACAATTTGATAACCAGCTATCGACTTTCTAACACGAAAATAGCGGCAATGGCAGACCAAGCAAAGTCGCTAGTTTCCCAAAAATCTTCGGATTCGGGCCTCCATATCCAACTCCATCCTCTCATTCTCCTCTCGATCTCCGACCACATCACTCGGCACGCCGCACGACAACAGCAGGGACCTATCATCGGAGCGCTATTGGGCCAGCAGGATGGCCGCGAAATCACCTTAGAACATACATTCGAATGCTTAGTTGCCCCTGGTGAGAATGGGGAAGCTCAGTTGCCGCATGATTGGTTCGTTGAGCGCGTGAAGCAGCGTAAGTGACGAGCTGCTCCATCATGAAATCGACAAAATTCCTGTTACTAACATGGAATGAACAGTAAAGGATGTCCATAAAGTCCCAGCTCTTGACCTCGTTGGATGGTGGTCGACCGCACCACCTTCAGGACCCAACACCTCCCACCTCCCAATCCATCGCCAGATCCTCCAGAACTACAATGAATCCGCCGTGTTCCTTACGTTTCATCCTTCGCAGATTCAAATCGGAGCGTCAAATGGATCTAAGCTCCCGTTGACAGTCTACGAAAGTGTCTATGAGGGGGATAATGCTGCGGAGGGTGACAAGTCTATGCAGGTGGATAATGAGGAGCAGTCGCTGAGCATCCGATTCCGGGAGCTGCCGTACTCCATTGAGACGGGTGAGGCGGAGATGATTGGCGTTGATACTGTTGCCAGAAGCGCGAGAAATGCGGCATCAGACACCGGTGCAGCGCCGCAGCAAGAGACGCAAACCAAGGGAAAGAAAGAGCAGAAAGATGTTATACTTTCGCCGGAAGAGGAAGAATGTACGACTCTGCCTACACTATTTTACTGGACGCTTCCATTTAAGCCTGCTAACCCTGACCAATATAGTGGTCGCCAGCCTCAATACCCGCCTAAACGCCGTCCGAACCCTTGAATCCCGAGTCTCGTTAATCAAATCGTACATCTCCACTCTATCCACCACCGGAGAAGCACCCGACCAAGGCCAAGAAACACCCAACCCCTCCTCCGAACTCCTCTCCCACTCTCACCTCCGCAACATCAATTCCCTCCTCGCAAATCTCTCCCTCCTCTCACCCCCCGAACAAAGCGTCTTCTCCGCAGAAAGCCTTGCACAGACCAACGATGTCCTCCTAGTCTCCCTTCTCGGACAACTGGGCCAAAGCGTCAAGGACATGCGCGAACTAGGCCGAAAGGCGGCTATCGTGAATAATATGAGACAGAGCATGGGCATGGCATCGCGCAAGGGTGGGAAGGTGGCTCGGTTGGAGAACGAGTTCTTTGGTGGTAGGGAGGGGTCGTCTGGGATGTTTGCCTAGACGCATGTCTGCTGTGTCTTGGGGTTTGCTTTTCATCTTTTTTTCTCAGTTTGCTGGGCGCTGGGCGTTTTACATAGTAGCAAAATGATCTCATGATGAATGAAGATGTTACGAAGGAATATACAAGAGATTCAATTTTCCACTCGTAGTTAATGAGTATTGTATAGTAGTAGTATAGGCAAGTATATATTTTAGTGCATCCGGCATCGACCTGTCCATGGATATTTGCATTAGCAGAAGACCCAAGTCATTTATCGACAAATAAAGTATAAAAACAAACAAAAGAGGAAAATTTATACAAGACAGTCAACTGGTATCTCCAACAACAGGCAAACATGTAAATAAAAAGAAATAGTCTACATGAGATTACAAAAAACGAATGCGAAAGAGTGCCATAACGGCGGGTATTGTCATGAAATAAGCAGACAAATGCAAAAGGGGAAGAAAAAAAAATACAAAAAAAAAAAAAGTCATTGACACCGTAAATTGGAACTCATTCCACCCGACAATAGAACAGCGCAGTTTTAATACCTGCTACGCCCACGTTCGTAGTCGTCATGAGGTAGCGGCTGGTAAGGGTCAGGCATGCGGATGGGGTCATGCTGGGTGTCGTTTGGATGATAGAGACGGGTCGTGACACCCGATTCCTGTCCGCTGCTGTTCGAAGAAGGTTGGCGATAGTGACGGTGTGTGTCGAGTTCGCTGTCAGAGGGTATCATGTAGGGGTTGTTGAACGAGTCGTGCTCGTAGGGTGAGAAGGGTTGGTGGGTGGGTGCCATGGGATCCAGCATGGATGAATCGCTAAGTCTGTCTTGACTAGTAGAGTAGAATCGACTGTTGCGTGGGTCTTCGTAGGGCGAGGGTGATAATCCGGACGAAAGTCGGTTAAGAGTCGGGTTGGGCTGCGCGTGAGATAGCAGGTCTTCTCCTTCTTCGCCCGGGGGGGAGTTTCCTTTTCCGCCGGCCATGAATGGACCAGCGCCTTCGTAGGCAGTTACGACGGTGGTAGGGACATTGCCTGCTTGGCTGAGGCCGATCTGCTCGGATGGAACTTGGTAACTGGGGTCCAGAGTTCGCTTCTTGCGACCCACAAACAGCCAGCGGAAGCTGCGGCCAATGGCCTTCAGCAGGTCAAGCGGGTTCAGGGCGTCGAGAAGCGCCTTCATGCCCCAGGGTCCGCCTTGGTAGGTGATCTTTCCATTTCCGTAGAAGTCGGTCACTTCGTCGTCGTGAACGTGGTCAATAGAGTACTCCTTCCATGCGAAGGCCCACAGGTGCAAGACGGAGAATATAGCCATTTCGATGGTAATTAGAAGATTGGAAAGACCGACTTTCCAATCAGGCGCTTGAATTTTCTCGGAATCCTTGATGAGTCCAGAAGAATAGAGGAAAGAAATCACAGTCTGCAAAGTTAGCGCTCTGTTTAAGACTGGTTTGGACGTAATAACACTCACCGATTGCCAGAAGCAAAGGAAAATAACCAGCTTGATGGAGAGAATCTTGAGAAATGGCCGATGTTGCTTGATATCATCCTTGATCTGGATATAGAATTGAATAAGACAGTACATGGCGATGGTGACCGCAGCGGATTCAACGACCAGAACCTGAAATAGTCAGCCATGCTCAATTTACCCAATAGCGGCAATACATACCCAAATATGTGAGAATGCCGGACTTAAAGACGATTCGCAGTACAAGTCAAAATGCTGCGTCACAACCGCAACGATGGTCATAAGCACCCGCAGAACACAGTATTGGAAGACGCCAACCCAGATTACCTATTGAAATCAGCCTTGTCCATCCCATACATTTGCTTTGTAGACCTACATTAAACCAGGTCAAGCCACTCCGAGGAACTCTCCAGATTCCATTTTCCCCTCCGCAGCACTTCTGCGCCCAGTTCAATGGCCAGACCCATTGTTTCGGTTTGATTCCACGAAAGTAATTCTTTTGGCTATGCAGGTCCGGCGCGAGGTAATGGCACATAAGAGCGAAGAATGCGGAAATCGTAAATGCTTCGTAGCAGTCGCCCATGACACCGTAATAGACTGCTTGTTTATGGAAGTAGATACTAAGCCACGCAACGAGGGAATAGATCGGGATCATCAACAATATCCGAATAATGCTGCATAGTTGAAATCAAGCTGTTAGTCCAAGAATTTAAAAAGGGAAAGCAGAGGAGAGAAAAGCTTACTGTCGCTGTTCCAAAGGTTTGCTGTAATGTGTCGCATGGCCCATAATGATGTATAACGACATGATGCCAGCAAAAATAGCAAAAGCACCCCCAGCTATCAGAGCTAGCTGATGAAAAGTAAGTCCGCCATCCCATAATTCAACCTCGTCGACTATGATTTTGAGTCCAGTCAGCCAATCTGTTTCGCATTCGGAGATAAATCAGGGGGGGATGTCAGCGCACTGGATTGTTCCTCTGTCGTCGAATTGCACACCGGCCAACCCATGGCGCCTTTAGAAGGTCTAAAACAATGAAGAGCAAGAAACGGTTCAAGAAAAGGCGTCAGTCGAGAAGGTGAGGTCGAGAGAACAAGATTTGGAGAAGACGAGGAAAAGGAATAACGGCGGATGATCACCAGCGATCAGCGGTGGATTGTTTGAGGCCGCGACACTCTGTATGCGACACTCTGTTCTCTATGCAGTATGGGAAGACAATTTCTGTGGACTCCGGTGTATTGAGGAGTGTTCAGAAGAATAAATTATATGAAGTCTAGAGTTGGACCAAAAGAAGCGCTGTCCAAGAGCCGCAAGCGCCGTGTCTAACAGGCAACAGAAACAGCCGCTCCACAGGAAAAGATAATAATGTACAGAAAAGGAAAGAATGAAAAATAAAAGATATCTGAATGAATGAATGAAGAATTGAAGAACAAGAATGATTTTCTATAAATAACAATAGCCCTGCGAGGCGTTGTTCCGTGGTTCTTTGCTTTGCTGCGCCTCCAGAGGGAAAATAAAAATAAGCCAAGATTTGGTCAAGCTTTGATGGCCTCATTTTATCCTTTTTGGGTAATCTTCGGATATTTTATACGAGTTCCCTTACTGTACAGTTATGATAGGAGAGAAAATGAGATATAATACACATGCAAAAACCCAGTCCATTCCAATAGGTCCATTCCCAAATGCAACTAAAATATTACACAGTGCCTCATCCCCTCCACGAATCCCCAAAGCCACCGCGCCCGCGGCCCCGTCGACGTCGGCTCCCTCCTCCTCCTCCTCCTCCTCCTCCTCCTGCGAATTCCGGCCCATTGTCTACGAACAAGTCTCCATCCTCAAATGAGATACGTCTAGTCTCATCACCGCCGCGACGGGGATAGTCTCCCTTTCGCAGCAAATCGTCGAACCGGTCCAAACGTCGATCTGCCGTTTCTCGCGTTACCGGGAGATAGTAAAGTTTAGGTTTAACAGTTGTGGACTTGAACAGTTCATCGAGTGGTTTGAAGCCCTGCCCCGGTCGTGATGGCCGAGGTTCTGCCGGTGGCGGTGCTCGTGAAGGACCGGACGGGAGTCGCTCTCTGTCAGCACGTGGACCAGATGGAGGTACGCGGGGCCCGTCAGTCATGGATTCCTGGCGGCTTCGTGGAGGTGGGTTTCCGGCGACGCCCTTGGGGTCGATTTCGTCCAGGACAGCTTCGACGCCATCTCCGGTGCGGTCATATCTGACCTCCCAACGGGGCTGAGGACCACCACGTCGTCGTGATTCTTCCTCCGTGTTAATCCATTGTTGAAGCTTTTGCTCCGGAATAAAATCAACAAAAAGATTTTTGCGGTTCCGTTCATTTGGCCAAATGCTCCTATGGAGCGCAGAACGAACTCGTGATGCTGCTGAAACATTTGTAAAGCTGGCGAAGCAATGTGTTTTAATATGGTCCAGATGGAAGTCGACGATTACGTCTTCACTAGGCGAGGATCCTGGAGCAGACGCTAAGGTGACTAGATGGTTTCGCAGCATTCCTGGCTGGAGCGGACGCATCAGTCCGCCAATATACAGAGCTGCGGTAGCAGCATGAAGTGCAGGCTCAACCTCTGCATCCTTCATCTCCGTATCTGCCGGAGGCGAAGCAGGGCGGACCTGTTCCCGCTCTGCGCCAGCAAAAAGAGCTTTAAACCGGGCGTCTTGCTTAGGCGGCACTTCCTTCCTAGGACGCGACTCCTCGGGGGCGGGTGCAGGTGCACCATGCCCTTCTCTGGCTTCCTGTTGCTGCACCTGCTCTTTAACTAGTTGTTCTTCTGTAGCGAGGCCTTCCTGGTCCTCTGGCAATACCACACGCGGTGTCTCATCCTGCGCTTTGGCCTTTTTACTCGCAAGCGCTTCAGTCGTTGCGATTGGGCTTTGGCTGCGGCGCTTCCGTTTAAGCCTGTCCTCAGCCACTTCTTCGGTAGGGAGGGCAGGGGGTAATTCGTTGCCCGCTTCGGGCGCTTTGGCCGAGGGTGTATTTCCATCGGTAGGTGCAGCAGGTTCCGCACCTGCAGGTTCGCGTTGTTCAGATAGAGCTTCCTGGGCCATCGCATCACCGGGAGCCTGCTCAACCGGTTGAGCGGCAGCCTCATCGGGGCCGGCCTGAGGGGCCGGCACCTCTTCTAGGGTCTTCTCTGCCTCCTTTCCTGGATCCGCCTGCTCCTGTTCTTGTGGTTTCTCCTCCTGTCGCACTTGTTCAGCCGCATCGGTCATCGGTTGGTCTACCTCGGCCTCATCCCTTGGTGTTTCTTCCGCCGTCGGCTCCGCAGGTTTAGGTTCGTCACGCTTTTCGACATCACCATTTTGGGCCAATGGTTCCTGTGCTTGGTCCGGCTTCGGTTCTTCTGTTTTCTGTTCCTCAGGTTTCACGTCTTGCGGCACGTCGGGGGTCGGTTGTTCCGCGGGTTGCTGCTCAGCTGTACCCTGCGCATCGGTAGTTTTCGGTCCAGCGGAAGCTCCCTCTTTCGATTCTCCAGCTTGGTCACCAGCTTCAGCCTCGAGGAGTTTGTCGATAAACTGCTGTTTAACCCGGAGGCCGGTCTGCGCAATACCGCGCCGCTTCAGCTCAGCCTTTAGGTCGGTTACCTTCCATTTCGAATAATCGGTCATTATGATTCTTTTCGCAAAGGCGATCGCAGGTTCAAGCGGTCATGGGGAAATTAGAGCCGGCTTTAATTCACATGCGTGGAATGTTGGCGCGGTCGGGTCAGTGATATCGATTTGGTGAAGGAGCTCAATGATGCGCTTTAAGAGTGATGTCGTTGCGCTAGACTGTATGTGGACTAGCAGGTTAGTTATGCATTCTATATTCGGTTTAGCGTGGCTTGTTCGTACATGCTGAATAAACGCGTATGCAGTGCCAAATGCGGAAGGCGCAAGTCTGGGCTTGATCTCTAGTTCAACACTGTGAGAGATGATGAAGCGAATAGCCGAGAACGGAAGGATAGACTTGGACAGTCCGGATGTGGCTGAATGAAGTAGCATTTTTGGCGGCCTCTACAGTCAGTTCCGAGGAGAGGGTTCCAAGTATTCATCTACCACAGCCGATCATTGAGAATGTTGGAATTGTCATCTCTATCATTTAACAAGTTGTACAGAGTGCATGCCGTGATATATCAAGCCATATGAGCAAAAAGATAGCAATATGGCGCGTCAAGACGACAAGGTGACAAAAGTGGGGTTCTATATATAACCTGCACGAGATGGATCTTATCAGTTTAAATGCGAGTAACCCGGTCCGTTGATGAGGGGAGGAAGGCCGACTGGTTTAATGATAGTACTACATGACAAAAAGATAAGCGACTTGGCAGGTGGAACGATATTAAAACACCAAGATCCGAGAGATGTTCCGATAATAAGAACAGCATCATCCCCGCAGACCTCACGTCTGATATCCAGCTACTTTACCAGTATACTCTTTGGACAATGGGCTCTACAGACTCCCTACCTGCCGGTCTCCCGGTCAAGAATCCCACGACTCCCTTTTGGAGAACCGAATTGCATGCCCTCGATGACCTGCGAACTACCCCGGAATTGCCTCAGGAGAGCGACATCGTCATAGTTGGCGCTGGATATGCCGGAGTCAGCATCGCATATCATCTACTGAAGCAACAAGACCAGCAAAGTCAACATCACCCGTCGATAACTATTCTTGAAGCGCGACAAATCTGTTCGGGTGCCACCGGCCGTAATGGTGGTCATATTCGACCTGATTTGTATGGTCACATCCCGACATACATTGAACGGCATGGAGCGGAGGCCGGTGCAGAACTGGCTAATTTTGAGCTTTCTCATGTTAAAGCCTTGAAAGATGTCATTTCTGAAGAAGGGATTGATTGTGATTTCAACATCACTCGGAATATGAACGTGTATCTCAACGAAGCTCATGGTGAGAAGGCGAAACAGAAATATGAGGCACTGGCATCCCAGTCGCATTCGTTTGTCGAGGACATACATTACACGCCACAGAAGCATGCTGAAGGAGTAGGTCTTCTCCACGAGAATGACTGAAAGTGACTGACCTGAAATAGATATCTGGCGTCAAAGGTGCCAAGGCTTGCATGTCCTATACTGCAGGCACGATATGGCCTTATAAGTTTATTCTGGGATTGCTTTCGAAGATTATGGGTTATACTGCTCTTAATGTGCAAACGCACACTCCGGTCACGTCTGTAACATCATCTGACTCCAGTCACTTGGTCCATACTTCGCGCGGATCGATCCGTGCTTCCAAAGTCATCTATGCTACGAATGCATATACACCTAGCTTACTCCCAGAGTACTCCTCGAATATTGTGCCCGTTCGTGGATTATGCTGTCACATCACCGTCCCCGAGGGCAAGCATGCTCCTTTCCTGCCATACTCTTACATCCTCAATGGAGACGGATGCAGCTACTTGATTTCCCGGCCAGATGGAAGTATCATCGTTGGCGGCGCCCAATACACATTCAAAGATGCGAAGGAGCAGTGGTACGGTGTGGTAGACGACAGCACACTCATTGAGCCCGCAAAGGACTATTACAATGATTACATGCAGCGCACGTTCCATGGCTGGGAGGACAGTGGTGCATATGTCAAGGAGATTTGGACTGGAAGTAAGTTTCAAACATAATATCTGCTCCTCCCGTTCTGAAAAGGATAAGTACACTGACAGCCTCTAGTTATGGGCTATTCGTATGACTCCAACGCCCACGTTGGTGAGATTCCAAACAAATCTGGACAATATATTTGTGCAGGATTCAATGGACACGGGATGCCAGTGATTTTCTTAACTGCCAAGGGGCTTGCCGAGATGATTCAAACAAGCAAAAGCTTCGAACAGGTTAACTTACCACAAATTTTCAAGACCACGGAGAAGAGATTGCAGGCGGCTCAGGAAGCGTCGGATGGAGGTGATGTTCTGGCTTGAAATACTGTTCTATACATTAGTTAAGGCAATCAGACAATTAGTTTGTTGAATGCTTGTTCAGTGAAATAGTAGATGCACTATAGACCATTCTATACATGGAAATCGCCGTTTCCCAAAGCCCCCCGATGTTTTTTATAAAAGTGGCAGGCATTATACGAACGACGCTGTCTTTTTATTCCACAAGGATATCACTCTGCATCAGGCATATAGCTGCAGAGGTAAGCGGTCTTATTTGGCGAGGAACTTCTCTTCTCACCTTTCATTGACTCTGATTTATTGTAACCTGTTCTTTCCTATTTAAGCAGCCTTCGACTGTAACATACTCCCGGTAACTTTGCTCTGGGTATATTGGCCTACCGACTACCATAGTCCAGTCATTTGTTGTATCACCATATAATCTGCAGCCTCCAATGTCCCACTTCTTTCTTCGAAAGGTCCGGGGTCGAGCATTCAAGGTCTTGAATGCAAACACGCAGAGCTTCTGAAGCCTGGCCACTGAAGACATATAAATAGCGGCGCAGCAGTACGGGGCCATCCCAGTGTGGTTAAAGCCCTTGTAGAAGGGTTATGGGCGCAAACCAAATGCAGGTTGTTCAATATTTTGTCCGATTTGGTTGGTGTCGGCCTGAATACGAATGGTTACCAGGTCGCTACTCCCTTACGTGCAGCGGCCAGCAAGGGTCATATTGATATAATTCGTTACATACTTGTCCATGGGGCAATGTGAATCGCGTATCTGATTAATTTCTCCAATAATTTCTGTAGTGCCACTAAAGTGCGAATGAAAGGAGCACATGATCAATCTACTGCTGGACCATGGTGTTGACCCAGATTATCCGAGGCCAGGAGGAACTGTCTACCGCCCATGCTAGCCATTAGAAATGAATCCATTTTTAGACTGCTACTTGAGAGAAGGGCAGATCTCAAGGCCAGTTTCGACTACACTCCACCGGATGCCAGTGTATTGTAAGAGATGACCAAGACTGGACAGGGGACCTTGGCTCAGGAATTATTAGCTCGTGCTGTATCAATCAACAAATATTTCATTTAGGATGTATTAAGAGGCGGGGAGTAAATGGTGGAACTATTCCTCGCAAACGGAATGTTGGAGCATCCAGCAAGGACGAAAGAGCACTCATTCTACTTGATGCAACTTACACGGGTCAATTACGTTTAGTTGAGTGCTTGATGAATCAAAAGTTTGAAATGTCTGCGCGACGTTCCCCGGATTTACTCTCCTCGCAGGCTTCTGTTGCATGTGAACCCGGGCCTAGAGGTGCTATGGCCGACGAGATACTCAGTTGAGCTACGGCGTGGATATCAACACCGGCGACAGTTTTGATCACACAGCTTTAACATACTCTTCAAGATCATAGAGCAAAGCGCGTGATGTACATTCTCAAAAAGGAGCAGGTCCACTGCGCGAAGACGGCAACAATCCCTTTGCTACGCGCGGCACACTTTTCGTTGGAGAAGCCTGAGACTTTGCTACAGGCTATTGACATTCACGCCGTGTCGTCCCAGGAGCTCTGTGAATGGATTACCAATTTACAACATATATTGGCCGAGGGTCATGAGATGGGTGCTGTGAAAGTGTTTGATCGGTTTTTGGTCAAGGTCAATGCTGAGGTCGGTGGTGTTTGAACCACGGATCTCCATGCTTTTCAAATCTCGCAAAATGCAACTGGTGCGTTCCCTTAACACCGGTATGCGGCCTCGGGCTACCCTATCCAAATTTATGTGCTTGCAGGATACAAGTCTCACGAATCAAAACGGTTTGCTATACTGTATAGCTGCAAGCTAGATATCATTGCCTCAACCATAACGATTGGAGTTATTATGTTTAGATCAATGTGATCGAAAATCGATCCAGCATTCATGTTCCTAGATTACAATGAGCATCGAACAGTCTACATACAAAGTACAGTAGGATCATGCTTACCCGCTTTTCAGAACAAGTCTCGTCCCAGAACATTTCATAACGCCCACTAATTCCCGGTGAAATCTTATCAAAGCCGTTAATGGTAGTTGTGCTGTACTTGCGGTAAATTGCAGCTATCATGGTTGTCATTTCGGCCATGGCGAGACTAAAGCCATTAATCAGTTTGCTGTGTATACTCTATATGTGGGAAGCTTACTGGATCCCAATACACATTCTTCCTCCGCTAGAAAATGCCCAGAACAGTCTTTTCATTTCTGCCTGGTCTTGGGACTCATCAAACCAGCGGTCTGGGTTGAATCTTGACGGCTCTGGGAAGATCTCCGGGTTTCGATGTAGGATGTACGGTGACATGGAAACTACTGTCCTTAGGGGAATTTCGTACCCATCAATCGTAGTTCTGGTAGCAAGGGACCGGGGTTCTGATCCAGGAAGAGGTGCGAATAGTCGAAGTGTTTCTTTGATGACTGCATTCACATAAGGAAGCTTGTCACTTGCCTCGACTTTTGGAATATCATCTGCATTAATACCATCTTCCTGGATTCCACAGATCTCCTCAATTACCCTCTTCTGAAATCGCCTATGCTCGGGACGCGAAAGAGACCAAACCACGAACATCAGAGTATCGCTAGTAGTTTCAATACCAGCCATGAGATGGTCCGCACATTCCGACGCAATATCCGAGTCATCCATTCCACTCTCTTTCCTAGAGCGATGGTGCTGCCACAGCCGTGCAATTAGGATTGATGACCCTTCCTTATTCTTTTCATCGTCCGTCGCAGCAGAAAATGCCCAGCAAGCTTTCAGCGCATGACGGCGGATGCCCATGTATGTAGTAGGTGCTTGCATGGGATAGAATTGCCGCGCAAGGCAACCCAGGGCACCCTTCCTAGTGTAAAGCCATTCCGTGAAGCGAAGAAAATGCACACTGAACCATGTCAACCTGCGGCGATCCGAATTTGCCATCGCCCTTATTAACACACGGTCTGTCTTCACGCCCTGTAGGCATGCTGTCTTTCCGAATCGTCCGTAGAGGAACTCGGTTATAACATCGAGGGAAAAGTAATGCAGACTGTTAAATATATTGCTCGTCGAGCCCTCCCGCTCGAGAAGTTCCAAATACATCCGGACCTTCTTCTCAATCAACGCTGCGGTATCACCCTTCAGCATTCCTGACTTGGCATATGCATGGGCTAGAATCCTTTTGCGATCCCCGTGCGCTTTCCCAGACGCGAATGAGAACAAGTTCGGACGCCCGGCCACATCAAACATTTTGTAAAACCCCGTTCGTTCGAATCTACTGCCAGCGCCATATATCACTCGCAGCGCAGATATGCTGTTGAACGATACCTCGCCAGGGCCCACGCGGACAATGGGGCCATATTTGCTATGCAGTTTGAGGAGAGTGCGCGATCGATCGCCTTTGTAGTCCTCGTATGCGAGCCGCCATTTCGTCAATGCGTATGTCAGAGGTCCTGGGACTCGCGCGAGGGGACTAAAGAATAGTTTATAGCAGTAGTGCCAGAGAAGGAAAGCTGCGATAATGGCCGTAAAGCTAGCAATAACTGGGGACATTATAGTATGACCCGGTGCAAATACTGCTCACTTTGTCGCATAGTGGAAGATAGATCCGCTTTTATACCCAATCTAAATCGGATCCTTCGATGTCAAGCTGTCAAAGCGCAAGAATATGTAGGTTAACGGAACCGGATTCCGCGTTGATATGTAGCTGACAATACCCTGAGTGGTGCAAAACAGATCCGGCAACCGCCAGAGAGATAGACGCTGATGACAATACGGCATGAATGATTGGGTGAAATTTGGACCTTATACTAATAGTTGAAGTATGTGCCGATGGCACTCATCTTCATCGTACATCGAAGCCAAGAACCGTGACTTTGCCGATGGCCGTTGTTGCATTAGCCGAGGCAGAAGCTATGTTTGTATTTGTGCTGACAGTAAACGAGATATGACACCCTTTTCATCGATTATGTTCAGATGATCTCAGATGACTGCCTGAGGACGGCACTAGACGTCCTTCTCCGGTTACTTTGATGGATTTCTATCCAGCATCTACTGACGCTGAAAAGTTGACGGAATCAGAAGTAACTTACATTCAACTAGCTCTCAGACGGTCTCCCTCCAGATCACATCGTGCGACAATCCAACCAAATGTGCAGACTCGAACCCAGTTGCTCGGAAAGTCCTTGGTTCCTCATGAGCGAACAAGGACGACGGCAACCAGTGGATTGTCGTCTGCAATTTGACTGACAAAGCCATCTACAAGTTCGACAATGACAAAACACCCTGGGTGTTTGTTCCGCTTCCAATGGAAGGAAGCTGCTGGGATTATATTAGAATATTTCGTCCAACTCCCACGATGCGATCCTGGGGGTTTTCTAGTGTGTGGTTGACGGCCATTTTCACGAAATGGGCACTCCGCAATATGACATGTTATGGTTAGATGCTGCTACGTACAGGTCCATTAATGGCGCTGAATTCATGCAGGCAGATCGGATTCTTTAACTAAATCAACGGTTACCAAGAAAAGCACGCGACAACTGGCCTACCTCGGTCGTCATATTTGGAGTAACAGAACTAAAGACAAAAGTTTAAAGAAGACGCCAAATAGTAATTCACTAATTCGAGGAGCATAGTACGAATAGTTTTAATCATCTTGGTCATAAGGGACAAGGCAATACTTGAGAAGTGGGAGCATTTTCCCGATATTACCCGCACAGTGCTGGGCAATATATGGGTGACGGCGAGCAGTATTACTGTGTCCAGGAAGTCATGGTCACATCCAACGGAATGACGGGAGCTCCGATGAGATTCTCATTCGGAGACCTTCTTGATAGGGACCCCCAAAATAAGAAGACCGACATCATCTTGAATGACGAAGACTTTCACTATATAAAACGCGCTATCTTTGATCCAAGGATAGGTGATGCGCATTTGGAGAAATCAAATTAAGAGGAGCTCTCGTTGTTCGAGAAAATTTGGAGGCAAGCTCTGGCTATCATTGGTTGCAAGTGGCTAGTATCAAATAATTGGATTAGATATGGAGCTCTCTCTTTCCTTCTGTACCATTTCCATGGCTAATCGCCGCGCATCGTGCAAGCTGCTGTCGGTCCTAACTGTTTATTAAGCTAAGCTCTAGCTAACAGAACAAAAAGTGTCTATCTTGAAAAATAACAAATAGCATGAGTGGCAGCTTTACAAGACGAACGCATTGCCATGTATTGCCAGGTTTTCGGATTGCCATAGTTCCAGTGTGTTGCGTACCTCTACATTTATGCGAAACTAGAAAAAAGCGGATCATATTCAAAATCTGATAGCAACTCACATGTAGTCCTTTTATCTGATTGGGATCTACGGAGAAATATGTTGGACTGTGTATTCCCCATGTGCACTATAGAATGCCTTGATTCGTTAGTGGTAACTGTTCCACTGTTGTGGGTGAAGGGACCGGCGATTCGGTCAGCACCTTGACTAGTTTCGTGTTATCAATCTCCTGTTTTCTTTCTCGATGGTCTGATATTGGTCTTCTCTCTCCGAATGCCGGAGTAGGCAATTGTCGGGGCTTTCCTGGTTAGGGCTAGGGTCGTGGAACCACCATCAACAAAAGACAAATACACGAACCCTTCAAGCCCACGAGGCTTTCGGGTAAATTACGGATAGTTAGCAATTACTAGAAAGAGATTAGGATAAAAGTTCCGAAGCACGTTAGCCATTGTCAGGGGTCCGTCGGGAGTTCGTCGGGGAATTTACTTCGGAGTTTCCGCGGTTTTCCCGATATATCAAGATGATTATTTTGTCTACTTATTTTTCTGTTTCTGCACATATCTGAAAGTATAGACCTCAGAATTCTGTTATCTTTCTTCTCATTTTTACCGCAATGAAGGGCTCAACCGCAGTTGAGCTTCTTGCCGTGAGCTGGGCAGGTGTTGGTGCCGCTCTAGACTACAACGCGCCACCGGGTAACCTATCCACCCTTCCCAATTCGACGCTTTTCGAAACCTGGAGACCCAAAATTCACGTCCTCCCGCCAACTGGCCAAGTTGGGGACCCATGTGCACACTACAGTGACCCTGAAACTGGTTTGTTCCATGTTGGCTACCTGCACAATGGCAGCGGAATCGCTACTGTCCAGACAGATGACCTTGTGCACTATTATGATGTGAACAAGAACGGCAACTTCTCCCTCACTCCTGGTGGTGCAAATGATCCTGTTTCTGTGTTCGATGGCTCTGTCATTCCCAGTGGCGTTGATGGCAAGCCAACAATGATCTACACCTCAGTTTCATCGTTGCCGATCCATTGGACCCTTCCTTATACCCGGGGAAGCGAGTCCCAGTCCCTGGCTGTCACTTCTGATGGAAAGAATTTCACCAAGTTTGACATCCCGCCTGTGATTCCTGGGCCTCCAGCAGGCTTGGACGTTACTGCTTTCCGTGACCCATTTGTCTTCCAGAACAAGGAGTTAGATCGAACCCTTAATAGCGCCAAGGGCACTTGGTATGTCACTATCTCTGGTGGTGTTCACGATGTCGGCCCTAGTATCTTCCTTTACCGCAGTAAGAGCTCCAACTTTGAGCAGTGGGAGTATCTTGGGGAATGGTTCAATGCGCCTTCTAACTCGACTTGGGGTAACGGTGACTGGGCCGGAGTCTATGGGTTTAACTGGGAGACTGTCAATGTGTTCGGTCTTGATAAACAGGGATACAACTACAATGGTGATTCTTTCATGACTTTTGGTGTGGAAGGCTCCTACATGCCTATCCAGAAGGCTGTGTCCTCTTTGCATGCTCAGCTGTGGGCAGCTGGCAGTGTCTCAACCGTTGATGGAAATGTGACTTTCAATCCCAACATGGTTGGCTTTCTTGATTGGGGCTTGTCTGCATATGCTGCGGCTGGAAAGGTTTTGCCCAGCACATCTAAAGCATCGTCCAGAAGCGGTGCTCCGGACCGTTTCATCTCCTATGTCTGGTTGACTGGAGACGTGTTTGAGGCAGTCAAGGACTTCCCCAAGGCACAACAGGGATGGCAGAGTACCCTTCTCCTCCCACGTGAGCTGAGCGTGCATACGATCCCCAATGTGGTGAACAACGATCTCGTCCACGAGACCGCCTCCTGGCGCGTGGCTAGCAACTCCTCTGCCGGTAGCTGCGTCGAACTTGAAACCTTAGGCGTCAACATCGCGCGGGAAACCTACAACGCTATTACTGCTGCCCCGTCCTTCTCAGAACCGAGCCGTAAACTCTCGAAGGCCGGAATTGTTCCCTTCAACCGCTCGCCTGACAGCAAGTTCTTTGTCCTCAACGCCCAGATCTCATTCCCGCAGTCTGCGCGTGGCTCTGGCCTCAAGTCTGGCTTCCAAATCCTCTCGTCTGAGCTTGAGTCCACCACAATTTACTACCAGTTCTCGAACGAGTCGATTGTCATCGACCGCTACAATACTAGTGCTGCTTCGCAGACTACCAGTGGGATCAACTCGGACCCAGAGTCTGGACGTCTGCGTTTGTTCGACATCAACAATAGCTGCAACGGTAGCGGTAAAGACAAGAATGAGCACATGGAAACTTTGGACCTTACCATCGTGGTCGACAACTCTGTTCTCGAGGTTTATGCCAACTCACGCTTCGCACTGTCTACTTGGGCTCGGTAAGCTCTCTTTCTGCACACATTTATGACACAAGCTAACTATCGTAGTTCCTGGTATGCCAACTCAACTGAGATCCGCTTCTTCCATGACGGCGAGGGTGAGACCTCATTCAGCAATATCCAAGTCTCAGACGGCTTGTACGATGCTTATCCCGAGAGATTGCGGTAAGCAGCTTTCTGGGCATTGTTTCTGAGATGCATTTGCTACCTGTATAATTTGCATACACTGTAATTTAATTTTGCATTACGGTGGGGGTCGGTTTTTTTGAGGCATGTTCATAGTGGAAGCGAGATAGATATTATTAATTTCATTGAGATTTTCATAGTACCCTTCTGGGCACTGCGCTCTAAGTTTGAAAGGTGCACAAAAGAAACTCACATAGAAGGAAGGACCTCTAAAGTACAATACTAATTGTCATAGGGCTAGCCATCCAGGCATTCAGTGAGTTCAGCTAGTCCATGTGACTTCATAAGTTATTAAATGATTTTCCTTTACTTTTTTGCCATTTTTCTCTTTATATTTCTCTCTTCTCTTTTTTCGATCCTCGAAACACTTCCTGTCCATTGTTCACTATGCCTGAGCCATCCCTGGATGACCTGGAAGCCTTGAAAGCCAAGAGAACCCAGGTAATCCAGAATCGGCTGAGACGCTCACAAAAGCGGAAAGCTTGGAAGGCCTTGAAGTTCCCAAAAACTCGGAAAACCCGACCAACCGTCAATAACAGAAAGCCAAAGCGCTTCTAGCTCGTCGGGACCAGCTAGCTGCAGAGGTCCCAGACGCCTCGCGGAAGGGCTCTGAAGATCCGCCTGAACAATCCTCTGAACATCCTGAAGGCGCCAAAGAAGCTTCTCACAAAGGACCTGACACTGGCATCGTGTTCGAAACGAAAATTTCTCTATCGTAGTCTATGCTTAAGGGGGTCCTGGTTCTATATATATGACAAGCAACGGCGACCATGTACTTTTACATTAGTATGGCATTTTGAACTTAGGTCAATTGGTATATTATTCACCTCTGCGATGGCCCAGGGCTGGAGTAGGGCTTGGTGGCGAGCCATGATGGGTTGAAAGTCCGGGCGTTTCTATCTGTCTTTTTCAGGTGTTGAGTTCTCGTTCTGGATAAAGAATAAAGCCAATCTGTAGTTCTCTTGAATGTGTCTTGACTCTTTTCTGGTGTACAATTTAGGTGATAGACAGTACTAATTCTCTGAATACATCGAGAAGCGTAAATTTAAAGATGAAGATGGTAGACATCCGGCGAACAGGCAACCGTGGATGATCTGTCTATCTCACCATCAACAAGTATAACCTCCAGGTAGACTAATATATATCAATATGTCAAATTAAGTTCTCGATTTGACGGGCTTTGTACGAAAAATCGACGGAAGAGATATACAGATCGAAGAGCAGATTACAGAGGTCACCGTCAGCGAATTTGCACAGCATCATGTTCTGACTCTATCCCGCTACCTTAATGAAAATGAGCCGGTAATGTTTAAAGTCCGCTCCGATTAGGGTTATATCTCAGCTAAGATTCAAGGATATTCCCGACAAGCCAGTCTTAAACCTAAGAATTTCGAGACTGGAGACCCTAACGTTAAAAAAAATCCCATTTAATGACTTTCTCTTAGAGTTTGATCTATTCGAACACGTCAATTGCATTGGCCATGTACCAAAGTACATCACTCATCTCACCGTAGGCCAGGCCCGGGCTTTCCATACCAATAAGGGTTCCTCAATTGTTGGTCTTGAGCCGTGTTCCAAGAGAGACGGTTGACGATATCTACATGGATTTTTCTCATGAGCAGCTTGAAAGTATATGAAAGCAACTCTCTTATATCACTGGGTTAGTACCACATATCCAAGCCTGGTGTAAATGACTAACTAATGCAGGAACCAGGCATATGCGGCATGATAGATAGACCTTTTTTGAGCAACATCCCGACTTTCTACGGTATGATATTAGGAATAACAAGGTATGTGTACACTCCCTGTTAATTTGACTCTCGGTTGATTCTGACAATCTCAGTTATCTTGTTGACTTCATGTTCTGCAATGTTATAGACCCCGACGAGGACAATATCATTACAGAGGATGATGTCTACGTTCTGTCCTTCAACACTTGGTTGAGTAATCTTCACGAAGCTTCTGAATTATCAATGTCGAATGATGAGGTTCTTGGTCATTGTAATATAGCTCAGTAGCATTTCTGAATTGAGTGAGCTCAGCGATGAAAATCGCTGTTCGAGTATTTCTCTTGCCATTGAGCTTTTTACGTTAATTTCCTTGGAATTATCTTGTATTTGTTTCTCATAGACATAGATCAATAATTTGTACCACATGACCTATGAGTCTCCTTCGAGAGACAACACTCAAACATCACACAATGGCTGACATAAACCACATTTCTCTGCTGTCATACCTACAGGAGACCTTGTCTGCAATTCCTAGCTACCTTCAAGTTCATGAGCACAGCAGCTTTGATCCCACCTACGGACCGACGACATCGAAAGTGCCACCGTCTGGCACGACTTCAGCCTGGATGCCATCCTTCAGAAATACCACCATGCTCTTACACGAGTGAGTATCCGTTCAGATCCTATGCCTGTGTCTCCGTCTCCAATCGCTTGCGGCAACTTCCTAATATGAGACTCTGCGATAATGTCTTTCCCAGAATACGACAATCTCTGCGAGCTGAATTCAGCTACTTGGCTGAAGTGGGCCTAGGGTCCACGGATGGCATCTCACCAGTCATATTCGATAATGGAGGGACCATCCGGGAGATCGACGGTTATATTTCAGCCATAGCCTACTACGAGGCAGCATTCATCTTCAGCACTGATCCGAACCGTGCCCTGGGAGATGTTCAGATCCTCTGGGAGTGAAATACGGGGTTCGCTACCCATCCAGATCCCAATATGCGCGATAAGTACCGTCAATTACTGAGAAAAGTCAACTGGTACACGAATTAGCATGGTTCGAAATACGGCTGCATTCTCTCTCACCGCGAACTGGTGGTGCCCCGGCGGAAGGGTGATCGTAGGAACCTAGAGATTCCTGTACCAATTCCTTTTACTGCTGGTGGTACAAAAGAGAACTCCGAAATGACAGTTCTATTGGCGCTACACTTGCAACTCAGAAACATGCTGATTGTTACATATGTAATGGAGCTGTTTTGCTTATTCTCGGTGGTCGCCGAGAATCTATTTATTTGGACTACTACGCTGCATTAAACCGAGCCTTTCGAGTATGTGCATGAGCCATTGCCTATGCTACTGCACCCAATGGTAACCCTTGCGGAGGGCCGACGGAATTTGATTGACTACAGTCCCTCCACCTGGTAAATTTGGCGCTTAAAGCGAACGACAGGTTGACAGTATCCGGGAGATCTCCATTCCCTCCGTTTCACTATTAGCGAGTTACAAGCTCGACCGCCCTTAGCAACCCAATTGATGCAAAACATGGGGCGTTGTATCTGGTCTAGTTTGCTATGAACTTGGTTAGACTCCATTTGACAAACATAATAAAATTGACAGCAGTGTTGCACAAGTACAATGATTTGGTCGCACTAACCGTGCATGCTTTTCAGTTCTCAGCCTCGAGTACTAGCCGTCTTTATCGCAACTCCAAGACCGAAAACTTAGTACTCTCATGCGCCCTTGTATGTCAATCTGTACAGAGCCGGAAATATCGGACCTGAAAGGGAGATAAATCATTGGGCACTCGAAATGTTTCACTGCAGTATGACCAAACATGCATTTCCGGTCATGCACCTGTGCTTACAGCGTCCGGGGTCCACTTGTGATGGATATAGACTCACTTTGCCAGTTTTTTTTTTTCGCGCTCATGGAACTCATATCTCAACAAGTGTCAAGAGTCGTATGTTCACTCAACTCTGTTAAGCAATATTGAGATAGTCACACATCCACCATGATAAGTGTCTTTATCGTGTCGGCAGCTCTCTACTCTCTCTATTTCTTTGGGGGTGCAATTTGGAATATATACTACCATCCGCTACACAAAATCCCTGGACCCAAATTATGGATCGCCTTTCCTATTCTTCGCCACATCTCCCTTATTAGAGGACAACTCGAAGCTGATATCAAGGCCTTCCACGGCAAATACGGCAAGGTCGTGCGTTTCTCAACAGCTGAGGTCTCCTTCATCACGGCCAAGGCCTGGCGTGAAATCTACAATGATCTACCCAAGGCGGAACTGTCGACCAATGTTCCATTGGGAATCAACAATGCCAATGATAAGAATCATCGTCGCTACCGCAAAGCACTGGCGCATTCCTTCTCTACCAAGGCTCTGACAACTCAGGAGCCCGTTCTGATCGAATATACGGACAAGTTAATAAAAAGGATGAAAGGTCTCGCCGAGTCACAAAGACCCGCAGACATGGTCAAGTGGTACAATTCGACGACTTTTGACCTAATCGGCGACCTCGCGTTCGGAGTGTCGTTTGGAAACTTGGACACAGACGGGTACCACTTCTGGGTGTCCAACGTCTTCCAGGCGGTTCGAGGTATAGTCATGGGTACGATAAAGGACGCCTATCCAGTGCTGTTCAAGTTGTTTAGCTTCGCTTTTGGTCTCAACCGTTTCTCGGATGCGCGAGCAAGGCAATTAGAATACAGCAGCTTCACCATGCAAAACCGCCTGGCACGCGAGAAACCTCGCGACTTGGTCGATTTTATGGATGGTTTTTTGCAGTCAAAGGATAATATAACAGTAGAGGAAATGGAAGCCAACGCCAATCTATTGATCATTGCCGGAAGCGATACAACAGCAACTTTGCTCTCTGGTACGACCTACTACCTGCTCAGGACGCCGCGTGCGCTGGAAAAAGCCACTCAAGAGGTCCGCTCTGCTTTTAAGTCGGAATGCGAAATCAATTTTCTGAATACCACTGCCCGGCTGCCGTACATGATCGCCTGTCTCAGTGAGGGTATGCGAATGTATCCTCCTGTTCCGTCCGTTCTGCAGCGTGTAGCCATTTCTCCCGAGCCTACCGAGATATCAGGATACTATATATCCCAGGGGGTAAGTTGACTAGTTTATTTCTCGAATAAAAACAGTTCTAACCCACATCTGCATAGACAAAGGTAGGAGTACACCAATTTGCCGCTAATACATCTCCCATAAACTTCTACAACCCAGACAACTTTATCCCCGAGCGCTGGCTTCCAGAGATTAAGAAAGACCCATCCTCCCCATTCTACAATGACAATCGCGACGTGTGCCAGGTATTTTCGTACGGTCCGAGAGATTGCATAGGGAAGAACCTAGCCTATGCCGAAATGCGCGTGATTTTGGCACGCATGCTCTGGAATTTCGATTTGGAAATCTGCGAAGAGAGCAATAATTGGAATAGACAACGTACTTTTACGCTGTGGGAAAAGTCGCCGTTGATGGTTCGGTTGAAGCTTAGGGAGGGGATTGAAAAGCTTTGAGTTGGTTGAATTAGTAAAAGTAGGGCTGTGGAGTCATTGTTTAGTTTGATTCTTTGTGTTTTATTTCCTGAGAATCTACTATCTTTGTATCTTGGTGTTTTTCTTCTTTTGTCTCCTTTCCACCCATTCATACATGCTCCTTCTATATAAAGCATGGCTCCTGTTTACAGTTAATAATAATGTGTCAGGCAGTAGTTAGAACAAGAATAGTGTTAATTCTGAAAAAAAAAAATTCTTTAATAGCGCATGAAAGTTCCGGGTGTCAGTCCTAGAACCGTACTCGATTGCAACAGATATTCCGGGATTGGACCTGGACTTTCCCATATAACACAGATACGGTTGCCAAGTGAGTCTATCCTCTGTCTTATAGAGACCACATTATACCTCATGCCCATATTCATGAATGCCATTTTAGGCAAAGAAATTTGTTCTACAAGCATGGACCGACTAAGCAAAACCGCCGCCTAGAACTCAAACGACTAGGCCTATCCACTAAGGACCGAGGGCAGATATATTCGAGCATCCGAAAAAGTCACACAAGTCTCCTTTTAATTGAGAATTCATCTCCCTTCAAACTGAATCCAAAGGGGACGGTGCCGCCATTGTCTCCAAGAAGATTAAGGAAAACGATCTACCACGCGAGAAAGACTTTAAAGCAGAAAATCAACCAGGAAGGTCATTTTATGAAGGACAAGGAGAATATGGTGGTTTAAAATGATTTCAGGGTTGATCGGGGTCAAGATATGCATGCTACTAACCTTGCACAAGCATCGCAATCTCAGTGATGTCAAGGAAATATTTGGATCAAAGCCGCGAAATTAGCCACACCTGGAAGTGCTGCGATTTATCTCCCACATGCTTGCATAAATCCCTTTCCTTTACGATCATAAAGATAAAATTCAAGTTAATAGTCTTCAGCGTACGCTCTGGAGGACTTTGGAATCTGTGTAACACAGCTAGGCGAGCGAGGAACCTACCAGGGGACGTAAGAACATCACATTGATATGCGTACTCGCATGTGCGTTTTGTATGCTGGCATTTGGGTTCCGCAACAAAGTGCAAGAATTTCAAGACAATTCAAACTCACTACAGCATGGTTGCTATCAAAGTATTGTATAGCCCGCATAAAGTGTGCTTGTCGACATAATATAAAGGCGTAGTCTGCAATGCTAGCGTTGGGTTACCACGTGCAGCTTTACTACTGTCTGGACACTCTATGCCAGCACCCCTCATAATCAAATAGAACGTCGCATGGACACATTTATGAAAATGAGTGGCTAAATGCGACATAGCAAATGTTAGGTTGACAACCGCCAATGATATATGTTCATGTCATCAAGCATCTGGCAGTGATCACTGGAATCCTGGATGCGAAGTTGCAACGGGGTATCGCCCTGTCAGAACCATCTCAATATATTGGCTGCTTGGGACTATCGGAGTGGCTTATGTGCAGTTGAGTGAGAGTATAGAGAAAAATTTTTGTTATGTACGTATTATTTATGATACCTAGCCCTAGCCATTCATCGTCATAATCCAAGCTCTTTTACTTGCAGCCAGAGGGCTATATGCTAAAGCAATATAGTCGTCAACCGTCCTTTTACTTATATACTAGGATTTTATCTTATAGAGAACTTTCCTGAGACTGCTTTTCCGATAGCATGAGATACTCAAAGGAGCAATGTAGACACATTCCGCATATAACCCTGTCTCTGCCCAAGGGCAAGCAGGAATCTAAAGAGCCAGGATAGAAATCAATGACACCGGGTGCTCGCTAATGCGTAATACTGAAATACTCGCAGGCAAAAGAGATAAGTCTATCTGCGGGAATGGAAACAGACTTGCCGGTGACATGGTTCAGTACGACATCAAAGAGTAGCTCAGAAGCGACATTGAGGATAGCGAGGAATGACAGATATAGAGCCGTTAACAAGTCGAGAAAAATAAAGTTCTTGAAGTTCTGCGGGTATTCTATCCTTGTACATCTTCCAGTATTCAAGATGAAGACCCTTGTTATCAGCATGTGTATGGATGAGGATGACGACTCTGATCTTTCCATCAATATCAGCCAACCAAAGATGCGCATTGTTGCACAGTTGAGCCAAACCATCTGGTCTATCAACTTTAATAGTTATAGTTGGGACATCAACTGCTAGCTTTCTGGTATTATTGGGTCTAAGTGCTTCACTGGGCTCCTTGGCCCTAAACATATCAGCACGGTCTTCGCGGCCGGCTCCGATGAACAAATCAAACCGTGTGGTGCCAGTTAGTTGGGAATTCTCCGTAAACCCCACTGAAAACTTTTTCTTTGCGATTTCATGCTTTGTGCCGACAAGTTTCAGAATCAGGATTGTCGAGCGAAGAATCATGGAAAACATGTAAGAGTGGTAGCTTTGGCCGGTTTCTGTCGATTTGGGCTAGGATCCCCCTGCTGACCCCATGGAGCACTATGTATGACGAACAGCCGTCTTTAAATTCCTTAAAATTTGCTTAAACAAAGCCTTTGAAGTTAGGATAGTTGGCGAGCTAGTGGCGGTTGCTATGTTCAATGTTGTAAATCTCCTATGATGTTCGCTGACAAAAGTCGACATTTCAATTTCTGACGTTTTAGAAAATGAGTGCGTATGTGCAGGTGGTTGAAATTCTACAGGGAGGAAAGAAGATTTATGGCATCCACGACATTCAGGCTCTGATCAAGAAAATTATGATTCCTCAGGCAAACTGTGGGTGAGATGAGACTGACGCACCCTATTCAGCAAGCACAAGAACACATCTCAAGCCTGATCGATTCTCTCCGTTAAGCCCCAAACGCCTCATAGAGCAGTTCTTATTTCTCATCAGTTCAATCCGAATATAGATTGAACCCTAATGATAGTGGATTCAATCTACTGTAATCATGCCAATGACTTGATGTCACACATCCATCCTATCAAGAACAGCAGTGAATGGTGATAACTTTCTTTGTCACTGTATGTACGCATTATCTATATCTATCATTTTTCCAAAACAATCAAAATCCATGCAAGCTAAACCTTCCCATCACAGAAGGAAACAACAGCCCACTTCCCAGTCCAAGCCCACTCCCGCTTCTTATCACCACCTCCCCCAGGTGTCTGACGGAGTTCCTCATCCACACCAGCAGGAAGGCCAACAACGACGTCTGCCTTGCAGGTCCGGAAAGCCAGAACACGCAGACCGGAATTGGGGCCTAGAGGACCAATGGCAGTTGTGAATGGGGTTGTTGGGTCCCAGTCGGCGTCGTTGGTCAATTTGCGGTAGTTAAGGTCACCCTTGAGCAGGACCAATTCGCTGTTCTTGAGATCTTCGAATAGCTCGGGTGCGGTGTGAGGCATGCGCCAGTAGGATCCGGCACCAGTCCAGAATGGATCAGGTCGAATGACTAATTTCCCGTCTTGGTGAAGCTGGCTCCATTGGTTGTAAAGGAAGGTCACCTCGTCGAGTTCCTTCTCAGAGAGGGGCTGGTGCTCTCTGCCAGTCTCATCGGGGGCTGTGTAGAAATTCTGCGCGTCTTTCAGGGCGTTGAGAAGGTCTGGGAAGTCCGGGGGAGTAACGTCCGACACGAACCATGGGATCGACTTAGGGTGCAGCACAACCTTTGTCGCAATACCCGCAGAGAGCAAGTAACCGGCAAGAATAAGATCGACAAAGAGCTCGAACCCAGAGTTATCAAGCACAATATCCACCCGACGCTCCTGATCCTTCTTCTCCTTCTGTGCCTTTTGCAGAACATCAAACGCAGCATCCATATCATTAACAAGGATATTCTTCTCCGCCGCCTTGCGCGCCTGCGAGCCCTGCAACTTCTGCAAGTCCTCGTAGGTAAGCGTAGTCAACAACGACAGATCCGTTGCATTTCCCCACAGGCAAATCTCGCACATCTCCGAGAAGAGCACTCGTCTTGCTTGCTCGATCTGTTCTGTTGTCTTTCCGTCCTTGCCCTCGCCTTTCTCGGCTTCGAGGGCGAGCTCCTTGTATCTGGCTGCAAGTTCCAGCACGGCGGGTCGAGAGGATTTGAATGTGGACATCTTCTGGCGGGCAAAAACATCGTATCCTTTCCAGTGCTTGGACTGCGCGAAGAATGTGCTTAAGCGTCTGTCTGTTTCTTGTCAGTTGCCTCTTCTTCGTTTTGAAATACTCAAACATACACATATAACACTCCATATACAACCACGGCCCATTACACCACGATAATTTCCCCCTCTGCTCCAATTCCTTATTATACTCAGCGGCCGTTGGCTCCAGTCCATCATCCGGGATTGGTCTGCGCATAACCCAGTTAAAAACCATTCATTCTCTTATCAAGTAGTCAATACTCACGTCAATAGCCTATCGTGCTGCAGTTCGTATTTCAAATTGGCCAGGTTCTCAATAATAGCCTTGCCCTCTTTCCGCTTCTCCTCATCACCCACGTCGCCCACAGTACGGTGGAGGTCGTCGATAGCGCCGGTCTAGCGAAAGAATGTTAATTAGCACAATAACCCCGAGTAAGGGGATGAAGACTTACCAGAATAACAGGCCATCGCTCATGTGCCGACACGTAACCGAAGCTCGAGCTGTCGGAGGTGTGAAACTGCGCTGATGGCGGGGTTAGTTTGGCAACTAGTATGACAACAGTGGGATGAATGCTTACGGGTTTGGGGATCGAACTCCATTTTAGATCTTTTTGAGTTACAATGACTCTATATAATAGCAAGTAGTCGGGATTGTCTGAAAGAAGATGAACAATAAAAGAAAAAGGTGTTAGAGGAGACTTGTCGAGATCCAGATTGGTTTCTTGTCCCTCCGCGGGGTTCTAATTAAATAATCACAGCATTGAAACGGCAATTGAAGATTGACATCAACGTTCTAGAATTTTATAAGCTATTCACTAGTTCAAAATTGCTATATAAAGCAAACACAAGTGTTTTGCACACAGCCACTGTGTCCCTCTATAGCCATTGGCATGCATTGATACTCGAACATGCATACCCCGGCTATTGGCGACAACTCTTCTCGTCTCTTCTGAATGCAAAAATAAAACTCAATTCCTTCAATAATGGGCCTATGGCGCAACGGTAGCGCGTGTGACTCCAGATCACAAGGTTATCCGTTCGAATCGGGTTGGGCTCACAATTTTTTTTTTTAATCCTCTCTTTTCACTCTCATTTATTTTTTTTTTAATCTTCAAAGCATGTTTAGTTTCAAGGGCTTATGACACCATGACATATATGCAGTGAAAATCATTTTATTCCAAGACAACAAAACATAGAATATCAGGCTCTAATCTCATCATCTCGTCGCTACGTCAAGAATATATGAATAAAGTACCAAAAGAGCTAGAGGAGTCTGAAACTGCCCTCGAATCCAGAAACGCCAACCCGCTACTCTCGTGCCAATGTTAAATCATCACATCACATCATAGATAGAAGCGAGTTCTGGGCATATGCCTGCAACGGTCAGTGATGTTTATAAAGTGGGCAGGGAAAGGGCTTACCATCGGTTTGATAGGGGGATGAGGCACTGCCTCAAACACCTGGTAATTGAGCTTAAGTTCCGGTCCAAGGTTGATATAGGCACCCTTGTTCTCTGTCGTATCGCAGTATTTCGGTGCGGAAAAGACGGTGATGCAGCGTCCGTCGTGCTCGACCTCGTAACCTTCCATGCGAACCTCGTGCGAACGGATGATGGCCTCGAGACCGTTCTTCTCACAGAACCGCTTTGTGATATCGGGACCGAACTGGAGACCGACACCTCTCTTGCTGGGTCCACGACCAGGTGCTGTTTGCGGGTCTGTCCAGAGCATCTCCATCATCAGACCCTGCTGGCCGGGCTGGCGCTGGTTGTGTCGGTTCAGTTTCCGGATGTCATTCAGGGAAATGCTGTCGTCCGAGAAGAGACCGCCATGTAGGACCAGGTACTTTTCTCCAATCAGGGTGGCCAAGGGCAGAGCGGAGAATGACTCGGAGAAAACCTTGAATACCCGCTCGTTATACTTGGCCTTGCACTCGCCTTCGAAGCCATAGGCCTTGTTCATATCATCTGTCTCGTGGTTGCCACGGTTGAGGAAGATACCATTGGGGCGAAGCCACTTGTAGGCGTAGAGGACCAAGGCGATTTCTGTCGACCACGAGCCGCGATCGACAAAGTCTCCGTTGAAGAGATATGCATGCTTGTCTGAGGGGTAACCGTTTCTTCGGAAGATTTCGAGAAGATCGAAGAATTGACCTGTTGCCATTAGCAGGTGAACAAATGTCGGAATTAGGATAGTACTCACCGTGTGTGTCACCACACACAGTCAGTTTATTCCCCTCTTCCACCCCGATCTCAACCATCGTCGGTTCCGCATAGACAAGATCCCTAACAGCCTTGATGATCTGGAACACATACTTGCGGTGAATCTTCTTCCCGTTCTTGAACCGCTCAATCATATCATCGATGAACTCCTGTGTCATTTCATTCCCAATCCGGACACCGTCATACCCATCGTCCACAGCCATAGAATCGATATCCAAGTCTTCGAAAGCTGATGGTGGATCACCAACTTCAATCGCCTTCTCAAATTCCACACGACGGACGAGCTTCTCACAGTCTGCTAGCTTTAGTTTCGCATCGCGGTTGTTGGGTTCTCGCTTGACAACGGCCTTGAAGTCTTTCAAGGCCTCGCGGTGGTTAAGGATAGCGGTGTTGGCAAGGGCGCGCCTCCAGTATGCCTATAATCTGTCAGGTCTGCCCGTCTTTCTCTCCCTTCTTATCTCCATCCCAGTGAATGCCCGCAAGCCCGAAAGACTAACCTTGATATAACCCGGATCAAGCTCCAACGCCTTCGTGGCATCCACAATGGCAAACCCATGCGCCTCGAGTTTAATATGCGCCTGTACCGATTAGCTTTTGATCATCCATCCGTCTGCAGCCACCCGTCCGAAACCCGAATCCGAATCGCATACCTGAGCGCGATTGCTGAAGTACGACGGCTCCTTGTCATATTTCTCAATGGCCTTTGTGTAGAATTCCACTGCGGCTGGCCATTCGTGCTGAGCAAAGGCTTTGTTTCCTTGCACTTTGAGTGCGTTGGCGGCTTCGATGTCCGACATGGTAGGAGGGGTGAGGGGGGTCACGAGACAGAGAGGGCAATGGAATAATAAAAGGGAGGAAACCAAAGCCTCCAGTGTAAATGAAAGACCAAGTAATATAAAGAAAAACAAGAAGAATACAGAAGGAAAAATAAATAAAATAAAGAGAGAACGTAGCCTATGTTCCTGGCTGACAATGTAAGGTAAGGTGCCTAGTAGAAAACTAAAAGTTCGCCTCCGCCTGCGGTCGTTCATTTTGCTCCGACGGCTTGGCATTTTGCGCGGTTCCAGAATCGTCGGCCGCCGTTCTCCGTTCCTAGCTAGCACTGCTTCAACTTCCTCATTCAATATATCTAAGGAACAGCTAGCTTCTGGGGAACCCTAAAAATCTATTACAATGACTTACTACGTCCCCCCAGGCCAACAGCGCACCCTCCGTGCCTGCATGGTTTGCTCCCTCGTTCAGCTTCACAACGTGCGCTTCACCCCCAACCCCCCAATATACCCTTCTCAAACAAGACCAAAGCATACTAACATCTGTTCTATCTATGCAGAAATTCATGCGCGAAGGCTGCCCGAATTGCGACAATGTCCTCGGCCTACGCGGCAACAACGACGCCATTCAAGAATGCACATCCCAGGTCTTCGAAGGCTTGATTACGCTCAGCGATCCGAATACCAGCTGGGTGGCTAGGTGGCAGAGATTGGACAGTTATGTGCCAGGGACGTATGCGGTTAAAGTTACGGGTTCGGTATGTTTCCCTATGAGGCTGAGGATTGCGAGGGGGAAGAATGAGAGATGGCTAATGGGTTAATGGACAGTTGCCCGACGATGTGATTTCGAATTTGGAGGATGCTGGTGTGAAGTATATTCCGTATGTTCTTCATGCTTAATTGCTGCGCGTTGGTTTGCTGGTGGCTGACTTGAAATAGGAGAGATGGAAGTACCGGCGAAGAGGAGCCTTGATGGGACACCTGTTCCTTGCGCATTGTTTTTAAATGCTCGATATCCCCTCGAAATACACTTACCACCGACTCGACCAATGAATTGACGGCGACGACGACCTTACCCGCTTTGAGGAACGCGTTGAGAAGGCATAGGCTCGCATATCTGTTGCACATACGGAGTTACGGTCATGGTCTGGGTTATACATTTGCTTTTAGTTCATCTGGGATTAGCCAGGGGTTGTTTGTTGAATCTTCGGTTTTCTTTCGCATTTACAATTTAGAAGGGTCTTGTCCTTATTCGACTACCGATCTCTTACGATGAAACTGATACCCGAGCAGGCGACTTGTGAGAACAGAATTAAATCAATTGAGCGTTAAATATCATGTCATAAACATCCGCCGGAATGCGTGCAGAAACCCATATAACTCCGAAACAAGCCCAGGTAGTCAGGAAATAACAATCAAACAAGGAAATTCATCGATACACAGTTAATTCCAGATTACAGCGCCTTGATCACACTCTCGAGTCTCTCCAGGAGAATATCGGCTAAAGAAAGTTAGTATATCTACTTTTAAACGAAGAGACAATAGCGAGTAACAGTAACATACCATGATGGTTCTGGAAAATAAGCATAGGCCTCAATCGAACAGCACTTTGTCCGCTGCCGCCAATGTTGACACCAACAGTCTTAGCCTTAGCCAGGATCTCATCCCGCTTAGGCGAGTCCCAAGCGATGAAAGTACCCTGACCCTTGCCACGCAGGTTCTGGAAGTGCTGCGGGTACTGCTGCGAAAGACGCTCAAGACCGGCGTACAGATAAGCACCAGTAGCAGCGGTGTTTTCAACCAGACCCAGACGTTCGATCTCCTCGATAATACCGCGGAAGATCAGAGCGCGGGATGGGTCACCCATCCAGGTATTAAACTGGCGGTAGGGTTTGTTGGGCCGCAGGGCAGGGTTGCCGTAGTAGTAGCCGGCTGTCTGGGCCTTCTTGGAGAAGGTGACCATATCCGGAGGGGACTGGAGGTTCCAGTGGTCGTGGGCCCAGAATTTTCCGGTAGCACCAACACCGGTCTGGACTTCGTCGACGATGAAGAGGACATTGGTGCGCTTAGTAATTTCGCGCAGGCCTTGGAAGAAGGCGGGCGAGGCGTGGTTGTCACCACCCTCGGACTGGATGGGCTCGACCATGACGGCGGCAACGGGGTTGTGGTACTCCTTGATAAGGCGCTCGACCTCTTGCAGGCAGCGCTGCTCCTCCTGGGCGTTCTCCTGAGCATGCTCCTCGAGCGGGTACTTCAGTGAGGGGAAGGTAGCCTGGGGCCAGTCGAAGGCGGGGATATCCAACTTGTGAATAGCCTTGCTACGGGTCGTAGACAGACTGCCGAAGAGGCGGCCGTGGAAAGCGGACTTGAAGGACAGGATGGACAATTGCGGAGATCCAGGCTGCTGGTTCTGCATGGTGGACTCCAACTCTTGCTCACTAAAGTCGGCCTCGGGTCCTCCACGCTCCATCTGGCGACGGTACATGAAGGCCGCCTTGTAGGCAATCTCGTTGGCGTCGGAGCCGGCCATGGCAGTGTACACCTGATTTAGGCCCTTGGGGGCAACCTTGAGGACACCAGTTTTGAGAATATCAGCCCATTCAGCAGAAGGAAAGTTACCCAGAGCTGGTCTGTTGATCAATGAAGTAATCATCTCGGGCGATGTGGCCACCTTCTCGAGATGGGGGTTGTTGTATCCGACGGGGATAGAGGCAATCTGTGCGTAGCTATATAATGTTAACCACAATTCCTTATCCCAGATAGGTTATTGACTTACACATCAAGAAGAGTGTTTCCGTCAAGGTCAGAGATACTACCGCACGTTAGCTATCCACCTTCTTCGCCTCATTCCACAAGCACAATACATACTAGTTTCCAATGGACTTAGTGTAGTCAGTCAACATGTTCAAGCTGCGCACATCAAATACTTCATTCAACTCCGCGGCGACCTTCTTATTGTTTGGTCCCGGAATGGCCGAGGACACCGTGGGACCAGAAGGCTCATTGGAGAAGTATGGCTGGGCTGCCCGCAACGGCGTGGTGCTGAGGGTGCGGGCAGCGGGAAGGCGTGCGAAAGATCGCAGCTTAAGGCCGGGGCGGAGGGCAGACATGATGGCTGAAGTTCAAGTTGGTTAGCGTTTGAAACACGGTCAGGCAGGTCTTAAAAGGGCTTCAATGTGTCACTTACACTGCTAAACGTAGCACTTGTGGGGAGAAGCTAGATGGCCGAGGAGATAAGACCTTTAGCAAAGCACGCGGCGAAAAACTGGAAACACAAGACCCAACAAGAGATACGAATGAATTGAGCACAGTCTGATAAGTTTCAACTTCGATCGAGGGGTACGTCCCTTATATATGTCTTCTTTTATCGCCGTTGGAGCTCAATCGGAGCTTTGCCCCGCGAATCCGACCAGCTGTATTCGGCGGTATGGACCAATCAGAGGCCATAATCGGCGTTACCGCCGCCGAGGTCAGCAAAAGGAAAGGCGGTTCGAACGGATTGGGAAGGCAATGGAGATCGGAGGCACTGTGGGTGGGATGGAATATAGTGGGGTGCATATCTGTAATTGTACTCTGTATTCTATCACTTGGGAAAGTTCATAGCCAATGGCAGGAGTTTTGTTTTTTCGTTCAATCGACTGTTTTGATAGCTTTATCAAGTCTTGGCATGCGATAAGGATGTGGAGTAAAAGATAACTCTTAATAAGGCACTAACTGAGGCCCATATTTCAACAAGTGGGCTTGTGGTTTAGTGGTATAATACCCCCTTAGCATGGGGGTGGTCCGGGGTTCGATTCCCCGCGAGTCCATTTTTTTGCTTTGCTTTTATTCAATATCTCCTGTCTTTTCTGTCTTTCTTGTTCTTTCTTTTTGCCTCTGTTTTCTACCTTCGCAGCATCCCTCTTATAACGTTGAATTGGTTTTTTTGCTAGTATTCGTTCATTATAAGCACTGTACACCATTGATCCTAGTGGCCGAACATGCGGGTTCGCTCTCGGTAATGCTGGGGTGCTGGGATATATCTCTGTGATTTATATACTGCCTTGACATATTGTGCTTTTCATCACAGCCCCGAGCACCATGAGCTGTATCTACATCTCCATGCTTCCCAAAAATCTCACTTGCATATCATATCTATAGCATGCAACTTCGTCCCATCGTCGGGGCCCGAAAAGTATTGCTGGCATACAATGTGACAAGTGCGACTCCCAGAGAATCCATGCGAGGCGTGCGCAGCCTGGCAATCAGAATTGCCCAAGTACACGCGGGCAGCAGAAGCGGCTGATCTCGCGCATGAGTGTGGATGTAGGTCCAACAATCCGTCTCATGATTCTATGTCAGTCAAGATCCCTGCGGCACTTGGGCATACTCGTAGGTGCGTAGCCAAGCTGTTCTGGCCAGCCTATTGTTACGATTTCCCCACAAACCGGAATAGATGAATGATATCCGTCATAACAAGATAAGAAACACTTGCTCAGCCGCCATTCTCTCGCAACCTGGCTAGCGCTGCCGTTAATCCCTCGCTCATACCCTCGTCCTCACCAACATCATGCGAACCAGCATCATGGACAGTCTCAGTATCCTCTGGCACATTCGCTCTCGTCTCCCCCGCTTCCGCCAAACGCATCGCTTCCTCTTCATCACGAGTCACAGTTCTATCCTCCAAAGCCCGCGTAGCACCCCTCTCCGGCGCCTTTGCACCCTTCGCTGTCTCGATTATAAACTCCTCCCGCACCGCATTACACCACTGCCTAACCTTTCTCTCACCCCAACCTGGCACAGCACTAATCTGTTCAGGTTGTGCATTGATAGCATTCTGCAAGCTCCCAAACGTAGAGATCAAACTCGCCGCATCGGACTTGTTGATGCTCCTAGGCATAGTCACAAAATCCGTCAAGGAGTCTTTATATGATTGTGCTTGCTGGGTACGGATTGCAGTAGGTTGTGCGTTCTCAGAGGACTTGTATAGCTCAAGGTAGTGCGCGGCTTCGGTGGCAGACCAGCATAGCATTAGTGTTAGGTTGTTGATGATGGATGTTTTGGATAGTTCTTTCAGGTTATCTTCGTGATTGGGGATGTCGACGATAATTAAGAGTATGCGGAGACGGTATTTTCCTGCTATGCCGCGAATCCGAGAGTAAATGTATTCTGGATGTAACCGGTGATACTTGAGGGATAGGAATAGAGCGCAGGTGGTGTTTCCAAGGACATAATCAGCTGGTATATCTGCATATTCCCAGGGTAGAATCTTGATGTGACTCAATATCGGATTGCCTTTCTGTCGTTTTGAGACGAGAATCGCAGAGGGAGCGTGCTTGGGAGGGAGGGTTTGCGGCTTTGGTTGCTGGACCTTGGCTGCTGGTTGTCGCGGAGCTGTTGAGGAAGCAGGGTTATTTCCGTAGTTGGGAGGCGCGCTCTGTTCTGCTTGGAGAAGAGCGTTTAAATCTGCCCCGTCTTCAAATTCATCAGCCATTGTCAGAATCAACAATACCTGATATACCTGTAGAATGCAAACATAGTAATCCGACTATCAGACGAGGTCCAGTACCTTCACCGCCAAGACCCACCCGATTTCTGCCGCCAATTTTGCTTGCAGAAAAAAAAAAGTTGCGAAAGAACCAACCTATCTCTGTCTCTACAGAAACAACTGCAATTTTCTAGTTAACGAGGCCAAAATGGAGCCTCAAACCAACCAAGAGCCCGCGACTGACGGGCTCGTCTCTCGCCAACCCCGACAGACCCTTTTCGTCCGGTCGCTTCCCGCATCAGCCACAACCGACAGTTTAGCAGAGTATTTCTCGCAATCCTACGTGATCAAGCATGCCCTTGTCGTTCTCGACCCGCAGACTCAACAATCAAAGGGCTTCGGTTTCGTGACATTCGCCGATCTCGAGGATGCACAGCGCGCTTTGGAAGAATTCAACGGAAGCGTCTTTGACGGGAAGAAAATCACGGTCGACTACGCCGAGCGCCGTCACCGTGAAGTCGATGAGAATATCGGAAAGAGCGTGCCGTCTGCTGCTGGGATCGAATTTAAGAAGAAGAGGGAGGATGAGAGGGCTGCGCAGCAGCCGCCAAGGTTGATTGTTCGGAATTTGCCGTGGAGTATCAAGGAGCCTGAGGACTTGATTGTTCATTTTCGGAGTTTCGGAAAGGTCAAGCAGGCTTATTTACCTAAGAGAGGGAACACATTGGCCGGTTTTGGCTTTGTTGTGTTGAGAGGCAAGAAGAATGCTGAAAAGGCGTTGGAGGCAGTTAATGGTAAAGAGGTAGATGGGCGGACTTTGGCTGTTGACTGGGCTGTGGAGAAGAACGTCTGGGAGAACTTGCAGAAGCAGGAAGAGGAAAGAAAGGACGACGATGAGGAGGAGGAGGAGGGGGAGAAGAAGAAGAAGAAGAAGAAGCAAGATAATGAAGAGACGTCGAGCGACGTGGACATGGCGGAAGCGGAAGAGGCTGCATCTAGAAATGAAGACGCTTCCGAGGTTGACGAAGATGAAGACATGGAGGAAGATGAAGAAGACGATGAAGAAGACGATGAAGAAGACGATGAAGAAGACGAGCTTGACGAGGATGAAATTGATGAAGAAGAGGACAAAGAGGACGAGCGTAACGCATCTACCATCTTCATTCGCAACCTACCCTTCACCTCCACAGACGAGTCGCTCTACGAACACTTTACACAATTCGGGAACGTCCGATATGCTCGAATCGTCGTCGACCCCGAGACCGACCGTCCCCGCGGTACAGGCTTCGTCTGCTTCTGGCGCCCCGAGGATGCCCTCACTTGTATCCGTGAGAGTCCGAAGCCACAGGACACCATCGCAGCCGACAAGGACAAATCGAAGAAAGCCTCCGCCATCAAGCATTCTGTCCTGCAGAATGAAACCTCCGATCCGACTGGCCGCTACACGCTGGACGGACGAGTGCTACAGGTTGCCATCGCAGTCAGCAGAAACCAAGCCACCAAGCTGGAGGAAGAAGGTGCTTCGCGGAGACTCGTTCGCGATACAGACAAGCGTCGACTCTTCCTCCTTTCCGAAGGAACGATCCCCACAAATTCTCCCTTGTACAATAAGCTTTCTCCCTCTGAGATCAAGATGAGAGAAGACAGTTTCAAACAGCGCCAGAGCTTCATCAAGAAGAACCCGACGCTGCACTTGAGTTTGACGAGATTGTCTATCCGCAACATCCCCAGACAAGTCACCTCCAAGGACCTGAAACAACTCGCCAGACAAGCCGTCGTCGGTTTCGCAGAGGAAGTGAAGAAGAACCTCCGCCAGCCTCTGTCCCCAGAGGAACAACATCGGGCATCGGACGAAATGAAGGAAGCCGACAAGCTGCGCAAGCAGAAGGGTAAGGGTATCGTGAAGCAGGCTACGATTGTGTTTGAAGGACGCGACGGAACCAAGATCGGTGAGAACACCGGTGCCGGGAGAAGCAGAGGCTACGGGTTTATTGAATACTTCACCCACCGACATGCGCTGATGGGACTTCGCTGGCTCAACGGCCACGCCATCGATGCGCCTAGCAGCGATGCAGAGGTCAAAGATAAGAAGAAGCGGGTTATTGTGGAATTTGCGATTGAGAACGCGCAAGTGGTCAAGCGTCGGACTGAACAAGAGGCCAAATCTCGCATCTACGCCCAGACAGCTGCTAAGAAGAGGAAGGAGGAAGAGGAGGAGAAATCGCAAAATCCCAACGGGAAGTTTAATGGGAAACCTGACAGGAAATTCAATGGCAAGCCCGATGGAAAGTTCAACGGCAGGCCCGACAGGAAGCCCTACGGCAGACCCAACGGGGACAGAGGGAAACCATCTCCGAATGAAAATATGGCTGGACAGAAGAGGAAGCGATCCGAGAGTCGTGGCAGTGACAAGCGCGAAGGAGGCGAGAACCCCGAGGAAGGGAACAAGATTGCTAAACGCAACCGGGTCATTGCAAAGAAGAGGATGCAACGGAAGGGCCGGAAGGGCAATTAAGTGTTTCTTTTTCAGTTGCTCATTATCTGTTTAGAGAAGATTCCCTGTAATTATTTGGTTGCGGCGTCTGGACTGATAAAAGCATTGCATTTTTTTTGAATTGTGTCAATCCATGGGTATTATTGCAGTGTATCGACCTTTTTCCCCTCCACCTAGTAATTCGTAGCATCCTTCACTTTGCCCACAATATTATAGCGCTTGCTAAAGAAGGTAAACCATTCTTCCAGCACGGTCTTCTCCTTGTCATCCAGATCGTACCAATCGGGCCGGCAGTCTTCGGGCTTGAGAGAGGAGCTGGCCAGCGCGCGCGAAGGGTCTTTCCCTGCGAAGACTTGACGGTGTCAGCTTCCACCCATAGACGAGAGCATAAGGTGTATATAAGAAGGTAAAAAGGACATACTGCGATACTGCCCGCTGGGACTGTAGGCCTGATTCCGGCTCACGTCGAAGACGATACCCTTGATAGCGACCAATGTCGGGCGGTTGGGGTCGGTTCCTGCAACGTGTTAGAGAACAGCCTTGACAGTCAGAATAAACTTGAAACCTGTACCATCACACTTGGCCAATTCCTCGGCATCGATAGGGTCGTATTTCGGGGGAGCCAGCTCGACGGGGACTTTGGGGGAGAAGCGCTTGGGCTCTTCCTCGTGCTCGACCATTTTGGCAGGTTTGCTTTCAGGTTCCGTAGGAGTAGGGCAGTTTGTTAGATATAGGACTACCAGGGGCAGGAGGGTAAGAAGGACAGGAAGGAGGACAGAGAGCATTGGTGAATGCAGATTGTTCTTTTATCGGGTATTTGGCGGGGTTTGATTTGGCTTTGCGGAGGTTCGGGATGTTCGCGTGTGATTAGCAATACGTCTTATATCATGGAATACATAGTACTACTATTATACGGAGGTACAGAGTACTCATAAAAGAAATCCTAAGGGCATCCATAGGCTAAGCAATGACAGATGGAATAGTATAGTGCCATGTGATCCTGTACCAATAATCCCTGAATAAAACTATATACACCACCCTAACGTGCGTCGGCCGAAAATGATAAAACAGAAAGCAGGCGAAAGCTGCCCAGGCAAACCCGCAACACGGAAATCGATCAGAATGTATACATTAATTAAACAAAGGGAACTCTCTCCACAGCGCGCCAAGATTTCTAGTATGAGCTTGATAGGCGACTTTTGGGATCAGAAAGATAGTGTGTAACGTCATTTTGAAGCTGTAAGCTCCTGGACGAAGGCGGCGAATGTGTCGTGATATTCTTGCGGAGACTGGCTGGATTTCGATGTGTATACGCTTGCGTGCTCATTTATAGTATCAACTGTATCGTGGCAACTCGCAACACGGTCGACTTGATTGGGTACAATGCCATATAAAGCAGCGAATGTGTCAAAATCCGCTCGTCGTCCCTTTGGAGACCAAACGCAGACATCTAGTAAACAGTCGCCGTCGTGGACCGAGGAGTTCCCCCATTTGATGATATCTAGGTCTTTGGAGTCTGCATCCTGTATTTGTCTCGGCGAAAGTACAGAAGCAAATCGCTCCTTAGTTGTCCGGAATTCCGTCATTTGTGCATTAACGAATTTCTGCATGTCACTCGCGAAAGTCAGCATCTTAATATGCTCGTCTTCAGCCTCCGTCGCCTTGGCTTCGAGGGCTTGAATTGCGGAGTGACACGGTCTCCTCGTCGCCCAGTGTCGTCCGAACCCCAAGGTTGTTTCCAATAATGGTGTTGTCGTAACTATGGGTCTCTAAGCGTTCAACGAACTCGCCCCCATCGTCCATGTGAAGGTAGGTTGGCTTTTGGTCGGGCCGTTAGGTGAACTAGTGGTTGGTCTTACCACCATAACCCAGTGCAACCTATCAACGTCTTCTGCTTTTCCCATCTAGTTTTATCTCTTGGGAGCTGTAGCTCCAGCATCATCTTTTGGCACTAGCTAGTCCTAATCGAGCGATAGCCAAATCTGAGCCGAGTGGTGATGTTATTGTACTCGGCTCATTATGGTTCTGTACTCCGTATGTCGTGATGTCTTACTACCGGCTGATAATTAGCTGTGTCTGTTTCGATTTCACTGATTCCGATCGCATATGATGTTCTTTTGATATTTTTCTGCTATCAGGCTAGAGGCCTAGTACCGTTCTCCGTGCCTCGGTTAGATGGAATGTTATCATGCCCCACTACCTACTCTGAATCTTGCAGCAGATTTGATTTTGAATTCTTTGCAGTGAACAATAACTGCCGGCTGAAGTTTGAATATAATAACGGATCATGATCAATTGATCCCACTCGACTCGATTGACTGGATCTAGCATTGCTGATGCAACGCAAAAGAATGTTATGAGCTAACCGCTGACTTCGACATCCCACCTTCACTGCTTGCCACGGCTTCCCCCCCCCCCCCCTTCACACTGAATCCTTCAGAGAACCCTATCTAGTTTTTTTATGTGTTTAATATTGCTTGACCAACAATGTCTTCTAACCAAGACATTGCCTCTGGGCCAGTATCAACTGCTGTTGAACATGAGTCCAACAAGACCACAGATCTGAAAGCTCACTTGAAGAACCGTATTGGAATAGAAAAAGATACAGCTGTCGAAGATGGCGAGGAATCAATCAACAGTGAGCCTCAGAAGCCTGTCTATGACCATACGCACCGGAAGTTGAAACCCAGACATGTAGAATTAATCGGTTGGTCTAGATTGAACTACTGAGTATAGGATCTGGTGCTAACTCGAATATAGGTATTGGGGGGACGATTGGGACGGTTTTGTATGTCCAGATCGGTCAAAGTTTGCGTGAAGGAGGACCGGCCAGCTTGTTTCTCGCCTTCACTATTTGGTCAGTATTGAATTCCCCTCCCCTTTCGTTTGTCCCTGTATGTGGTTGTTCATGGTCTCGTACTGGCAATGTTGTACATGAACGAAGCAATCGAGCTCCAGTGCCATATAGTGAATCCCCATATCCATCACTCCGAAAATAGACATTCTCTTATACTCTGACCATAGGTGCTCCGTGATCTTATGTCTTACTGTTTGTACGGATTCAATTCCTCCTCCGGATACCCAATGCAGCTCCATGATCTTCCCAAAGCGCTCTTATGCTCATGCCGATGTGCCAGTATCAATACTAAACAAGGCTTCTCCATCTAGCAATCGCAGAAATGGTTACCTTTCTCCCCCTCTCCTCGCCCACCATCCGCCTCGCAGGCCGATTCGTTGACGAGGCATTTGGCGTCGCCGCTGGATACAACTTTTTCGTGTCCCAGGTAGCCCAGATCCCGTTCGAGATTGTCGCGTGCAATCTGATTATCACGTATTGGAGCGATGCAGTCCCTGTAGGGGCCATTGTTGCCATTGTGCTTGTGCTTTATATGTATGTCTGCCCTCTGTCACTTGTAGTCTGCATTGATTCCTGACAACGGGCTGCAGAATCCTCAATGTGTTTGCCGTTCAGTGGTATGGTGAGTCTGAGTTCTGGCTTTCGCTGGGAAAGGTGCTTCTCAGCGTTGGTCTGATTATATTCACCTTTATTGTGATGCTGGGAGGGAATCCTCTGAATGACCGGTTCGGATTTCGGTACTGGCAGAATCCGGGTTCGTTTGCAGAGCACTACAAGAGAGGTGATCTTGGTCGATGGCTGGGCTTTCTTTACTGTCTTATAAAGGCGAGTTTCACGATTGCCGGACCGGACTATGTAAGTTTTCCCTGCTCTCATTATAATTATACTGACCAATTGCTCAGGTCTCCATGGCCGCCGGAGAAGCCGTAAATCCCCGCAAAGTTCTCCCCAAAGCCTACAACGGCGTTTTCTACCGTCTTACCGTCTTCTTCGTGCTAGGAACTCTCTGCGTCGGCATCCTAGTTCCCTACAACGACTCAACAATGGCCGCTGCATTCGACCAAGACAAACCCGGCGCCGCGGCCTCGCCGTACGTAATCGCCATGGACCGCCTGCACATCCCCATCTTACCACACATCGTGAACGCCATGGTACTGGGAGCCTCATTCAGCGCAGGGAACAGCTACGTCTACTGCGCAAGTCGCAGTCTCTACGGCCTCGCACTAGACGGCAAAGCACCACGCTTCTTCACAAAGTGCACACGCACCGGAGTCCCAATCTACTGCGTGAGCATCGTGCTATTAATCTCACTCCTAGCCTTCCTGCAAGTTTCAAACAGCGCCTCCGTCGTAATAAACTGGTTCGTCAACCTAGTCACAGCCTCGCAACTAATCAACTTCTCCGTCTGCACGTTCACCTACATCCGCTTCTTCAAGGCTCTCGAGGCGCAGGGCTTCTCTCGGAAAACTCTCCCTTACACATCCCGCTTCCAGCCCTATCTTGCGTATATTTCGCTGATTTGCACGACTACCATGGCGTTTGTGGGTGGGTATGAGGTTTTTCTGCGGGGGAAGTGGGATGTGGCGTCGTTTTTCTTCTCGTATACGATGATTGGAGTGTTTCCGGTGTTGTATTTTGGGTGGAAGATTGTGCATCGAACGAGGTGTAGACGGGCTGAGGAAGTGGATTTGGTTTCGGGGGTGGAAGAGATTGATGATTATACGAGGAATTATGTTGATGTGAAGCCGAAGTGAGTTTTACACTTAGCGTCTGGGTGTAGATGGTGCTAACTAACTGGGACAGGAATATAATCACCAAAACGTCGAGGATCCTCTTTGGATAGCAATGTTGACACAAAACACGCTTGGAATATCCATGATAGTGATAGACTAGATGAACACATCATACAAAAGAACCATAGAACATAAAACATACCACAGCTTCCGCTCACTCTCACTATACACCCCACTCCTACGACTGATCAACGCCAACCGCAACCCCAGCAGCCTTCAACGCCTCCAACCTCTGCTTATTCCTCTTCCCCAGCACCCGCAGCGTAGTCTTCTTCTCAATCTCCGTCATCCCATCCCAGTTCGCGATCCGCGAGAGTGTCCCATCCGTATTCACCACCATAGGACCCAGATGATCCAGTGTCACTGTTGAGCCTGGTTGGCTGAGATCGAGCTGGTTTGTGTCCGCGGAGGGGCCGGATTCGGGGAGGGCGAGGTAGGGTTGCTGCTGTTGATGTTTTTGGTTTTGTTGGTCTGGTTGCCCTTGTTGGGGTTGAGTGTTTGCGTTGGTCTGGTCGGACATGGTAGAGTATGTATGGATGGAGGACGGACACTGAGGGTGGAAGATGAAGGGTGGAAATGCGAGAGATCTGGAATGCGCTGGTAGGTGTGTTGCCGCGCGGGCTGCAATGGATGGGTTGAGATTGAGAGAGAGTGTGAGAGGGAGGAGAGCGCGGGAGAGTGTGAAGGACATTCGCATGTCTTTTCTCTTTTTGTTGGATTAAGGTGTTGGTGGTGTTGGTCTAAGTCGAGGTGGAAGGTGAGTTTTGTTTTTGCGAGGCGGAGAGGATTCTAGAAGCTACAAGTACAACAATAATTCAGAGAGTGCTACTTTACTACGAAGGATTGAATTGGTATATTCATACTGTAAAGAGCATTCAAATGCTTTACCGAAACCACCAATTGACCTAAATTGTTAGCTAGTCTTCGCGTACTGCGATAGATAGACTTACCGAGGCAGTTACTCCCTCTCCAACACCTTTAATACTATGCCACCAGCCTTTAGGGATAAACAAACCATCCCCCGGCCCAAGACAAACCTCATACCATTCTTTATCCGAATCCTGTGTGTCGGCATCACCCCAAACCACCTTTTCTAGCAACGCCCTCTCTGGACCCTGCATCATCTCCTCTCCCCGAATCGCCGCAGCTTCACGATTCCCACTCCTCCCCAACTGTCGTCGCACGGTCGCAAACAAACCCAGCCCATCATCTGGGCTCACCAATCTTACCACTTTTCCCCCTGCCATCTGCACAAACAGGTTTGGGTTCGGGTCGCGGTGTAGCGGGGTGTATGTTGGTGGGTGCCCGATCCAGACATTCGCATCGTAGACATCGCCTCTTCCTGCGCGTGTCACGATATTCGGAACGGGGAAGTCATCGCGTAGAATCTGGGGAAGGTCGGAAAGTTGGCACTGTGCTAGATAGAGCCGGGTTGATTGTTGCGGGTTCGTTTCAGCGGTTTGCATCCACTGTAGGAAGAGGCTTAGCGGGGCGTGGAATTGACGGAAGCTGAGTTCTGAATTCGTCGATTCGGAGGTCGAGGGCTGGGTAAGTTCTAGGGGGACGAATGCATTGGGGCCGTGCTGCTCTAGGTATTCTATGTTCAATCGTAACCGTGGGGTGTCATTTTGCGTAGTTCCCGGGCGAAACCAGCGCTCGACGGCGGGGATATCGCGAAAGAATTGGCGCGGGAGGATTGTAGGTCGTTCTGGGACAAAGCATTTTTCGCGGAAATAATCTATATTACCATCCTGGAGAGGTTCGAGAGGACGATGCCGATTGGTAGAGGGTGTTGCGGAGGAGGTGAAGCGCTGGTGGTTCAAAACCGGTAAAGCGCGCGCAGACGCAACCCGGGGGTTATAGCGGGTCAGCAGCCATTTCTGAAGCTTCATCAGAGACGTAGCTGTGATATTTTAGGAATGGAAATTGCAAGAGTCAAGTGTGGTGTAGTGATGATAGCAGGTCCGCATGGCGATCTTCCGGATAAGGAAATCGGCGAATCTCTACTCCGGCTGCCGGATTAGTATGTAGCAGGCAAAAGACTTGCTCAGCTCGATATACAAGTATAGAAAGCAGGGCGCCTGGCTGGACACCACTGAGCAGACCTCAGCAAAATTGATATCTGTGCCCGACCAAGTTCATATGCAAGGATCACGGATGTTAAACCCGCACACTGTGATACGTGTTATGCGCCGACTAGCGACTCATATGCTACAGCTACAGTGGGGTGACCTCGAAGCCGAGGTTCAATGGTTGATCTGAAGTCAATCGAGCCCTCCCCGCTTGTTGATCTTGGGTGGAGGTGAATTGTATCTATCCCCAGACTGATCATAACACTATTCAACATCCCATCATATCCGTCCAAAGAACCAAAAAACAATGCCTTCCCTAGCAAAGATCCACAAACGCCACGCATATGGAAAAGATGCCCATACGTATATCCCCATCGTTATCATCGGTGCTGGCGAGTCTGGCATCGCCATGGGATGTCGGCTGAAAGAAGCCCTGGGCTTTGATCAGTTCCGGCTTTTCGATAGACAGGCCGGTATTGGAGGGTCTTGGTGGATTAATAGGTATCCAGGAGTTGCTTGTGATATGTACGGTTGTACTTCTGGTAAATGAGACCCTTACTTACATATATCAGACCGGCACTTTTATACTCCTTTTCCTTTTCGCCTAAACAGGACTGGTCTACTCTGCACCCGACCGGCCCGGAACTTGCACAATACTTCGCGGATGTCTGTGAGAAGTATGGCATCGTCGACAAGATTCAATTGAATACCGAGGTCGACGAGATCAAGTGGCTGGAGGATGTGGAGGAGTGGGAAGTCACCCTGACATACCTCGTTCCCGGTACTGGGGATTTAGCCAAGAATGAACGAGATGCCATGGTAGCCAGAAATGGCTCGCATAGCGTTTATGTTCAGACGGAGAAGGTGCGAGCAAAGGTTGTGGTCAGTGGTGCTGGAGGACTGGTGGAGCCCAAGCAATGGCCTCAAGGCATCCCGGGCATTGAGAGCTTCGAGGGCCAAGTCATACACACCGCGAAGTGGGATAGTAACATCGACTTCCAAGGGAAAAATGTGGTCGTCATTGGTTCCGGCTGCAGTGCCGCCCAGGTAGTTCCTGGCCTGGCCAAATATCAGCCCAAATCAGTGACCCAGGTGATGAGGTCTCCCCCTTGGATTCAGCCAGATCTGTTTCCAGAAAAGGGCCTCGAGCTTTGGGAAAAGTGGACGCCGCTTTTGTTTAATTACATTCCTGGACTCTCGCAGAGTCTCAGAAACGTGATGTTCCTCATGTTTGAAGCTGACTTTCTGGGGTGGTTCAAGAATAGCCGCTATGCGGAGTGGAAGCGACGCTCAACGGAGCAGAAATGGCTCGCATATATGCGCTCTGCCACCCCTAAGAAATACCATGAAATCCTCACTCCGAACTACGACTTAGGCTGCAAGCGTCGAGTTGTACGGGGTGAATGGTACAAAAGCCTAAACAACCCAAACTATGAGCTGACAACCATGCGTCTCACGAGCGTTCAGTCCCGGAACGTCACTCTCGGCCCTGGGAAACATTACCCTCCAGACAGTGCCGGAACGGACGAGGTGAGGCAAGTCCCCGCCGATGTGATCATCCTGGGTAACGGATTCGAAACCAATAACTGGCTACACCCACTGCGGGTTGTTGGTAGAGAGGGCAAGAGCTTGAATGAAGTTTGGGACGAGCGCGGAGGTGCGCAAGCTTATCTGGGTCTCGCCATGGACCATTTCCCAAATTTCTTCTTTATCTTCGGACCTAATACCGCGACTGGTCATAACAGTGTGATATTTGCGAGTGAAAATGCCGTCAATTACTCTTTGAAATTTATCAAGCCTATCCTGGACGGCGATGTGAGTTCCTACGAGGTCACTGAAAAAGCTGAGAGAGCCTGGGCGGATAAAGTCCAGAAGGGTCTCCAGGGCACTGTGTTCCAGGGAGGGAATTGTACGAGTTGGTATAAGACGGAAGGAGGTTGGAATTCTTCGACTTATCCGTAAGTTTTTACTCTTTCATCCTTCTACTCGTTAGCTAATGAGGTGTATAGGTTTACCCAAATTGATTACTATCTCCGGTGCACGTTCCCGGTTTGGCGGCACTGGACGGCGAAGTACACCCCGAGAGGAAGATGGGTTCATAGAATCCGTTCTGCGTTCAAACACTTGACCCTCATAGCAGCTATTTCTGGTGTTGTCTGGTTCGGCCTACACCCCAGAGATTTTAGACGGTGGGCTGGGCTCATTCCTGATGTTCAGGCTTCAATTGTTTCTGCAGTCCGGGACGGTCTTGTGCGCGCGTCTATGATGCTTGCTTGATATGTTTACATGCATATAATCTTGGATCAATAGTAGTCTTTCAATGCAAAGAATTATCGCCTGTCCATGTAGATGTTTGTATTACTTTTATCTGATTGGTCCGGCTTAATCTGGGGAAACGGAAAAACCCCGCGCACCTGCGAGGAATGTCTCCGCACTTCATCGCCGTTTGTTCCCCAGACTCCAGTCAAAGCTCCCGCAAAACCACCCGTCGCGATGGAGTCAGAGTCACCTCACATGGACACGACAGCGTCCCAGACGGGCGCCAGCCAGACAGCTGCTGGACAGGACGAAACTGGCGCAAAGAGGAAGGCGGAACCGCAAAACGGAACACCTACGCGCACTAAGCGGAATCGCTATATTTCTATTGCCTGGTATGATCCTCGGACTAGTGATGTACCTGGTATATTAGGGGATGCAAGAGTGACATGATGCTGATGGTCTGGCCAGTAATGAGTGCAAGCGGAGGAAGATCAAGTGTAATGGACAAGTGCCGTGTCAGCGCTGCGGGCATTTGGATCTAGAATGTCAGTGTGCCGTGATAAGGATAAGCGGAATATGTGGTTTAATTGATGTTTGATAGGTCGATATGCGCCGAATTGCTGTAACAATAATTTCAAGGATTCCGAGTACGTGATTCCATTGCGTTCTGTTCTAACCGGTTGCTAATATGCATAGGGAATTTCGGTCCATGAAGGACCAAATCACCAACTTGCAAGACCAGGTTAACAGCCTCTTCTCCAACTTGAATGACCTCCGCATACAGCAGAGGACGTCTCTTGACCCTCCGAATTTCGATGCTTTATCTCGCGAAGGATCACAAGTCTTCACGCCTTTGCAGCACGGTTCGGTTAGACCGCGGGTCAGACATCCCCGGTTTCAGGGCCCTACGAGCTCTGCATTCAATTTCGACGTTGCGAGGTCAAGTCTTCAGGAAATGGGTATCGCTGCACCAGCAGAAGATGGGATAGTTGATGACTTGACGACTGTTCATGCCACGCCTGCTGTCTCGCCTCCATTACATCCACCTCCGTCATCGCAGTTGGCACCGGTTTTGAATACTATCCATCCTTCCAAGGACCCAATATGGAGTATAAAACGGGAAGAAGCGCTACGGCTATGTAGAGTCTACGAGGAAGAGATCGGGATCATGTATCCCCTTGTGGATATCGGGAAAATCACTCAGCAAGTGAACCTATTATACACATTTATGGAGGCTGCAATGCGAACAGGCTTTGCGCAGCGTGGTCTACCAGGCTCGGACGGTCTTCAGGATGATAATACCAATATTTTAAAGATGATCCTTGCAACGACCCTCGTTGTGGAAGGGAGTGGGCAGAGCGATCTCGGTTTGCGGTTGTATTTGAGCATGAAGCCGGTCGTCGATTCCAAGCTTTGGCAGCCTTTGGATATTAGAACTATTCAACTATATGGCTTGGTGGTGAGTCACTTCATTTCCCACAACCCCAACTAGCACAGACTGAATTTTTTAGGCAACTTACCATTTCCATACGGACGACGATGCTATGGCTTACCGTGTGATCGGTCTTACGGCTAGGATGTGCCTTGAATTGGGACTACATCGACGAGATGCGTTGAAGAAATCATTCCCCGACGAAGGCCAATGGTCTGATGTCAGCAAAATCTTCTGGTCTATCTACAGCTTGGATCGACGGTGGAGTTTGGGCACAGGGTTGCCGTTTGTGATTCAGGATGAGGATATTGATCCTAATTTGCCAGAACCGGTACGTCACCACATCTTTATGTTTCTCTCGTTGTTAATGGTGATAGGATTCATCGTTGCCATACCTGAGGTGTATGGTTTCGTACAATCGAATTGGCTCTAAGATCTGGTATTCCGGACTAGGTTCCGAAGGCTCTACGGACATTCGACGTGATGAAATCGGTTATCTTGACTATCAGATTCTTCAATGGTACAAAAACGTACCGGATGCGTTGAAATTCTACCCCTTCGACTCCCCGAAGCACGGGGAATCCGCAAGTCGCGGACTTCGCCGTCTCCGCGTATTGCTATATCTGCGCATGAACCAGCTTCGAATCCTCATATATCGTCCCGTCCTCCACTCGCCGGCAAGCATTGCGGAGGATCACAGCCACGCTCAAACAGTGATCGACGTCGCCAAAGACACCATCCAAGTCCTTACCCGCCTCAATCAAACCTCCGACATCTACCGTACGCAACAAATCTGCTTCAACTACTTCCTCGTTGCCGCTCTAGCAGTCCTTTTCCTAGCCGTATGCCACGCATCCACCGAATTCAACCGCCAGGTACGGGACGAATTCTACATGGCCTTGGACCTGCTCAACGGCTTCAGCACCAAATCCTACGTCTCCAAACGGCTTTGGAAAACTATAAAGGGCCTTCGAACCATCGGCGAGAAACTGGGAGTTCTGGCACGTCCATTTGCTTCAGACTCCAACGACCCTCATTCAACAGCTGCTGTCGCGATGGCCGGATTGGCTGGTCATTCCATAGAAGATCTCTCGATGTATGGGTCCATGAATGGGGCGCACGAGCTGGGAAATAGTCCGCTGAACGGGCTGCAGATGAGCCACGAACTTACGAATCTGTTTGAAGCTGTTGGGGGATTTGGTAATTTTATGGGGCCGTCTGGGACTGGAGCTATGAATGGGTTTGGACATAATGGGGAGATTTCTAATACGGGAGAGGGACTATCGGGGGTATTGGGGGATGAGGGGGAATTTGCACGAGTAATACGAGATCTGTTCTAGACATGCTTTCCCATCAATCAACAGCTATTTAGAGAGTACAATGTTGACTTCACTTTTGTATTCGTTATTCTCTAGTAGGTTGTGCTCACGTGACACTCCCACTTCGCACCACCGCTCTGTCCAGACGACCGCCATTTATCTCAGCAAAACCGGTTGTCTGGCGGCCACGAGTGCTTATTATTCTTGATTTGCTCTATCGAAAAGATACCGTCTTCTGAGTGTTGATTGCGTTTTGTTCTTTTAACGACACTGATCTCCTCATATCGCTCCCCTCCCCTCTCTCATCTCGATCCGTTACCAAACCCCTCAAAAACAGACAGAGGGACACCAGCCGAATTATTCGATGTCACGGTGAGAGGAACTACATTGGTCTAGTTTGGATACTCGACGGTACTCATTGAATGTCGTGAAACCCAACCTGTGTTTGTTAGTGGGGAATTCAGTCTCCAAGCCAGCCCATCGCACAACGAAGCAGTGTCATGATTTTCGCATTCATTGAATAAACCAAAACAACATCTACGCTATCTACGATATCTACGCCTGATAACGACCTCAAACATCCTCCGATATCGTCTCTTGCGTGTGTGTAACAGCAGCGCGCAAGGACTCGAGCAATCAAATCCGACAACACCACTTCGCCTCTTTTTTCTTTTTTTTTTTTTTTTCATCCCCTAGCTCCAACGTGTCGAGAGAGACAGGTTCGGCGTTGGCCGACGGCCTAGACAGGCTGGATCTGAGTCAACTGTCTGAATCGACCCTTTCGTCGTCCGAAACCACGTCCGCCTCATTCGATATGTCGTCGTCGGAGGGTGCCCCGGAGTCGTGGATCTCGTCCTTCTGCTCACTCATGGGCCACGAATTCTTCGCGGAGGTGTCGGAGGATTTCATCGAGGATGACTTTAACCTCACGGGTCTGCAGTCGCAGGTGCCCATGTACAAGGAGGCGCTGGAGATGATTCTAGATGTGGAGCCGGAAGAAGACGAGGACGAGGACGAAGAGGAAGAAGACGAGGACGAAGAAGAGGATGAGATTCTGGGCGATGAGAAACCGCCTGGTTATAGAGGGGGGCAGCGACGACATGCGCGCGTCGCGAGCGATCTAAGCGTGATCGAGAGTTCCGCGGAGCTGCTGTATGGCCTTATTCATCAACGCTACATCACCTCGCGACCAGGTATCCAGCAGATGTTGGAGAAGTACGAAATGCAGCATTTCGGGGTGTGTCCCCGCGCAAACTGCAACGGCTGTAAAGTCCTCCCCGTCGGCCGCTCCGACACCCCCGGCCAGGAAACTGTTAAGCTCTTCTGCCCCAGCTGCCAGGACCTGTACACGCCTCCCAACAGCCGCTTCCACTCCGTCGACGGCGCGTTTTTCGGTACGACCTTTGGCTGTCTGTTCTTCATGACCTTCCCGGATCTGGACATCGGGCCCCGTCTTGACGACCCTATCACCCCCGCGCTGCAACAACGTTATCCGGGCCTGACTGCATCTGCAGCCTCGCGCGAAAACGACAACCAGCAGCTTGAAATCAACGGCATGCGGACCGCGAACTTCTCCCCGGGACTGGGACCGGGTAAGATATATGAGTCGCGCATCTATGGGTTCCGCGTCTCGGAGCGGTCGCGGGTCGGTCCGCGCATGAAGTGGCTGCGGATGAAGCCGACAGACATCAGGGAGCTGGACGAGATGGCATTCGTCGAGACTTTGCGGCGGCGAAATGAACAGATCGCGGACGAGGAGGGCGACGAAGAGGAGGATAACGATACAGAGATGCAGGCAGCGCCGGCGTCGAATACGATCGAGGGGAGGAAGAAGGCGCCGATACGACGGCGACGAAAGGTGTTGGGGGAGTAGAGGGAGTAAAATGTCATTTTTCTTGATTCATTCATGTTCTGTGTTCAATTATCTACTGAAATTATTCTCTTCTTTGTCTTTTATTTCTGTTGTTAACTCTAACTGCATAGAGGCGTAAGTCAATAATCAGCATATAAATAGTCTTCATACTAGTTTCTGCCATAATCACTCTAAATCTCTTTTCTATGGAGTAAGTATTGGTAAGACGGAATAAACTAAAACTGAATGCTGACGATCCAGTCTCTCGGGGCAGTCCCTACTCCTTATCAGCTACAGTAGTACCCTGAAGAATAGCTAGGTCGTACATATCTAGCCCGAAAAGAATACAGAGAGCGAGAGTTACACTACTACATCATTGCCATGGTATATCTCTGGGCATATATATTTTCAATAACCGCGCTATGAGCTATTTCGAAAAAGGAAAAAAGGAAGACGGGAAAGAACGCCGGAATTGTATGGATGTATGGATGGAACGAGAGGGGAAATTAGAAAATACATACATTATGGTATGAAAAAGACAGCACTGAATTACTTGTACTTGTAGACAGGGGTGCATGACTCACTTAGTCACCTGCTGCTGTGTGCTCTGGTCGGTTTTGCAAGAATGGATGCGATTAATATCGAATCAAAGGAATGTCGATATTGACATCTCCTCGGCTTTGGCCGATATGCCTTCGTACTCCCTTCCGTATACGAGGGCCAGTATTTCTCAGTTATGAAATGACATGAAATGCTGAAGAATTCCATCATTATCCTGGACATCAAACATACAAGGATCCCAGGGCCAACAAATGATCAAATAACATACCAATCATACTCAACTAAGACAATCGTCCGGTGTTGGTGTTATGTGTTATTGTCTGGCAATACTCACTCTATGCTACGCAAGCATCGCAACGCAACGCAACGCAACGCAGCCCAGTCCAGTCCTGAGCATCTCCGCCTGTCCACAGAGCCGCTTTTCCAGTCAACTGTACTCCGTACGGAGTACGGAGTTAGCCTTTGTGATAGTCATTTAGTTGCGTGAACGTTAATTCGTGATTTGTGGACATTCTCCGGAGGCGCAGTGTCGAATCTAAATCGCGCCCTCCGTTCTCCTCGTACAGGGTTTCTCGGCTTTTGCACGAGCTGAATCCAAGTGGTTAATCTAATCGGTTGGTTGCCTCTCCGTCTGCCCGTTTTGGTTGGCAAAACGAAAGGAGCGGGGTTCGTCAAGTACGAGATCGGGGGCCGGCATTTAGGAAGCACCGAAAAAGAAATGGTCTGTTCTGGGCCGGGGAGGGGGTAGGGTATCAAATAGCCTGCAGTCTTGGATTCATCTGCCATCTCGTATTCTGGTTCGTCGGTTCGGGGTAGCCCCGGGCACAGTGAATCCTGCGCGATTCCTGCTGAATTGATGAGTAATAAAGAATGTGTGATAATGGTCGCAGCCTCGTGCACGATTAGTACTCGAACGGATCGCGCCGGAGTCTGTCTTGGTTTTTTTTTTTTTTTTTTTTTTTTTTTTTTTTTTTTTTTCGCTCAATATGGTTGCCTCGCATTGCCATGCATTAGTGGGGGAGGTTGCGAATTCCTTTCTGGAGACCAGATCTGCTTGCGGCTCTGGGCAACATGCAACGAGGCAGTGTTGAGGCTATTTGTCTTTTTTCCCCCTCTCCCGTTATGTCTGAGAATGTTTGTGCAGAGGATACTTTGTAGTGAGAAATCAGACACTTCATGAATAATAATAATATGGTGCCCTAATGCATATCTAGTGGCCAAAAGCATAAAATCGTAATAACACATAAAATGACAGCCCAAACCGAAATAAAATAAAGAGAGAAACAAAAAGAGTACTCCATCGCTAACAGCCGATCTAATGTGACCAACGAGGAGTCAACAACGCACCAACAACCGAAAGCCACATCTACTCCGTAGGCAGTAGCAATCAATTTGTCCCGGCGGAAATCAAAAACCCCGAAGATGAATCCAAAAAAAGAAACCCAGAAAGTCGCGCTCCACCAAAAAAACGCCTGGTCGTAAATATATCGTCGCATGCATGATTCAAACTCCGATACAGGTTCATAAATTCATACACATAGTCCATGGGGAATCATACGCTTTCCAAGATACCAAACAACGGGAAGGAAAAGACAACGCTATCGTAGATGTTTCGTAAAACAAAAGGAATCAATCAAAACAAAGGAAAGGAGCGGGGTGAGCAGGGATCGGATTCGGGCGTCAGAGGACAAGCAAGCGACATCTCTGCAGGGGTTGAAGAGGTTGACGTTGAACGGTCATCAACGTGGCTTTGTGCCAGAGGTGGTGGTGGTGACATCTGGAAAAAGCGAAATGAGTGAGCGATGATCATGACTTGCTGGTTTGGACAAACAATCCGGTTACGAAGGGCTATTTACCGGCATGTTGCTGGACCCGCTTGGCAGCTGCAGGGTGTTGGAGCCCAAGTCGATACCTGCCATGGACGCATAGCTCTGGCTGAATGGACTCATGATCTCGTCGTCCGCGTAGGATCGCTTGATCTGCCCCGTGGGAGGATAGTCGACGTAGTCCCCAGGAAAGGACGGCAGGCCGTGGAAAGAAGGTGTGTTGGAGCTATGAAACGATGGGGAATGGTAGAGAGGTGGAGACTGGCCGTATGCTGGGGATCCATACGGATTCAAATGTGAATACGAGCTGTAGGAGAAGACTGGCGGGGGCGAAGCAGAGAGCTGGCGAGTGCACTGAAGCGAAAACATGCCTCCACGCTGGTCGTCTGAATAGGAGGCATCCCCATACAAGGTCCTCGTCACTGTGGGAATGAGAGGACTGCTGCCCCTGTTGCTGCTGTTACTGCTAATTTTGAGACAATCGTTGTCGAGGCTGTTGTTGATGCTGTTGATGCTTGGCTTGGAACGGTTTCGGATAGCACGAGACCTGCCTGACTTTGGCAGAGATGGCTCAACGTGAGACTGTTCCGGGGAGGCTGAAGACGATGCGGCTCGCTTCTCCAAGTCCTCGAGACGGCGCTTTAACTTCTTGCCTATATGTAGTTAGATAAGAAGCTGCTGGTGTAGTGGCTACCAGAGAGAACTCACGGTAATTCCGCTGGGCAATGCGATTCTGGATGCGACGACGCTCCGCCAGGTCCGAAATCTTAGTCCAGTCCTCGTTGGGGTTGGCATTAGGACTAAAGGCACTGCTAGTGCCGTGGTTCGAGGAGCGACGAGAGGAGTAGTAGTTGGAAGAACGATTCATAGTGGGCATTCAAGTGTTAATGACTGGGGGGGACTGATATTAGAAAGAGATGGGGATCGATATATATAGATGTAGTTGTAGATAGAGTCACCTGACTAGGTATGAAGATGAAGCTGAAGAATAAAGATGGAGATCAATGATGAACCATTCCGAGACGACCGAAAGCCGCGTATTTATTAGCGGCTTGTTCGCTATGAGTCCATCTAGTCGTTATTCTAGACAAGGCAGTGCTGCCCTTCGCCCTCTTTGCCATAGCCATGTGGCTCCAAAAGGAAATCGGAGACGGTATTGAAAAGAACCGTATTATTGTATTTTTTTTTTTTTTTTTTTTTTTTTATTTTACCCTGCTTGATGGAGGGTTACACGGGCGTCCAGGCGTCCGGGTTTTCCGGTACATCCATACTTGTATATCACAATGATTGATTTCAAATCCATATTCATACATACGTATACAAGAATAGTTATTGTACACTAGCAATAGCAAATACTCCAACAGCCAGACATATAGACAGTTAGACATACTACGTACACAAGGTTGGGCCGACGTCATTCCTAATTGGACCAAGACACTCGGCTGTCCTACCTCTTATCAGTACATACATACATACTTGCATTTTCACCTGTATTACTCGTAAGGACCAGTAGTACCCCTGTATCGACCTCGTATAAAATCGGTGATCGTCGGACGTATAAGTCCGCTCTTAACCCCGAATGGCGTCACATAGGGCTGAAGTACCATTTGTGGGGTCATCATTGGCCAGTTACCCCAAAACCACTAGTCCCGATCTGGTATGGTGTTTGTTTGCCCTGGTCTTGCTACCAGTAGAATCAAGTCCCATGACTTCCTCGTCACTCGATGCCCAGAGCAAAAGTGCAACGGAATAATTGGCAGACAGAATTGGCATTCGAGCTTTGTGTAGGCTCTTGTTGGTTTTTGGTTTTGTCACGAAATGCTCCCGTGAATACGGAGGATATACGAAGTACATACTCCCTTAGCAGGGATGGGCCGACAAGAATGTGCTTATAGCTATGGTCTATACGGGAGTACGGGAAGTACGGGAAGCACTACTGTATATCGATCCTGCGACGTTCAATTCTTACCCTGGATGGGTAACAGATCTTCGCTCAGACGCATCAGCATTCTAGCAGTGCTTATCCAGAAACATATCGAAACATCCAACGGGCACTTATTTAGGGTCAATTCGTGCAGCTTCTTGATTTAGCAGCCAATCAGCATTCCGGTGCAGAGCCGCTTTGGAGCCTTATGCACAACAGAATGTGGATTGAATACATTCTGGTCCTTGACAGACAGACCATGACTGTGACAGGGTAACCAACAAAAGAGGCTTAGACCTGGAGAGCCCCATTGGCCCCAGCCTCGGGCTATCTTGGCATCTGATTCTGTGTCAATCATACTGCTATGCTGTTATATTCCCCAGACATTAGGCCTTACACTTGCATATTGTAGAAGAATGTAAAAGATAAGATGCTGAGATGCTACTATGAATATTCCCTGATGCCCTGGTTTGTCGATCATAATCCGTCATCCCTGTATTCTCTTATTCTTGGCCCCGAAAAACGAGAGAAAAAAAAAAAAAAAAAAATACCAGCACAGCCTGAGAGTTAAGTCATCCCGAACAGCCTTGTGTGCCAGGTATACTCAAATTTCTGAATGGAATCTCCATCACTTGACCAGAGTCCTCAAATTGTCCGCACTCACTCCGCACTCGCTTCGCATTGCCGCATGCAGCAGTATGGCAAAGCACAAGTTACACGTCCCGTCCGGGTTGACGAAGGAGACACTAAATCTTCCTTTCTACAACAGCGACCGCCGCGTCGGATCATCGGAGGCTATGTGCACGGTACTCATGTACGACATGCATCCTTTGCGTCGGGGCATTGTGAATCTAGCGTATGTCTGTGCTTCCCTTGCTCCGTGGTTGGGCCAGGCTTGGTGCGTCTTCCCGGTGACAACTTGCACCCTGTAAAGGGTGACTGGGCCACATGGCGGTGTTGGATCCTGGAGAGTCCCTGGGCTGTTTCAAGAATGGTTATTGTGGGAAAATATGCATGTTGATATGCTGACGACGGCTTTAATACCGACACTTCTGAATTCAGTGCTCACGCTAGATCGTAAGGAACAGATATTCCAAAAATATGCATTAGAAAAAAAAAAAAAAAAAGAAAGAAAGAAAACAAAGATGATAACCAGTTATGTTTTCTCCGTCATACCAAGCCCGTCGGAGCCAACAGATAGGGCAATTCTACAGAACATAACTGGCCAAATGTCAGCATCTACTCATCAATCTGAAACGACTTCCCCTCTCCCCCCAAAAAAAGAAAAAGTAAAGAAAGGAAAAATAGAACTTACCTCCAAGGATGCGCCTCATCGCCATACTGGATCCCTTCAATCCAGTTCTTCATGTTGAGCGCAATCTCTCCAGCCTCCTCCTCTGTCTTCAACCCACAGTCCACCAGTTGGCCCCGGTAGCTGATCGACCGCACCGGGCTAACGATCGCTGCTGTTCCCGATCCAAACACTTCCAATAACCTTCCTTCGGACGATGCCTCCGCAAGCTCGGACATCTTAATCTTGCGCTCAGACACCTTCCACCCCTTAGGAGTCAAACGTTCACGCGCCAGACCCAGAACAGAGTCGCGGGTAACTCCTTCGAGAATCGTTCCATCCAGAGGTGCCGTCACCAGCTCCTTCTGGCCCGTCTCTTTGTCCTTTAAGACCATGAAAAGGTTCATGGTTCCCACTTCGGTCACGTACTCCTCCTCTCCAAAAAGCCATAGGTTCTGCTGGAACCCGCGTGACGCTGCGTTCAGTTGTGGCACCACACATGGTGCATAGTTGGCACCCAGCTTCTTATCACCAACACCACCGGGCCATGCGCGCACTGCATAGTCGGTTGCTTCCAGAGAGATGGCCTTGAAGCCCGTGGCGTAGTACGGTCCAACAGGACTAGCGATCACAAATAGAAGTGCAGAGCCCGGGGGCCCAACACCAAGAGTGTTTTGCGTGCCGATCATCGTGGGACGAAGGTACAACGAATATCCGCGGGAGCTGCAGACCAGTCAGCCATAGCCTCTCAAAGCAATGTGCAAAGGTTCCAACAAACTTGGGAATAAAGCGGCTGTCTAATTTCACAAATTCCCCGATCAACTTGGTGAGAGCTTCACCGTCAACAGTCGGCAGAGCAATCCGCGACGAGGACTTGTTTAAACGCTCCATGTTTTTGTTCGGACGGAACAACCGAATCTCACCATTGCTGTCCTTGTAGGCTTTCATTCCTTCGAAGCATTCGAATGCATAATGGAGGACACAGGCCGATGGGTCGAGGCTGAGGTTCTGGTACGGAACGATACGGGGCGTATCCCAACCCGATTCAGCGTTCCATTCAATGGAAAGCATATGATCTAGGAAGTCATTGTGTATCAGCATACAAACAGCCCACTCCGATGCGCGATTATCTCTCTTGAACTGTCCACGTACCAGTGAAGGTCTTCCCGAACACCAAATCCTTCGGAGAGGTGATTTCCTTGGGGGTGCTGGTTTTGGTCACAGAGAGCTTCGAGGCATCAAGGGCAGCCAGTTGAGAAGCAGCAGTGCTGTATGATCTCTGCCATAGCCGAGTTGCCGTAGGAGTCTGGAAAGGAAGAGCACGAGACACCGGGAAACCGTTCAAGACCTTGCGACAGGCCAAGCGATGGAAGGACTTCATAGCTGCAATCTAAATGGACGTGAGCAACTGTAACTCTCAATTCGTCGAGGGAATTCAATCACCTTTTCGTAGTAAGTGACGAGAAGAACAAAAAAAGTACAATTCGTTTTCCACCGTTTGGATGACTCTTCGGCGCTGACAAAGGCCTATGTATCGAGTGGAATATTTCCCCGGAGAGAAGACCTCTCGGGCCGATCGCCGACGTCGGAGTCTGGCAGCGGGTAAAGGCGGAATTAGGTTAATACGGCTATCCCAAAAAAGAAAAGGCCATCTGCACGTGACTGATAGAGCTTCCAGAAGGGGTATCTTATCGTACAGTTTCTTATTGGTCGATACATTACCCCTTTCACGTGACAGTCATGCCAGCGGACATCATTGAGCGCGACTCAGTGTCGATTACGGAGAGATTAATGAACACTCGGTGGGTTTTGACGATTTTGTTTAATATCTGTTATATTCTTCGTTTTTAACTTCCTTCGATCATTTATGTGAATTTTTAATCTTACCTCTTTTTCTTTTCGTATTCTTTGCATACCTATTGTTCCCTCCGTTGGCGCAGCATACACATCCTTGGTGTTGCATGCATGGTTATTCTCAACACTTCCAATAACACTTTTGGAGGACCCCGGAGATTATTCGTTGAAAGAACAAATTGGAAATGTTTTCGTCCTTCAAATCCAACATATCCTCCAACTACCAGATCTCTCCGCATCCGGTTGTGATCTCAGGTCCATGGAGAGTCCATGATGGAAAGAGAAAGTCAACAGGCACAACAGCATCTGTGTTCATTTTTGACAAGAAGTTCCTTGAACCTCGAGCTGGTGCATTTGGGAAATCGTCCAGTTCCTCCACCAAAAAGCTGCAGGAGGAGGTTATCGAGCGACTAAAGCGAGAAGCTAGCAGTCTCGCACGTCTTAGACATCCGTCCGTTCTACAGGTTCTCGAGCCGGTAGAGGAGACGCGCAATGGTGGTCTGATGTTTGCTACTGAGCATGTCACGGCGTCTCTTGGTGGGTTATTACGGCAGAAGGATGAACAAGAAAGGGTGAGCTCCCGCACCAGCCGTTACACGTCCGAGAGACCGGACGGAAGCAGAGGACGGAGGGAGCTTGAAATCGACGAACTTGAAGTTCAAAAGGGTCTTTTGCAAGTGGCTAAGGGCCTTGAGTTTCTGCACGAATCAGCGGGCTTGGTTCATGGAAATCTGAATCCCGAAGCAATATTCATCAACGCGAAGTCTGACTGGAAGATCTCTGGCTTGGGCTTCGCTGGTCCTCCTGATTCGACAGAGACTCGCTCTTCTCTTCCACCATTGGCACTTTCCGAGGTCCTATACCATGACCCTCGTCTGCCTGCGTCGGTCCAGCTCGATCTGGATTACACCTCTCCTGACTTTGCCATGGATTCTAACGTTTCTTCCGCCGCGGATCTATTTTCTCTGGGATTGATAATTGTTGCCATCTATAACTCTCCCCATGTTTCTCCAATCGAGTCGCATTCGAACTTATCTACTTATAAAAAGCTTCTCAGCTCGCCATCATCAACCCCCTCGCAGTCGAACAACTTCCTGGCTTCCGGAGTGGTCCCAAAGGATCTCGTTTCCCATCTTCTTCCCAGGTTGATCACAAGAAGGCCAGCCCAGCGTTTAAACGCACGGGAATTCCAGCAATCTCAGTATTTTGACAACATTCTGGTATCAACGATTCGCTTCTTGGAGTCGCTGCCAGCCAAGAACCCAAATGAAAAATCCCAATTCATGCGTGGACTACAACGGGTGCTGCCTGAATTTCCAGTCTCGGTTTTGGAGAGGAAGATCTTGGGTGCTTTACTGGAGGAACTGAAAGATCACGACCTTCTGCAACTGATCCTACAGAACATCTTTGGGATCTTGCAGCGGATTCCGAGTGCGCGTCGTATATTCCCTGAAAGGGTGATTCCACGTTTGAAAGAAATCTTTCCGGCAGGATCTAGCAAAGGCCAGGAGCGTGATTCGAAACGAGATGCGGGACTTATGGTTGTGCTTGAAAACATGAAAGTGATTTCTGAGAATTGCTCTGGCATGGAGTTCAAGGATGGTTGGTCTCCCTTCTTGCCTTCAGTTACAAAATGTGCGACTAACATTCAATCTCTCAGACATACTGCCTTTGATCCGACTCGGTATGGACTCGCCTACTCATTCTTTGGCGGACATTGCAATCAAATGCTTGCCCGTGGTGCTCCCAGTTCTTGATTTTAGTACTGTGAAAAATGAGGTTTTCCCTCCGATTGCAACGACTTTCAGCCGGACAAGCAGTCTTGCCATCAAAGTTCGCTGCTTGGATGCGTTCGCTGTGCTTTGTGGGGGCTCTGTTGATGCAGAGCCAGAACTCGAAGATGACCTTTCAGGTGTGACTACGACCAAGCAATCCAAGCCCATCAAGTCTTCAATCCTTGACAAATACACCATACAAGAAAAGCTTGTTCCATCACTGAAGGCCATCAAAACCAAAGAGCCCGCTGTGATGATGGCTGCATTGAACGTGTTTAGGCAGGTTGGCATCGTTGCTGACACGGATTTCCTTGCCTTGGAGGTGCTCCCCATTCTCTGGAACTTTTCACTGGGACCACTGCTTGGTATTCGCCAGTTTGAGCAGTTTATGACGCAGATTAAAAATATTTCCGCCAAGATTGAGCGTGAGCAGAGGAAGAAATTGCAAGAGCTATCGTCAGGAGACACTAGCGGTTTCAGAAACGGCACTAAGAGTCCTTCCGTAGCTACTCTTGATCAAGGTGACATGAATGTCAACTTTGAGCGTCTCGTCCTTGGAAAAGGCGCTACGCCATCAGATGCAGACATCGATGCCTGGGACACTATGGACTCTGGGCCAACGCCTCAGACTTCGGGCCCCGCAGCATCGCCCGCCTTTTCATGGTCGACATCAAATGCACCTGTGCCAGTTAGCAGGGGAAGCACTCCATCCGCACAGTCTAACCCCAATTTCCGCTCTGTTACTCCTGATTACAACATAAGTTCATTCCCATCACTCGAACCTGTTCCGCGCCAAGTGTCTCCCATGACGCAGGGGTTTCCAGCTTTGCAGCCGTCGCCGTCAGGCTCGTGGAGCTCTTCAACAAGTCAACGCAATGTCCAGGGGAATACAGCTGGCCCATCACTGGCAGCTCTTGCCAGCGTGAAGTCGGCATCTTCTACTGCTACCACTCCTACCTCATTTGGTCAACCCAAGCAATCCAATTATCCCGCGTTCTCCATTCCTCCGCCTCCTGCATCGGGTTCCATGCCACCACAACCATCCGCATTTAGCGGAATTTCTAATGTTGCAAAACCCCCATCCTTGGGTGCCAACGTGATGCAGAATCCGTTGTCGAATGCCCATACCTTCCAGCCAGCCAACACGCAGAAACAAGGTCTGGACAAATATGAGAGCTTAATATGATATTCTTCCTTCGTTGTCTTGTTTGAATACCCTTACTTTAGCCCATTGCTGCATTTGCTTGTATATACATAGATTGGGGTTTGGAGAGTATACCAAAAGCGTCACAAGATAATTCACATAATTACTTACCCTTCCACCATGACTGTTCTATTCTAGTGGAGCAATCTCCACAATTCGACCTGCGGAACATAAATCACATAAGCAGAGTCATAACTTGGATTAATCTCGGTCTCCAGCCAGACAAAGAGCTGCTGCTTAACTTGTTGCAGCAGTTGTTGTCACCATCAGCTCATATGCGCCTTTCTCGAGGCCTGGCGACGCGCTGTTGGCCGTCGGAACATCGTTTCCTCCACCGCCCCTCCGTATCCTTCCTGCCCCTCAATCGTCATCACTCGCCGCATCACCGTCCTCTTCCGTTCCCTCGTACTTCGACTGTGTCTTCTGTTCTCCCCTCGCGCTCCAATTTCTCAACACAAGCTTCACTCCGCATTTCAGTAACCACGATGGATGAGAGCATCAAGCAGCACTATCTGGCAGATTCGCCGCCTACGGTGGTCAGGTTGGAGGTCAAACAGCACTTTGACAAGCTCCAGGATCCCAAGTTGAGGAAATACGCCCATTACATTAGCAGGTTCGTCGTTGTTCTCCTTGTCCTTTGTGAATATCACTGACATTGACTTTGCGACGCAATTCTAGGGCTGCTTTCGAAGGAATCCGAATTACCCTCCGTCAAGTCTCTCCCGAATCCGAACCGATCTACGACCTCATACTTTCCCTTCACCGTGCCTGCAACGGGGACTGGGCCAGCCTCGCCAAGAAGACAAATGTCAGCTCGGAACACCTTCGTTTCTTCTTGGAATATTCTGTTCAATTTCTTGGTAACTGCGGTAACTACAAGGGCTTCGGTGATTCCAAGTTCATTCCACGACTGCCACCTTCTGCATTGGAAGCCCTGGCCTCAGCTACCCCGGAAAGTAAGGCAGCATTCGAGAATGCTAGCAAGAGTGGGGGTGGGATTTATGAGACGCAACAATCCCTTATGCACCTCGGTTACCCTGGTGCCGGCCACATGACTACCTACTACCCCGAGTCGCCCAACATCAGCCAGGATGAGATTTCAGCCATTGGTGACCTCATGGAACAGAAAGGCTTGCCGTTGGAAAACACAAGACTCAAGAAGACCGCCTCGGGAGATTTCGAGCTCTTGATTGCATCTGGCGTCTCGTCGCCCCCCTCGCGGGACCGGGACCTCGGAGAGATCGAGACGTTTGATCTCGATGGAAAGCTGAAGGGGAGGAAGCTTAGTCTTGTCTTTGGAGATCACAAGGAGGAAATGGCCAAGATCGCCCACTCCATAAAGCAGGCGAGCTTACATGCTGCAAACGACAACCAAAAGAAGATGCTCGACGCTTATGCTTTGTCGTTCGGTGCTGGCTCCATCGAGGCATTCAAGGAATCTCAGCGAATATGGGTCAAGGACCAGAAGCCAGCACTGGAAACGAACATCGGATTTGTCGAGACCTATAGAGATCCCCACGGTGTCAGAGGTGAATGGGAAGGATTCATCGCTCTAGTATGATCATTTGCTGTTCTTTTGGTGCTTGGATAGCTATATGCTGACTATTTGCAGGTCAACCTGGAACGCACACGGGCTTTTGGACAGCTCGTAGATAACGCTGAAGCAATGATTCCCAAGCTTCCTTGGGGCGATGAATTCGAAAAGGACACGTTCCTTAGCCCTGACTTCACATCTCTTGAGGTCTTAAGCTTCCAGTCATCCGGTATCCCAGCTGGTATTAACTTGCCTAACTACGACGACATTCGCCAGAACCTGGGATTCAAGAACGTTTCCCTTGGTAACGTTCTGAGTGCCAAGGCTCCGAATGAGCCCGTTCCGTTCATTTCCGAAAGGGATTTGGATGTGTACCGCAGATGCCGGGACCCAGCCTTCGAGGTGCAGGTGGGTATCCACGAGCTTCTCGGCCATGGAACTGGCAAGCTGCTGCAGGAGACCGCTCCAGGCGAATATAACTTCGATATCTCGAACCCGCCTGTGAGCCCTGTCGACGGCAAGCCCATCTCAACTTGGTACAAGCCAGGTCAGACATGGAGCTCCGTGTTTGGTGCCATTGCTTCTTCTTATGAAGAATGCCGCGCGGAGTGCGTTGCTATGGCTCTTGGTTGTGACTTTGGTATTCTCAAGATCTTTGGTTTTGGCGATGGCAAGGAAGATCTTTCCAACGAGGCCGGCGATGTGTTGTTCGCGGCCTATCTACAGATGGCACGTGCTGGTCTGGTTGCCTTGGAATTCTGGGACCCCAAAACGCACAAGTGGGGACAGGCTCACATGCAGGCTCGTTACAGTATTCTGCGGACATTCCTTGACGCAGGAGACGACTTTGTGAAGCTCGTGTACAACAAGGAAGACTTGTCAGATCTCGAAATCCACTTGGACCGGTCCAAGATCCTAACCCATGGCCGTCCTGCTGTGGAGAAGTACCTGCAGAAACTGCATGTCTACAAAAGTACGGCCGACGTCGAAGCAGGTAAGAAGTTGTACGACGATATCACCTCCGTGAATGAGTGGTGGGGAACCAAGGTTCGCGACGTTGTTCTTAAGAACAAGGTGCCCCGCAAGGTCTTTGTCCAGGGTAACACGGTTTTGAACGGCGAGGAAGTGACCCTAAAGGAGTATGAACCTACGCTCGAGGGCATGATCCAGAGCTACGTGGAGCGCGACGTTTAGTCGGTTGGCTATTTCTTTGACATCACCTCAAGGGGTTTTTATGATACGTATGCATTAAGTCAAAATATACCACGAATGCACGCAGTGTGCATAGTACGGTGCATTTTCGGTATCACTACAGAGCTCTATATAGGGATTCTTGCTTGTAAACTCGGTATGAAACGATTAAGTCGTACAAAACAACCATGCGATACTGAGTCATGTGACCAATATTGATTTTTGTCAGGGCATAATCAAGATAACTCTACGTATTTATTGTCTAATATTCTATAGAGTTTCAGAAAATTTAGTAAAAAGTATTCCAATGGTGATTGTGCTTGGCTATGATCAATTGCCGCCGAGTTCATTTGTATCTTCACCTCCCCCCTCATCTTTAGGCGCTTCCCACCTCTCCTCCCGCCATCTGTCTCCGTGGTGCATCTGAATTCCGACAATTAATCCTCGTGAAAACGCTCCATTGTGTCACTTTAAACTAATTTCCTGCATTTGCATCTATGTTCGAGTCCCGGTAAAAAAGAAAGAGAAAGAAGAAAAAGCTAGTTGACGGCTCGTGTGCGTCTGGACCGTCAAAACTGGGGGCAGTTCTGGGTCGATCACCCTCAGATCAACCGGGAACCAACTCTCAATCGGATCCCTTCATCCTATTTCTCATAACTTAACTACCATCATCACTTTCTTCCTCTTTCATTATCACACATCCAGAGCCTGTCGCCTTCAATTGTGCGGTCGACTTCCACCACCTTGTCGTGGCAATCAAGTTCTCCTGGCTCGCCTACCACGGCGCGGCCGCCTCATCTCACGCACTCCCTAGTGGAGGAAGCAGAGGGCGACGACGATTTCTATACTGCTCCTCCGCCCCATTCCCCGTGCTCGGAAGCATCCTCGTCTAGCTCTTTCTCCTTCCCATCCAATCCGCCGCCTTTCTCTTCGCTCGTTTTCGATTCCCCCTCGGTTCCCGATCTCAACCGCTCCACGGTTGCTGTTACCCAACCCGAGTCGGCTTTATCACCGTCGAATACTTCTTTTTATCCTGCTTCTCCTCCCCCTCCCCTTTCTCCGCCACCTCCTCCTTCGCCGTTTGTCGAAGAATCGTGCGAGTCGGAACCGTCCTCGTCTATTGTCGCGGATACCAAAGCGTCGTTCTCTCAGGAGCCGAAAGGAGAAGCGTCCGGAAAATCTTCCGCGGACGACGAGCCACCTCCGCCTTATACAGAAGGATACAGTCCCCTTGAATCGTTTACCTACGTGATGGCTGCGGCCGGAGGCGCGTCGAGTATTATTACTCAAGTCCAGCAGGCTGGAGGACCGCCAATTAATACTCTCGGAGGTATGAATATGAAACAAACTCCTGAGGATCATTGTTGCGATGATCCGAAAGACGCAAGATCTCAATGGAGGAATTCTTTAGTAAAGGGATCGACGGATTGCTAACTGCCCGTGTTTACAGATATTGGTGCAAATGAGAATATCACGCTTGAGCTCAGGTAAGGATAGCGCTTTGGGATTGTTCTTACGGGTGATTCTAACCTATGATCTAGGGGAACGAGATTCACCCTCTCTCGTGATGAACTGTTGACTTTGCCGGAATTTGTTCTTCTGTCGCTCTTTCCAAATGGTCTTCTCCCCGATGGACATATGGGCACGTTCCACGAAGGCGACATCTACCCAGTCGACGTAAGTGGCATACATATTGTTACTGCAGTGTGACTGGCTTGCTGATATCGCCTTTTTTTTTTTTTTTTTTTTTTCTAGTATGACCCAGCTTCACTACAATACATGTTGGACTTTTTCCGTTCTGTCGCCCAATCAATTCCGTCCTCCTCACCTTCTGAATCCACGTCGCCAGATGCGGATGTTTCGTCCGACTCTATGCTAGGATCTGCCAGAGATGCGCTCCAGGACCGTGCTGGAATCATTGTGCTGCGCGAAGACCTCGACTTTTACGTGATTCCTCCACGGGCCGACATCGACCACACGGAAATGATTGAAGTTAAGCGAGCTGCTGCACAAACTCTTCTCAAACAAGACGGGATTTTTTCCGGTCTGAAGAAGAGTGATGAGGTTGGTTCCACGGAACAACACTTGATTGAGATGTTGACCGCAGGGTAAGTTCAACAGGACATCTTGGGACACTGTACGTTGAATATAGCTAAATGTTTCTATAGTGGATTCAATCGTGATGACCATTGGGGACACCGTGCACCAGAGCCTCACAAGGCTGTCATATGCAGTCTTGCACTGGCTAAGCTCCGGACCGACATCAGAGGCGACCTATCTAACAACAGTGCGATTGGAATGGCGCAAAAGCTCCTTCTTTTTTGGAGAAAACCAGCCCGTAGATGCTGGTGGGAGGGCATCGAGCTCGACGAAGTGGAAGGTGTTGAGGGGAAGGTCAAGGTTTGGATCCGTAGAGTGTGGACTCTTGAAATGGTATGTCTTGAACCCTCCTGTCCTCGTCGTATAAACTAACGCTTTTTGCAGAGTGTGATTGGACTTCGGTAGCCAGTTTAGTCTCGTTTTTTTTTTTTTTCCTTCTTTTTTCCCGTTTGTCTTTTGTTGCACACCCGATCATTGTTATCATCTATTATTCCCTATTTGCGCATATTATAATCACCCCCGTGACTCTTTACTTTCTCCTGAGCGCTTGTTCGAGTCGGTCTTTTCTACGGAGTTGACGATATCCCTTGCACTTTATTTTTTCAACTTTCTTCAAGACTTACTGTCAGACAGGAGACACCAGGATTGGCGTATAAAATTTTGTGTGTTTAATTCTTTCATAGTCGTTATTAGTTAACAGGAAGCATGCATTGGCTTGTAATTATTACCTTCATTTTCTGGATTTGATGGTATTTTGCCCAGTTGTTCCAAATCAACTCTTAAAAAGTACATCGGGTTGTCGTTAGGATACCACTGCACGTGATTAACCCCCAAATTGGTTTAGCGTGGGCCATGGCTGGGAATACGCGACAAGCCGCAGGCGGAGGAGCTTCATTCCAGCGCGATCACCATCCGAGAAGCTCTGTTGGGTGTTGTTGTCCTGCATCGGTTAAAACCAGGCTCTCCCTTTATTCGACTTTTTGCCTCGATTGCGGGAGCGCGTATTGATTGATATCTTTTGGCACGCTCGTTCCGCGCCGCTTGTGCCGGGAAAGCAAATTCCTTCCTCCCTTCCACGCCCGCGAATTTCGAACCGTTGGCCTCGCAGGAGTAGGATAGTAAAAATAGGCCTAAAAACGGGAATAACAAATTGCCAGTCGCACTATCGAGAAATCCCAACCGCAAACCTGAGAGAGGATCACAGAAGGGACATGCTTCTACTATCAGCCTCGACATAGATACAGTCAGCCCTTCCACCATGTCCCCTCTCAGAGGCTACATCACGTCGTACCCTCCACGGGTGCGCCATTATGGGAACGCACTTCTCACGCCTGTCATACCGCAGACCCAAGTCGGGCCGACGCCGCGCACGACCAAGCGAGGGACAACCGCGATCAACTACGCGGAGGACGGGTTTGACGATGACTTTGAGGAGGAAGAGGGACGGCGACCTACCGGATTGAGGAGTTTGAGGAGGGAGGAATCGATGACGGAGAAGCTGCCAATTTCAGACAAGTTGGGAAAAGAGGTTCATGCTCCTGTTGAAGTTCAAGGGGTCTTTCGCGATTGGATGATCAAGCGGATGTTGCGACCTGCGTATGTTCACTTTCCCAGTGGGATTGTTTTGTTTGCTTGGTTCTTGCTGTCGCGCTGTTTTCTTCTCATGCTGATTGTTTGATAGCTGCGCAGATCAGCTACAAATCCAGGCGCAACTACCTCTCACGCTCATTCCGATTCGAATTGACCTCGAAGTCCCGGCGCATCAGCCTTTGGAACCATTTCCTTTACCACGAGGAATTGTGGACCCTGCAATAAACCCGACGCTGCCCGGGTATAGACGACCAGACCCATTGCCCGCGTTTCGGATCAAAGATACTTTCCTCTGGAACCTCCATGAAGCCCTTGCGACTCCCGAAGAATTTGCAGTCGGTTTTGTGCGCGATCTCGACCTACCCAACCCCCAAGGCATGACGTTGGCTATCAGCAACCAAATACGGCAACAATTAGAGGAGTATGCCGGTGTTGCTCTACACCCTTTATTCCAGAGTACACAAATTCAGCCTCCCGCTCCGCAAATCGGCCAGTCGCGCGATGTGTCTACAACACCGGCACCAACGAACCTTCCAGCGACGCCAGAGATCACAGCAACAAAGGAGCCATTGGTCAACGACAGTATCTTGAATCCAGATGATGCATACCGTTGCATGATCAACCTGAATATTAACTTGCAGAACAAGCTATATACGGACAAGTTCGAGTGGTCTCTCCTCCATCCCCCCGGAATGGCAGATGACTTCGCTAAAGTTACCTGCGCTGATCTGGGGCTGAACGGCGAATGGGTTGGCGCAATTGCACACGGCATCTACGAAGCCGTCCTTAAGTTAAAGAAAGAAGTCTGCGAAAGCGGCGGTCTCATCAGCGGCTACGGCAACGAGATCGATAACCAAGCCGCCAACGGCGCAGAGGCTGGTTGGCGCTATGACCCCGAAGGCCTCGGCGACGAGTGGGAACCCAAGGTCGAAACACTGTCCAAAGAGGAAATTGAACGGAGAGAAGGCGATCGCGAACGACAAATCCGACGTCTCCGACGAGAGACAGCTCGGTTCTCCTCCACCGCAGGTATAACGCCTGATGCATCACGACAAGGCAGTGGCTATTTCGATGTGGATGGTGAGACACCTCTGGGTCGGGGCGAGCGGAATAAACGCAAGAAGCGGTTCCGCAGTCTCAGTCCTTCTGGAAGGCCTGGTACACCTGGTGGGCGAGGCACTCCCGATACAGGCTCGGGAGCTGGTTATGGTGGAGGTGGTGGCACATTATCCGACTGGTTAGTACCTGTGAAAATGCAATCACCGTTGTATTGGCTGCTAACCAACTTCGTGCAGGGAACGACAGAATTGGCGGTGCAGCAACTGCATGGTATGGGGTACCGCTGTTTGGGCCGTACGAGATGGTCCCGCAGGCTCAAGGGTAAGCAACCCCTCCTTCTCCGATACGAGTTCTTGTCGGCTAACAGAATCCAGACCCTGTGCCACAATTGTGGTCTTTTGTACGAACGCGACAAGGTCGTTCCCGAATGGTCAAAAGACCTCCATCGCCATGACATCCCCGTTGGTCGGTAGAGGTCACCCCAGCTCTTTACTTGCTAATAGAACACCCTCAAAAGTACTGCAGCCGCGCGAGTCAGCTACGTTCATCAAACTCGAGCAGCAAAATGTGCCGGCATTGGCATGCGATGCCCTAAAGCTCGTCCCGTTGCCTTTGCAGATCCCTCTACCTTGTCACCATTATCATTACCAACCGTATCTCTTTGAATGTAGCCATGACCTTTTCTTCTTCTTCTTCTTCTTCTTCTTCTTCTATCTCTCTAATGAGCCCCTAACAGACAGGATTGGCGCATTTGACGGTTTTATTCTTTTTTCTTATCTTGTCACAGCATTACATATCATACATTGGAAGAGTTGGGAGGATGAATGTCAACGTTGGTTTCCTAGTGCACCTGGCTGCAAACCTCTTACTTTTTATCCAAAATTTATTATGAATTCAGATATCTTACTCGGCTTTATCAAGTTACGAATGATTGTCTTTGTATCGGTGGGCATCTGTTGTTCTTTTTTTTTTTTTTTTTTTTTTTAAAAAAAAAAAAAAAAAAAAAAAAAAGAATATAAGTTTCTCTGGTAGTCAATATCAACTGTCTTCGTTCACTTAATGTAGATACAAAGTTTTGCGCTACCAGCCTTACATTTCCTACGAACATAGTTCATCAATCTAGGTCAGGGAAGAGACAGTGCATACAACCTGGATAATCAACTACACTAAAGTCAATTCGCCATAACCTCTCGTCCCTCAGAGCCCAGAATTGAAGCGAAGTGTACGGGCCCGCCCATCGAAGCGCAACCCATTGAAATGATGGTGCTACCAGACCTATTGCATGGTAGTAAGAGCAACGTTGGTCAGGACGGAGCTACAATAGAATAGATAAACATATATGATAGATGTGCCCAAGGCAGAGTTATGAAAGCCATAGAACAATACAAGCACTATCAGGATGTGTTAGGCTGTTGGTTGAAAGTCGAACCAAGCTAATGTTTTTTTAGTCTAAGACGACATGATATGTTTTGTTGTTGGAAATTGCAGCCGGATAAGGAAGATAAGAGACGCGACCTTCTTATTATCACTATCGAGAATAGGAATCTTTTTCGGTTGCTATTTTTATGGCAAAACCAGTATACTCCTGGTAAGTGTATCTTAAGTCTTCTTTCATGGTGCCTTCCCAAAAGGGCTGGCGGGGACTCACTCTCACCTGGGCTCTTAAATAGAGCCCGAAGTCCTCGTATTTCTTCTTTAAAACCCTCATGCAGTCATATATTGTGTCTAATTTCTTCTTCATGGCTAACTAGGGGCTTGAATTTACAAGGCTGGTGCTGATCACTTAGTTGGTTTTCCGAGTGCGCCTAATACCAGAGTCGACTACTACCATATGAGCAAAATGACTGCTTTGAAGTCTAGATTGGCCGCTGATAGGGCCGCCTTTGAGAATTTGTTAGCATCGAAAAGCCGACCACCGCGATCGAAGACTAAGATGGAACGGGGCTTCGGAAAAAGCTCTTGCATACATCACGAGTCTTGACATGCTCCTAGACAATAAAACGTCTAATGTGCTTGGTAGCAAGAACGAGAACGGGTGAGGTTAGTCGGTATTAAAATAAGCTCACAATTTCCCACAGCCCTGATTGACAGTTCTAACCAATCCTTCAGGTGGGCCTGCCCAGATTTCATGCCTAAACCGACACTCACTCCAGTGTGGACTTGGCCTCGAATTTGACGTTCGTACTGGGGTCGTCTGTGCTAAAGCCAGCAAGACAATTCTCCACTCTGCTTCTTCGAATGTCTTTTTCACCTGGTTTGAGCAAATTGCATCAGAAGCATCTTCATCGTCACTCAAACTCTCTGGAACAACCGAGGGTGGTAAGTGTTACCCACTAATACTGAGAAGCATCCCTTTTAACGACCAAGAAGTGACAGCACTCCCAGACACAGGAAGCGTTAAGTACCTTGGCGCATCTCTTGTCGCCTCTGCAGATGATATCGAAATCGCCTCAGAGGTTGGCTTTGGCCAATCACTGAAAACTCTTTTTCATGTCGCCGATGAGTACCTGAGCGCAGGGTTTGTGAATGTCGGAGAGACCACAAATAAATGCATGCACAAGACTCTTGTGGCGGTTATCGATTAACATAGAAGCCAGGACGTTGCCATCGTGGGAAAGCTTTCAACCGAGCTGTACATATGGTCTTGTAAGCGAAGGCATGCGCCCCTCAACCGACCTTGACATTCAAATGTGTCATTGGTATCAAGAGATCCCCTGGCACGTTAAAACTCTGTGATGAAGAATGATACAATGCTTCCCTTACCAAAGACGGCGAGTTAGATATGTTCAACAAAATGGTTGCCTTTCCATTTGACAAGCTCGAGGAGAATTTTTATGAGACTTTGGACAGACAGGAGATTGATCGGGTGAAGAATTTGGTCTATGTGCCTTGAAAAGGGTTGCACAATCTTCACCAACATCTCCGTCTCGCTTTCCTATCAGTTCGCTTATTGCTTACCGGACGTTTTCTGTCGAAGCCAGAATAAATTGAGAACTACGTTTGCTGCCTATACCACTGTACTAAATATTGAAGAAAGAAAAAGTTTTATTCTTCTCAAGCAGTAACTATGTTGTCAAATGGCATCTTTCCTCAGCCTTGCGTCTCCTCGCATTATTTGGAACACATTCCCAAGGATCTACCCATTCGCGACATAATTTCGGATGAGTTCGAGTATGGAATATTTCGTACGTCTATGGTTATTTTATATTCCTCTAGGAAACATCTCAGGATCTAAATAATATTGCCACTTATATCTAGTACTACACCTCCGCTAGTCACCAAAGTAACCTTGAACTATGCAGCTCTGCAGCGTGATTGAAGCTACACTGGAGTCTGTACGTACAGTGAAGGAAACAAAAGACGTGGGGATGTTGGGTTTGACACACGGCATATCGAATTTCTGGTGATAAGCAACAACATGAAGTAAAGAACAGAACTGTGACCATGAAACCTTACAATCCTCGGTCTTGATGGAAGCCATTAAACGAAGTCCTTATGGGTTGAGAAGACGAAACTTGCAAAGCATGAAGCTTGAGCAGCACAACAGATGAAGAAGCACGAGATAAAGTCAAGAGTTGGCAAACAGGGAACGAGCAGATACGGCTTGAGAACAGTAAGAAAGAAGTGAGCAGATGAAAAAGTAGTTATTGTTATTCCACTAATTTAGTATGAAGAAATGCCAAGGTAGGTACATTCTAAATTACAAAATGGCAATGTGGTATCAATATATTAAGTCGCCACAGATAGTAGACTCTCGGCCAAAGGGCGCCATTGTAGCCTTCTCATCCCTTTGAACATGAGACAGCGTAGTGGTATCGAGGTAGTATGCAAAACGAACATGTCAGATCATTTCGCACGCAACGATGGCGAGTACTCCTTCAACTTGGGCATATTTTCAACAGGCTCCTATACCAAGTCTCAAGTTAAACAAATGAATTAAAGCAAAGTGATGGAAGCAAAATGAGAGCTTACCGATTGAGCCCGCCTCTTTCTCTTCATTCTCGATCCAACCTCATCACCATCATGGCTCGACCCATCTCTCTTTGCCCTAGGCAGTATACGACACGCACCCCCACCAGCCCCAGCGAAAATCATATTCCTACTCCCCTCAACCTTCATTCCCGTATTTATATTGATCTCAATCGGCTCTTTCCCATCTACCCCTGAGGAAGGTAAATATTGCGACTCTCGCAGCGCTGCGATAATCGACGTCGCTATTTCGGTCACCCTACTTTGTCGATGTTTCTGTGCTGCTTGTAACATAGATGTTGCTGTCAGAGAGGATGCTGCTGATGATGTCGGCGCAGATGGAGACCCGGAGGTCATGATTATTGTGTTGTTATTGCCTTGCACACTGATAGATGCGTCGATGTTAATTGTAATCGGAGTTGGGTTAGTGTTGTCCCAGGTGTCTTCATCGTCGGTATTTGTGTCTATTTCGTTGTCGGGATAGATGACTTCAGTGACTGAGTTGTGTTGCTGGTTTGTGGTATATGGAGGAGGAGGGGAGACCAGAGGTTTTTGGTTTTGCATGCTGGCTGTCACTTCTCCAAGCTTGATATAGTGATGGAGTAGGGAATCTGATGGAGGAAGCATATTCAAGATAGAGGACTATAGCAAGGTAAGTATGGTGTCACAGTGGTAGAAATAGATATTGGTTATTAGAGGAAATAATCAGAAGGACAGGTCTGAATGTAGAAAGAGCGAATTGTGCAAGGATTGGGGTTCATCCTGCAATATATAAGCTATCCAGAGGGCCATCATGCAGAACAGCCATTTGACGACAATAGTACACTATTTCCAATGAAATGAATAAACTTCCTCAGTCATTGAGAAACAGCAGGAGGAGGACCATCAATAACCGCTAACAATAGCACAATACCCTAAAATGACTTCCCAAGTACCAGCCGACCGGTTTATCCCACGCAGTCATTGGCCTATAAACGAGGGAAAGCAATAAAAGGGGACAAATAGCTCAGCAAACCAGCAGATTACTTCTCAATAGCACCAACCAATGGAATGTGCGCCGATTGTCGTTTCTATTGAGTCTTCATATTGTTCTTTTCCGTCAATGGGCTGAATAGGGTCATGTGACTTTGACCAGTACGGCATCACGAGTTATAAGTGAAGGATAACATGATATTTCCTCAAAAGGTTACCTGACTTGATTGACATTGTTCCCATGCTGCTAAAATGGGGGAGATCAAGATGCGATGCCACCAATAAAAAAAATACATGATTAAGTCGCCGGCTGACCTCCCCAATATGCTCGCTCTAATTATACAAACGATCCCAAGATACGCATGCTAAGAAGAATTTCACCGCTTTCCAAAAAAAAAAAAAAAAAAAAAAAGCTAGAAAGTCGGGTATCCAATCTCATATCAGTTAAGCCCAGCGATCGCCGAGGTTCCACCCTTCATAGAGGGAGTTGCCATCCCCTCGTCCGTCCAAAAAATCAGTATGGAGGTCGTCTTTGCGCGCCTCTCCCTCCGCAGGCGCCGTGGGCTGGGGCTGGGTTGTACTAGTAAAATCGTACTGCATGTTCAGTCCTGATTGAAGAGAAGCATCATTGAGTTAGGACTGTTGTGGATGCACGAGCGGGTTGCTGTGTTTCACGACAAGATGTTTGAATTTCTTGCCTAATCGAACTCACTGGTACTATTTGGAGTAATGTGTGCATTTTCATCCCGACTTGCTGGTCTTAGTGTCTGTTGCTGCTTGTTATCTTGCGGATAGTATTTGCCTCCGGGATGTAAAGACTGCGTAGTCTGAACACTCATTAGCTGGGACAGGAGCCAGTATTGATAGATAAATATATACCGCGTCTACACCGCGCCACCCGAAATAGGAAAATCACGGATTAGTACTGACTTCGCGAAATTCATCTCCCTCAATCTGAACCTCTCGGTCCCGAATGCGACGCATTAAGGCAAGAAAATTGCTTTGTTGGAATTTCTCATTTGTCTCGTGGCTAACACTGTGCAACAACTGTCCCGCCGTTCGGGCAAGCTCATCTGCATCATTCGATCGTTCTTGCGTATTTTCTTTAGGGGCAATCATGTCCGACCCTATCCTGATTTCTTCATGGGTTTCTGGTTGAACAGTGGCGTCGAATTGAGCGGGTTCGTTGACAATCTCGGCATGTGTCTGTGCGGCAGTGGTTTCTTCCAGTTCCATATTGGCTTTGGCTTGTTCAAACGCCGCCTCAAATGCCGACTCATCAAAAGTATTTGCTTGTGGCTGTTGACTTTCCACTGTCTCCCGAGTCTGGAAGGTATTCATCTGGGCGCCATTCAAAGAATAGTTTTGCGCAAAAGATGGTTGAAACCCGTATCTGTAGGGCTGATGGTGCTGCGGGCCGGGGGCCTGCTGCTGTTGAGGTTGATGCGGTTGTTGCTGGGCCATAAATTCATTTTGCCATCCTTGTTGCGGTGCCATCGGAGCGGTAGATGGGCCAGGTTGCTGGTGAATTGGATGTGAAGGTCCCGAGATCTGTAACCGTTGGAAGTCTGACGCCCAGTGAGGAGTTTCCATATGGCCGGGCATTGGATGATAAGGAACAGGAGCCGCGAAGTGACCTGCATGGTGTAGTTCGGGCGCTGGTGGTCCTGCGATGCTGGATTCAAACGCAGCAAATTCAGGATCTGAGGATGCTTCATTTCCGTTTTGCGATCGGAAGCCCTACGTAGTTGAATCTTAGTCAAGGCTCTGTGATGATCAAAACTCTCCTAGGTAGACTCACATGAGATTGCGGTTGCCGCGAGATCAATCTATCCTGTTGAAGCGTCCTGTCAACGGACGCATGCTTCTGGAAATTCTGAAGCGCATTTGACGGTCCGCAAAGAGCGTCACTCATGATGCCGGTAAACCAAGGAGAAGCTGCGACCGGACTATGCGGAGAAACGGTAAAGGCGTTGCGGGGCGTATAGATCGCGCTGCAGTAGGAAGAAGAGAGTTGCGAAGAGGATCAGTTTCGTCGACGAGAAGCGCAATAGCGAAATGAAGAGATATACAAGTATAAGAAGAGAAATGGACAGCAGCAACGGTAAAATGAGGAGGCGTGGGCGTGTTCAAAGCCCGAGCCGAGGTAGGCATCACGTGGATGGTTACCGAATGTGATGACTAAGTGCATAAGCCGATCAACGATAAGATAAGATCGGCTGCGGCTCTGCCACCGCCAAAGGGACCAGCTGGCGGTGTTTTGTTGCTGCTGCTTGACTGGGCCATTCCCGAACTGTTCCAACGCAATCCTCCGGACTTGATTGAATTACTTTTTCACTTATATCTCTTTCTTACTTCTTGAGAGCTGCTGGATTATACACCATGGTATGTTATTTATTTCCTCTTTCTCTCTGCGTAGTCCCCTCGGAATTCCCCTTAACTGACTTGACGCCTCCACGTGGGGTGGTACTATAGGCCGCCGCTCAAGTTATCTCCAATTCGGGTCACGATGATATGATTGTACGTGATAAAATAGTTACCGATATTCCATCCTATCCGATGAATGCTGTATAATGTTCTCGTGTGTGATCCGTCTGACGCTTTTTTTGAATTCAGCACGACGCTGGATTGGACTATTACGGCCGCAGGTTGGCGACATGCTCCTCGGACAAGACAATAAAGATCTTTGAAATCGAGGGCGAGACAAATAGACTCATTGAGACCCTCAAAGGGTGGGTGCCAATCTCATCTGGTTCCTGAGTTTATACGTGGCTTGATGACTGATGAATGAATAGACATGAAGGCGCAGTGTGGTGTGTCGCATGGGTACGTGGAAGCCTATCCCGACGATCTATGCCATCGTCAACTAGTCAATCCAATCGTCCGCATTCCATCTAACATTTGTAATTACTAGGCGCATCCGAAATTCGGCACAATTCTGGCCTCTTCGTCTTACGATGGCAAGGTGCTTATCTGGCGTGAACAGCACCAAAACACCACCTCCCCCGTCGGCAGCAGCGCATGGACAAAGGTCTTCGATTTCTCCCTCCACACTGCGTCTGTGAACATGGTTTCATGGGCTCCCCATGAGAGCGGATGTCTTCTTGCATGCGCGTCGTCGGACGGTCACGTCAGTGTCCTCGAGTTCCGTGACAACAGCTGGACTCACCAGATCTTCCATGCCCATGGTATGGGAGTCAACTCCATTAGCTGGGCACCTGCTGCATCTGCGGGTAGCTTGATTAGCTCCAACCCGGGTCCGGGTCAACAGAGGAGATTTGTTACTGGCGGAAGTGATAATCTTCTGAAGATCTGGGATTACAAGTACGTTGCGCATACCCCCATCCTTTCTGGATAGAGAAATGTACTGACTTTTGCTTTCTTCGTCATTAGCCACGAAACCAAGACTTACAACCCTACTCAAACATTGGAAGGCCACACCGACTGGGTCCGTGACGTCGCCTGGTCCCCCAGCATTCTCTCCAAGTCCTACATCGCCTCTGCCTCGCAAGACAAGACCGTTCGTATCTGGACGTCGGACGCATCGAACCCTGGCCAATGGACCAGCCAGCAACTCGAGTTCGACAGTGTCTTGTGGCGGGTTAGCTGGAGTCCTAGCGGTAACATTTTGGCAGTCAGTGGCGGGGACAACAAGGTCAGCCTGTGGAAGGAGAATCTCAAGGGGCAGTGGGAGAAGGTGAAAGACGTTGAGGAGTAATTTAATTTTTTTTTTCATTTTCTGTTTGTTATTTGCTACAAAACCATTTCTCAATTGTTTCGAAGGACAAGTCGAGCGTATTCCCCTAAACAGCATCATTTTATCGCAGCCTCTACTTCAAAGTGGAAGAATGAACCCAATGGCATCGGCATTGATTCAATTCATTTACACCGGAAAACTACTCCGTAGATGTATACACGTTCACTATCCGTACTCATAGCGCGCTCCGTATTAATAATGCGTCTGCGATTAATTGGTTAAGTTTGAATGACCAAATCAAAAGGTACTATTCGGATGGACCTCGAGACACTCCATAGACGCACGCTCATTATGCATATACAGTACATGATTGATTGCCGAGGAAACCTAAATCCCTGGGAACAGCCCAATCAATGTACACGAAGTATGGGGTCTGCTCTTTATGCAGCTCTGCGATCTACTTCGCCATCACACCGGTTCGTCTTTACCTCTTTGTTCTAATTTGCCCGGTCACAGTAGTTTCCCTTTCAGGCTTGCAGGCTCGGTTGAAGATGAAGTGTGGGAAGGGTAGTGGAGGTGTGGGTAAATCCCCTGGTTTAAAGAGAAGTTTGTCCGGCTTCTCGGGTTGCCAGAAAAAATTATCTTAAAAAAAAGAAAGCACTTCACTGTATATTTTGTCTATGCCTACATTTCTTATATACTCTAAACCATGAGCGAAGCCGCATGCACAAAGATCGCCGTCATCACCGGCGGGAGTAAGTTCCCATTACCCATTTCCAGGCATGGCCAACAAAGCGTTAACACAAATACAGCCAGCGGAATAGGGCATGCCGTGGCCATAGCTCTCTCCCAGCGTCCTGGTTGGCAAGTCTACATCCTCGGTTCAACCAAAGAACGCGGTCGCAAAGCCGTCGAGGGCCAGTACGATATTTACTTCCACAAAGCCAACGTCAGCCAGTACCAGGAGCTGGCGTCGGCATTCCACGAGATCCATGGCAAGCATGGCCGTTTGGACTTTGTCTTTGCCAATGCCGCTACGACTGAGAGCTGCAATATTCTTCAAGCCGAGGGGGCGGATGCAAATACTCCCCCTCCGGAGCCGAATTTGACGACTGTCGATGTTAATGTCAAGGGTGTGATATATACCAGTTATCTGGCTACACATTATTTCCGGTTGTCGCCTCATAAGGGGAAAGATGCGAGTTTGGTCATCACTGGGAGCTGTGGGTCTTTGTATCCGTTCAAGCCGACCCCTATGTATTGCGGGACGAAACGTGCGACCTCCTTCGTCCTCTCCAATATATCTAGTACTTTATACTGATAAACTCGTAGATAATATCCTCGGCTTCATGCGCTCCATTGCTATGCGCTGCTGGGAAGAAGGAATCCGCGTCAATGCCCTCTGTCCCGGAATCGTGCGCACCGGTCTCGTGTCTGACGAATTCTGGGATACTTATTTCGAGCCAGAGCAATTCTGCCCTATGGGGCTCATGGTTAAAGTTACCCTTCTTCTCGTGGATGGCAGCGAGATTGTTGATAGTAAGGGAAAGAAGGTCTCCGCTGGGGAGGTGTATGGGCAGACGCTGGAGACTTCGGGGTCGAACTTTTATCTGAGGGAGCATTTGGAGCATTGTGATGATATTGCCAAGGGTGTTATGGTTGGTAATAATGGAGCTGGTTAATTCGAGTTTCAAGAGATGAATCAAAACGTCATTATTCCTGCCCAGTACATAGATTGGCGCAGGATATATTGGTTTGCAAAGGAGCAGATAAGAGACAATCTGCTGATTGTGACCTTTTTGTTATATGTCATTCAACCATATAATTATGTTAAACGAGTCTGGTTACATATGCGTCCACAACCCCGGTGACGATTCGTTAAAGACCACATTCATATCAATGCCTTCCTACGCACATCTAGCCTGCGCCTCTTCCAATTCCTGGAGGCGATGATTTTCGTCCAGGGAATCCATCATCCGAATAGTCATGCGTCTAATGCGTGGAGTGCAAGGTTTCCAATCATTCAGCAGATGCCGAACAATATCCAAGAGCTTATTTTGACTGTACCACGAACTAGGCACGAGCCCAGAAAAATCCCAGTGAAGACAAAGCTCCTACAATGTGTCAGGTAAAAGGCTTCCCACATCCTCAGCTGCCTCGGATCTGGTCCCAGTGGTAAAGTGATAGGTACTTCAACGGAGGACATTCTGGCAAATGGTTTCAGAAATCCAATGAACTCTTCTCTTACTAGATGGTCTATGAGATTGGGGTAATAGTACCCTATGTATGGGTAGTATTCCAGTGCAAACGACAGTTTCTCAACAGTGTTGCTGACTGATCTTAGTCCTTCTGAAATAGACGATCCGTTTTCCAGAGCTGCTTCTTTACTGCCATCCATAAGCCATACCCAGATGGAGAGTTTTCAATGAGGTGGTTCTGGAGAGAAGGGATCTCTATTTCGTCGATAGTCGCTCGAGGAAGAAAAATCGTGCCTGGCTAGTGTAGGTTATATTGTCGTTCGTTTTGCGTGAATATGCCTTCTGTGCTGCGAAGCTAGATAGAAAAAGACTAGACAGATAGCAGATAAAACCAAGCCATGAATTTCCATAGGGCACAGCTTGGATAACATCGATAAAAAATGTCCTCAATGTCCTCGATAACCTGACTGCCGGACGTTGCCGCCATAATATACCATGTTTAAATAGTTGAAAGTCGACAGCGTGCCTTGAGGAACACAAAAAATGGCATGACTCAATGAATCTAAAAGAGGAAAATGGTGACGGATGAATAGGGATAACCGCCTTGCAAAGACCCGTGCCATCTTTCTGCGCCAGGAAATTTAGCATCGTTGACTATAGCCTGAGCTCTCTGAATGACGTCTGTGTAGTTCCATTGTTCTGTTTCCAGTCCATCTCTTGCCACGAGATCTTCCATGTCCTGTCATAAGGGCTATCCAGGGAAGGAAGGATTTGAATAGGCAAGGCCGGTTCAGATTCTGCAGAACGATACGCAACTATTACAGAATGCTCAACATGGATACTATGCCCAATGTCCATGGAATCCTGGCGTGAATCAAGGATATCGTCGAAGCATGGAAGTCTTTGGATACATGAGACTGACACAAGATCGTCTTCGGAATGGTGATCTAGTAAAGCCACCGACCATATGGGGCGACAGCCAAGGGAAGCTAATTGTGTTAGTTGTATCTCAAACTTACCAGTTCAGGCACATTCACCTTGAGCTCTTTAGACCTTTCTGAAGTAGTTGTGCTAATAAATCCTCGCATTTCTACGCTACAACTAAGCAGTGAGCACTATACCGTACTCCGTACTCCACATGCGCACTCAAACAAGGCTCTGAGCGTTCTCATTAGACATTGGCATATAACTTTACAGTATTCCAGAAAATCCAATTCGGATAGGTGCATATTACTTGTACGTATGTACTTTATGCAGGGAAATCCCACTCAAGTTCTACTCACTCCCCAACCATCAGCCAAAAGACCCTTAACCTCTTCAAGACTCAACCCGCTCATTTCAGGATAAATTGCCCAGACACCAACCCACCCCACAGCGCAGACAATTGCATAAGCCGCAAAAGTCCAGCCAGGCGAGAGCCATTCCATCATCGGCAGGAAGGTGAGACCGACGATGAAATTGGACCCCCAATTTGTTGCTGTGGCGAGAGCGGATCCCAACGACCGGACGTTCAAGGGAAAGAGCTCCGACTGTTGCCAGGGAACATTTCCAAGTCCAAAGGCGTACGATGCGGTGTAGACTGTGAGACAAAGGAGGATGGCGATCGGCAAGAATGAGCTAGCCTTACCAGGGTCGTTTGCTTCTCCACGCACCGCCGGTCCGGGTCCAGACGACATCGGGGACATTTTGAATGACGAAAAGCTCAGTGCACATACGATGAGGGATATGATCATCACGGGGATCGAATAAAGGAGGATACGGCGGCGGCCGATCCGGTCAATAAAAACAAATGCGAATAGCGTGAACACAAAATTGGTCATAGCAACCGATAATGATGTCAGCGTCGGCGAAGAGAACGAGAGCATGGAAAAAATAGTTGCTGAAAAATACATCAGGCTGTTGAAACCGCATAGTTGTTGTAGTCCTTGTAGCATGGTTGCTATGATCAATGCTCTTCGATTGCCGCCAACCCGGAACAACTCATGAGCACGATGCCAAACGTCATGAGCCCACTGCATTTTACTGTCGGTGGGCTTGTTGGTGCTTAGCTCTTCTTCCTCTTCAGTAACTTCTTGCTGGATACCGCGTAGGACGCGGTTTGCGAGGCCATTGTTACCAGGATGGGCCTGGTAAATCCGGGTCAGGACACTCTTAGCTTCCATTCCCCGTCCTGCTTGGACCAGCCAGCGAGGAGTTTCGGGCAGGGAAAAGAGGATAGCAAACTGCAGGATCGCCGGTGCAGCTCCCAGGCCAACGATCCAGCGCCAACCGCCTGGGACAGATGAAAACAGCCATCCAACAATATAAGCCACCACCTGGCCACCGGTGATGAACAGACTCAGAATCGTGACTAGTCTTCCTCGCGCATGAGACGGTGCCAGTTCGGATATATACCTGGAACAACCGATACGTAGTCAGCAAAATGTCTCTCCAAAACTCCATGTCCTGAAACACACACATAGGTGTCACCAAACTAGCGCTTCCAACAGCCAAACCAACAATACTACGGCCCATGATCATCCACCATACCTGGCTAGTGATAGCCTGCAACACCGCACCAACAGTGAAGAATCCATCTGCAACCAGAATAACTCGTTTCCGGCCGAGTCTGTCTGCCAAAATTCCAGCGAGAGGGCTTGCTATGAGGGCAAACAGGCTCGTAGAGGATGTTATTAAGCTTTTATCGACCGTCGTCAACTCACGGTTCGAGAGATCGGAGCCGACTGATACGAGTGTAGACGAAATGACTCCTGTGCTTTAGACCTGGCATATTAGCTTCTCTGCTTACCTCCCTCCAACGGATCTATACATACTCGTAACCAAAGAGAAGTCCACTGATACCCGCAGAGAACGTCAGAGCCCAGATAAACCAGCCACCTGAATACCCGGGCTCTAGGTCGATGGGGTGCTGCTCATAGTCCAAGTCATGGTCATCGTAATTGCGATCGGTTTCGGGTTGAGAAGCGAGCAAGGGCGCATTTGGGCCGGGCTGATGGTCGTTCATGGTTGGTTCAAATGGGAATGAATAATGTCCTACTTTCGTCTATCGATACATCTGGTGCACTTTACTGTAGCACAGAAGAGAGGGAGAGAGTTTAGATGTTCGGTAAGATCCCCGTTTCTAGAACGTCTGGAATATATGGGAAAATACGGGGTAGTAAACACTGTCAGGCTTCGGGAAATGATTTCCAGCCTCATAACAGTTGGCCGGGCTTGGCACGAAGCCCGATACGGTAAAGTGCAGTATCAACTACTTGTCCACAGAGCGCAGTACTTGTGTGTACTCTATTATATATTGTTGATGTCGCTCAAAGCGAAAGGTAGTGGGCAATTGAAAGTGTTATGTTAATATAACACTAATGTTTTTTGTTATATTATGTACAGCGACGCGTTCTGGTGTTGGGGTGTTAAATTGACCCTTGTTAAGCTCCCGTGCCCCTGAAGTGGCCCCTGTCGAGCTGCCCCGATTGATCCGATATCGAACCATGCATTCTTCATTAGATCCGCGTCGGCCTCGCCTCAATTCCGTCGTCCTTCGTTCTTCAGTACACCCATCTCCCAGCGAATTCAAATTCAGCAGCGCAACTAGCTTCGACAATTATCTCTGCTGCCATCGCACTTGAACCGCAATCCGCCACACGCGATGGATGTAGCTCTGGAGCTTCTCGATCCTCTCATTCTGGATAAGGCCTATGCCTGGGCGTTACCTTATCCTGGTGTCAGTAACTCCTCGGATCCCATTCTCTCGGCTGCCGACACGGTGCCTACGTCTCTATGGCCGCGAGACAACATCTATCGTCAAATCATATCGCTTCTCGCCATCACTCAATTTGGCGCAACTTCCCTCTACCTCGTCTTCAGCGCTCTATCCTACTACTTCATATTTGATCGACGCCTCGAGTACCATCCTCGCTTCTTGCAGAATCAAATCCGCCAAGAGATCAAATCATCGCTGTCCGCCGTTCCGGTTATCAACATTTTGACCCTGCCTTTTTTCCTGGCCGAGGTCCGTGGCAAAAGCTTACTTTATTCCAATGTGAGCGACTATGGCTGGCCCTGGATGTTGATCTCATCAATCCTGTACATGGCTTTCAATGATATTGGTATCTACTGGATTCATCGCTTGGAACATCACCCCAGCGTGTACAAGTACATTCACAAGCCACATCACAAATGGATCGGTAAGTCTCACATAACCTCCCGCCTCGACCTCAGTTGCCAATGCTGACGACATATTAGTTCCCACGCCATGGGCTGCGCTGGCTTTCCACCCGCTTGATGGATATGTGCAGTCTCTGCCGTACCAGTGAGTATTCCAGTCCATTGTCACTGTTATCTATTCCCACTCTAACACTCAAAAGTGTCTTTGTCTTTATTTGCCCAATGCAGAGATATCTGTACATGGCCCTCTTCATGGCTGTTCAGATCTGGACCATCCTGATCCACGACGGTGACATGATTACTGGCCATTGGACGGAGAAGTTCATCAACAGCCCGGCGCACCACACGTTGCACCATATGTACTTTACCGTCAACTATGGACAATATTTCACCTGGGCCGACAACTATTTCGGCTCGCACAGGGCACCCGAGCCAGCGCTGGATCCTCTCCATGACGCCATCAAGGTGATGCGAGCGAAAGGACTCGTGGATGAGCAGGGCAATCCGATCAAAAAGCCAAAGGGGGAGTAAAGGATGGAATTGATGTCTTCGGTAAATATATATATAATAATAATAATAATAAGATTGGATACCGCAAGGTAGGCTATTCGTTGCGATCGCAGCTGGTTCTCCTTCCATGGATATGATACCGGCGCCAACAATTAGGATCAGGCATAACGGTTCTACTACTAGCTCAGAAGCCATGTGATTTATCACTGAGCATGGACAACGCTGGGTACTCAGTGGGTACTCACTGAGCCAGGCCCTGAGCGCCCCTCACTGAAGCGGCGGTATCCGGAAGAGGGAAAGCCAAAGTGGTTCGAGAAAATCAAGTTCGCGTAAGTACATATGAACTTCTAATCCTAATGTCTTATCATAACATGAAATCATAAATAATAATGCTGTTTTTAATGAGCAATTGCCACACCAGCCTCATTGGCCTGCGCACTGATCATCTTCTTGTACGCTTCGACGTTACCATCGAACTGCTGCACTGTACCATTGTCGCAAACCCAGAGACTACGGCAGACGTTCTGCAACATAGTCACATCGTGGGAAACCATCACGACACCTCCTTCGAAATTCTGCAGCGCCTGCGATAGCGCGTCCATACCTTCGATATCCAGGTGGTTGGAAGGTTCGTCCAGAATCAAAATGTGAGGGTTGGTCAACGACAGACATGCGAATGCAACACGAGATTTCTGACCTCCAGACAGAAGCTCCATTCGCTGCAGACCAGTCATACCGGTGATACCGAAACTTAACAGATATTAGTCAGTAATCAAAATTTTGCTCTAGGGGGGAAGGTAGAACGTACGCTCCCAAGTGTCTTCTGTATTCTTCATCCGTCTTTCCTGGGTAGGTCTTCGCCATGAAACTCACTGCACTAGTGGTGAGATCCAAGGCATCCACGTGATGCTGGGCGAAGAAGCCAACCCGCAGCCTAGAGTTCTGGCTGATAAGACCCTTAGTTGGTTGAAGTTGACCAGTAAGCAGTTTCAGCACCGTAGTTTTACCAGCACCGTTCGGTCCAACGATACCAATACGGGAATCAAGCTGGACATCGAGGTCGACATTCTTGAGGAGAGGCATTTCCGGCGTGTACCCGAATGCGACTTCGGACATTTGCACAATAGGTGGCGAGAGCTTCTCGACTTCGGGGAACTTGAAGTGCACGGTGTACTCAGCCTCTGGGGCATCCAGGATGGGCATCTTTTCAAGTTTCTTGATTCTGGATTGCGCTTCAGAGGACTTGGCAGCGTTGTAACGGAACTTGTCGATGAAGGCTAAAGAAGCGAGTCAGCGCATAAAAGAAAAGAAAAAAAAAAAAAGGTCCAATATATAGAGATTGACAAACCTTGCAAGTGGGCTCTTTCTAGCATCTGCTTCTCGTACTCGCGCTTTGCGTTCTTCCTGCGTTCCTCCTTGGTTGCGTAGAAAGATTCGAAGTTGGCGCCCTTGTAGTAGTCTAATCTCTCCGAGTGTTGATGCACAATATCCGTTGCAATTTCGTTCAGGAATGCTCTGTCGTGAGAGACCACAAGGACGGTGCTAGGGTAACCTTGAAGGTAGTTGGACAAGAAAGTAATGGATGGGACATCCAACATGTTGGACGGTTCTGAGCCAAGTCAGTTTGAATTTCCATATAAATTGAGGTAAGCGTAAAACATACCGTCCAGCAAGAGCAGATCAGGCTCGCAGAACAGAGCTCGTGCCAGAGCCAATCTCATACGCCAACCACCAGAGAAAGTTTTGGTAGCGTACTGCTGTCGTACAGGAGAGAAACCAAGACCTGCTAGAATACTGGCTGCGCGAGACTCTGCCTTGTCGGATTCCATTTCTGAAAGCTTGGAGTGGATATCGGTCAGGGTGATATCGAGACCTTCTCTTTCGTGATCGAGACGCGCTGCGTCCTTGGATGTATCTGCCATCGACGATCGTTCTGCCTCAATAGCTGACAGTTCTTTCGAGATTTTCTGCTTGTGGTCAATAAACCCGTAATAGATCATACATATGAGAGGAAACTAACATCTTGCTCCTGGAGAAGGTGTTTCCGCCAGACGTCGGCGTCCAAAACTGCTTGAATGGCAGGTGTATCATCACCAGTAATCTAGACGACATTGTCAGCATGCCTCCCTTGCTTTTTCACTCGTAGTGACCAATGACATACCTCTTGTTCGACGTGGAGAATAGAAATGTGGTGTGGAACGGCGACTTCTCTGCGACTGAGACCACGCAAGAGAGTACTCTTACCGATACCGTTCTGGCCAACAAGGCCATAGCGATGACCATACGCCAAAGTAAGAGAAGCATCGGTCAAGATGCGATGGCCGCCAACCGCAACATCGATACCATCGACCCTGATATCCTTGCTCTTGGACTGGTTGTCGGCGCCGAGCTGGAGCGGGTTGACAGCCATGAAGAACTCTTCGTACGACATGGTGTCGTCGGGCTGGTTAAGCAGACGAGACGACTCGTACTGCACCGTCTTCATCTGCTTCTTCTCCTGCTTGGCGCGGATCTTCCTCTCGGCCTTCTCGAGCTTCTTGCGGTCCACACGGGACTCGACCTTTCTGCCAACAGATTCCAGGTCGACATTACCACCCGTGAGACCCAGGGTAGAAGACATGTTTCTCTGAGATCCGACGTTGATGGCCTGGTCGAGCTTCTTGGCCGTGAAGGGCATCTGCCGCCTCTCCGGGTCAACGCCATCGGTTGCGTTCAGGCCAGTGATGAACTTCTCGACGAGGTTGCGGATGGCCTCTGCATTCTGGTCTGAGAAATCTCCAGAGGCAGAGATGAGGAGCTCTGTAACCGAGTCGGCTGCCTCTGCCAGTGGCGATGGAGCGTTGGCATCTTCAACATATGCGTTCGACGCATGTGTCAAGTAACCCTGTATGCATTGTTAGTGGGGAAGCATACTTATTAAAAGTGCCCTGCACTTACCACAGAGTACTCTGAGATTACACGATCCAGGCCGCGGATCTGTGTCTGGAGTTCCGCCTCCATTTTAACTAATATTTTCCCCGGAAAACTTTTGCTTCAAAGAATGCTCAGAACCGCACGGGTTACTTTATTTACTTTGGCTTATTTCAAGGGAAAGGCTCTCTGCCTGCTTTCATGTAAACGGATTCGTAGAGCAGAGTTGCCCTTTTTTTTTCTCTGTTTCCTTGGTGGTGATCCGAAAGAACTTTTGCCCGCAAAAACCGTTGTGGCGGTTTTGTGGAGTCGGAGCTGTCTAAGCATTCATATTGCTTACAAGACCAGAACACATGACGCAGCAAGCAATTTCAGAAAACGTCTATGTTCATTATACTACTATCTAATCAAATATTACTGTGGAATTTTACTAGAAGTTCGGATTTTGTTGTTTTGCTAAGCAGAAATGAAGTCGAATGCTCATTATTCTGCTGGATTCCACCGCCTAATCGATCAACACATCCAAGGCCTAGCAGAATGACAACTGCAAAAAAAAAGTCACTATTATTCTCTCTGTGATTGTGTTCATTTTGGCATGCCGGCGTACTCCGCTGTCATAGTCAATCATTTTCTTGACGATAGTATACGGCCCGTTCCTGGGCAGGAAGAGATTGGGAGATGAGAGCCAACCATTTCATTTTATGACTTATTTCCTCGTGCTCCGATTGATTGGGGAATGGACCGATGGACGAACAATGTCAATCCACGAATTCAGCCAAATGATAGTTCAGCCTAGCGTATTTGTAGTATGGAGATGCTTCTTTGACAGGAGAAATAGACCTCTCACATTTCGCCAACGCCGGTCGCTACCATCGTGTCAATGCCGGGACTAAACTACGTACTCCGCTAGCCCGGCTCCTTTGTATGTTTCAGGGACAAATAGGATAGAGCACAGAACACATACCCGGACAGGTAAGGTGTACTCCAATTAAACCACCCCAAGAGTAGCGCAAATTGTCTTCTTTCCTTTTGTTTCACCGCTGAGTTGTTCAATGATCTTCGATGGGAGGAGGGATTTATCGGCAGGGGCTTTTCCTTTCATGGTGCGACAATGGCAGCGAAAAATAGCACTAACAATTATAGAAGATCGCTGCCTGAATTTCCCTATGTTGGTGATTGTAGGGCGCTTACTCCGTGATGGTTGGATCACATTCGCCAAAGGGAAGAATAACGGGAATCAGTTGTAGGGCGCCAGTTGTTGTCGGGACAATTTGTCCGTTAGCACAAATCTGCAGGGGTGAAAAAAGATGTCACTGCAGTAAACCGTCACGCAGGAGTGTCCAGTTAGTTCAATATTCAGTGACTATCCGGTCCAGTCCAGTGCTTCGTTTTCATCTCTGGTGAACTGACAGTTGATGGACTTAGAAATGACTGTCCCCTGTATAAGGAAATTAAACAGGTGGAATCCTGGGTGCAGACACAGAGTAAAAGCTGGCTGAACGGGAGAATTAAAATGTAGGGATAACCTCATCGAGTATTCTGTACAACGACTCGGTACTCTGTAGTTAAGTAAGGGACGATTCTTTCGCGGAACTGAAACGCGGACAATCATTTTTGGATACCTCTGCAACTCTATTGTTACGGCGAATACGTGTGTTATTCAGGCGTACATCATACATGTGCATTGCATGGTGTACAAGTAGGCGAGAGCTGTTCATCGTGTTCTCCGCGTTGTGGATTATTCGTGCAAGAGAAAAAGAAGATGACCCACTGTCTCGGCCCAACAATGACAGCATATCTTTTCTCTCGCAATAATTATACATAATGAGAAGAGGAATTGTTATTGTTGAGTATCATGTGCGTTCCCTGGAACCAGCCGATCAAGGTTGTGTGGCTACTCTACCAGAATTTTCCCGACATTGGGCCGGTCGGGAAGATTCATGATGCGAACCAAAGGATCAATCATTAATATCATGATGTATCCTTTCTCTCTCTGCTCTTCCAGACCGACACAAGGAGTGAGTCCCGAGCTCTGATACTAGTACTAGTAGTAGTGGGTGGGTGTAAGGGTTCGGAAATATTGCCCTTCGAGAAACCGGCAGACCACGTTCCGCAGAGCCGAATTGGATCTATCAGAGAGGATCATCTCTTTGTTTCGAAGCAAATAAACTCGCTGTTTGAGCCACACCTTACACATGATAATAAGATGTTTGCCACGAATTGACACGCCAGTGGTGGATAGTTCGCTCGCATTCTACTCGGTAGAGCGAATCGAATTTGGTTCCAAAGAACTTCGGTTCTCGATCGAGCCTCGTAAAATTGTGATAAACTCCGGAGTTGCCCGTAATCACGAATTCTACAGCTCCTGGTGACCCGTCGTCAGCTTCTTGGGAGGGGCCATTCTCAGGCAAAAACTGGGTCTGGAGCTATTGTGTGTCCTTTTCCGCGCTCGTGCTGGATTCACTATTTAGTGTTGCTCTAAGAGATCGCCCAGACCTCTCGCGATCTATCGACACAGAAAACTTCCATTACCGGTAGTGGGAGCGAGCCGACTCCGGAGCTGCTGTTGCTGCTGCTGCTGCCGCCGCCGCCAGCCGATACCTTTTGAAGTGGAGTAATACAGCTCCATCCGAAGAGCGTCATAGGAGTGTATCTTCGTATCTACTCCGTAGTCCGGTTGGTCTGTTTTGAATCAGTGGCGGTGATGATCGTATCTTTCTGGGACGAACTGTCCCTACTCGGTCGTCGTCGTGCCCTGTCCATCCTCTTTGCATTTACCATTTAATAAGTGCTTTTTGTCATGAACAGACGCCAGGAGGTACTGATAAATTGATCTTAATATCCTGTAGTATAGATCGTGTGTTGCGGGTGGTGGTGTCCGAGCTGAGACCTCACCAACGCTTCCTTTCCACGAGCTTGTGATTCAATTGGCAGTTATTATGGTGAATCACGGCTAACGAGTGGTTGCTGAAGAGTAGCCTCAATAATAAGTTACCAGGGGGGGGGATAGAAAGAAAAGTAAAGAGGAAAGAAAGCAAGCATCCGTTGTCCGGGATATGGCAGCATTGGCTTTAGTAGCATTGGTAGAGAGCATCGTAGAGCAAGTCATACCGCTTGAATATAGTTTCTGTGGCTGACTCTCCATCACTCCACTTGTGATCTTTGATAGGAATACAATAAACAAACAAGGCATATATATTAGTACTGCCATAATAATCAGGAATTATTAGGATAATTCCCCTCGTCCAACGAGAATTCCTTGCGGCATCTCTCCTCGCAGCTGGTTCCACAGCCAATCCCCGGCTTACTCTTTTTTTTACTTACTGCTGCTAGTACTACTAATGCTGGAATGTGTTGACGATCGATCTTGCTCTTCTTCCTTTATTCTTTGTCGTTCCCCGTTTTATATCTTTGTCTTCTCGATCTCCATCGTCGTTTCTTCTTCTGCTCCGTCGCTGCTGCTGCTGTCACTCCTGCTGCCATCCAGTCCGATCCTACTCCAGGACGCACAGCACACTGATGATTATCAACGCCGCTTTTCTTAACTAGCATTGTTCTTCTCTTCTATTGTTATTTAATCTTATTTCCCCTCCTCTCGTGCTGCTAGCTGTGTTACTATTATTGTTATTATTTCCCGATCTTATCCTCTCCGCTCCCCGCCGCCACTATCACATTCCTCTCGAAACCAAAAAAAGAAGAAAACACCTCCGAGAGCCACACGATCTCTCTCCCTGGGCGCTTCCCAGGCGCGTCGATTTGTTTCATCTTTCGTCGTCTCGGAAAAAGAAAGAAACAAAACGATCGTTCCTATATATTATTCGAGCAAAAGGAGTCACAAAGGAAGAATGTTCAGGTGATGGCATTTGCTTGGTCACTGCCTGGAAGCTGCGAAGCTGAGCTTGGTGCTCTGACACTGCTCTCAACACCCTCGTGAGGATGGAGCATGTTTCTACTGTATGTATATGCTCTTCCGTCTCCCGGTCCATGGTTCTTCTGCGCTTGGTTCATCGAATGGGTCCTCGCCGTGTTTACCATGGTTCGCGGTCTCGCTTGCGACCTTCTTTGCCATGCAAATGTATTTCATGCATACAATGCAAGTCCCCGGCTAACAAAGTGCTCTCTGTCTCATTTAGCTCTGTGCTCTTAGCACAATTGGTGTTGCTGCGACGGGCCTTGCTATCGGTCGCGTAGATCAATCACCGCCTCCCTCCACGTTTGGAAGATTCCGAAGAAAGACGCTTTCTTTAACCGATCCGCCTGTCGCGAAGACAAACGCGATCAATTCACCCGTTTCCGGTGCCTACCCGGAACCTTCAACACCATCTGGAACAACACCCGCAGGCTCGCCCGCATTCCCAGAACCGCGCAACGCGGAGAAACCTGTCGCGCTTAATGGCTTACAGTCAACGGAAGAGGGTCTTCATCCGCCAAAAAAACTGTCCTTGTTTGCAGGTGTGAGACAGCATCGTCGCAGTCAGACTCTCGCTCGCCCGACTGCGCCCATCGCGGAAAAAGAACCGCAGAGTGCCCATGTTCGTCGACCTTCCTCCTGGCTCAAGCGCCTCTCAGTCGTGCCAAATCAGAATGATAGCCGTGTCACCAGCCCCAGTCCTCTTTCCCCCTCCTTCAATCGGTCTGCCAGTCCGGCGCTTTCCCGAACCCAAAGCCAGCGCAGAGCGCCAAACAAATTGGTGAAACGGCCTGCGTTGGAGCTGTCCCATAATGCACATTCCCCATCGGGCCGTTCATCAATCGCCTCACCAACCTTCCGCAGGCCTGCCACAAGTTACCAGCGGTTTGAGAAATCTCGACACAGGCCAACGCACAGCTTGAACTTCGAACCGGGTTCGTTCACAAATGCACCGTCAATGCAGTCACCCACAGCCAGCAAGACTCTGGAACCGGCGAGCAACGACAGCAACGACACTGCAGTGCGGCATTATCTGGATTCTACTCTTGATGGATTACCGGAACGACTGGTTCGTAAATTGTCGACAGTTCCAACGCCAAGGGACCTAAGGCTCCGTCGAATTATTCCTCACGGTACAGTCGCGGCTCCTGTACTCGTCCGGGCGACCTCTATAAAGAAGAGACAAAGCCTGAATGAGGAGGTTCACGCGAGTCCTGTAACCCCTGCGACCCCTGCGACGCCCGCCTCGGCTCCGGTCCAATTCCGGGATTCTTTCCAGTCTGTTGACGGTTCTTCCGCAGAGCAGCCAGAGGCAGCATATGTGCCAGAAGAGGAGAAGGAATGTCGGCCCTCAGTCTCCTTTGATGATGCAAGTACCAAGAGAGATACCCAGAATGCAGTCCCACCAGATGCTGAACAACGTGCCCGCGGCAGTTCCCCAACGTACCGCAAAAAAAGGGCACTTTCGACACCCCTGCCCCAATTGCCAAAATCGGAAAGAGCAACATCAGGGCCATTCCTGCCCAATGGTCCGCGGAACATTACAGATCCTGCCCCGGCGGGAATCGAGGGGCGTCAAGACTTCGTCCCCTCGCCGCCTGTGCCTCGAGATTTCTGGCCTACGATGGGTTCCCTTCGGGACAGAGCACGTCGCCCTTCAACGTCAGATTC